TGCTTTGTCTGGAGTGGCTGAAGTGCAGTGCATGTAATTTATTTGGCTTCGCAGATTGCATATCCAAGGTGACTTTGGGCCGATAACCAGGTTCAAAATGCGCGCAAACTTTTGCGCACTAAGTGTGAAGTCACTGATACATACAAGTGATGGATTTTATTTGTACTTCCGTAAGTCTTACGAACTATGCAATAATGTTGAGTTTTCAAGTTTATAACAAGGCACCTAACCTCAAACACAGATTCCATGCACGCACATGGTGCTTTGCTGCCAAATCCTAACTTCAATATTTTGGAATTTACAATCGCAAGCGAATAACTCAAATTTTAGGGCAATATGCAACATTTCCCCCAATTTTATATTCATATAAAATTGGCGCTAAATCTGAAATCTGTCGCCCCTCAGGCAATAAATGCATAGCAACCCTTCCTGGTCGGTCCCCAGACTCCCCTGGGGATAACGCCACGACGATCCCCCATTACCTGTGTGGGTGGCCTAACTAACCACACCAGCTGTCCCGCGTGAACAGTTTCATAGTTGCCCGTTCACGTGATTATTTCGGGCCATCCTGCCTTCTACATGTACTTGTTGAACTTTGATGTGTACAAGGCGAAACAGCTGTCCCGCTGCATGCTAATTACACTAATTAATTGGTTTATGCGCTTACAGTGCACGTGTCCTCTAGACGCAACTTGAGACGCCCCACGTGCGGAAACGACTGTTTCATGTCGTGATTATCCAACATTGTCGTGTAGGTAAATGATTTCTCCCCTTGTTGTATGTTTTATACTTATACAATTGCCCTTTTCCGTCGATAAATTAATACCGTTCAACATTTCGAGTAATATTTATGACAGTGTCACAAAGTAATTTTTATCGGCAATTTTCTCTATAAAATGAGCTGTCAGCTTGACAAATAAACACGTTGAAATTGCTACAGTTTACGGACAAGGGCGGATCCGGGGGGGCCAACAGGGGCCATGCCCCCCCCCCCCCCCCCAAAAAAAGAACCCTTTTTTAAGGGATGACGCAATATAGGCAGGCACTGCGCACGTACACCACCATTTTTCCTCAAAAACAAATGGTCAAAGTGGTCAAAAATTGCCTCAGATCGCACCACAGAGCATCCAGAATCCATTTTTTTCGGGGCCCATAAACGGGCCCCGAACCAGGCCGAATTTTTTTGGACCCAATTTTGGGGGACCAAAATTTTTGTTGCCCCCCCCCAAAAAAAAAAACAAATTGTGTTCTGGATCCGCCCTTGTCACGGTTGATCTGATCATACACGATGGAAGCTGAAACCTGTAGATTCTAGTGACACACTTCAAAATCTATCTACTTTGTGCCAGAAAACATCAAACAGTCGTTGAGGTGAAGAATTCACCATATCGATCTCACCGTTATCCGTTGCACGGCAGGTGAAATTTCAAAAGTCAAAAGTGAACCCATCTCTTGATGACGTCTTTTTATGGTAATCCCAATGTATGCCCATTTTAGAGCATAGCAACAGTACAACGTGAAAGCACAATGTCCGAGTCGACATGACAACTTTTTTGGTAACCATGCTACTTCACCGCTGGAGAGTGCAATTACGACATTCAGGAAAGACTTCTTAACTTTCACCTTGAATGTCCAAAAAGTGCATACATCTGGACTTGTTCTTAAAGGTGTCAATTTTGAAGAATCTCAACACCTGTCCAGACGCACATTTCACACTTCGATTCCGCCACATCCAGATTTTCATGTATTATTCTCGCCATCGATTGGATTTTTTTGAGTGCTGATAGCCACGCCCCTTTAGTGCATGATATTCCTTTTGCGCATGTGCATTGTGCTTACCCAATCTACACCTGTCCACATTGCCGTTTCGCCCCCCCCCCCCACCCACCCCCTGCGGCGTGATTTTGATGCAATATAATTTTCATCTGTGAGCGGGCCCAGCGTGCGTTTTTTTGCGCGCGAACAAAAGCCGAGCGCAATTTCTCCCACCCCGAAAACTGATGTTGCGCCATTAGTCGTCATGACAACCAATTGGACGGACGGTCCAGATGTTTTTCCAGAGCGGTGGAAAAATCGTCGATAATGCGATGCCCGTGTAATGGTTGGCGAGGGGTTTATAACTAATACTATTAAGATAGGAACCAATGAATGATTAGTTGCGTCTCACACTGATGAAGAATGACATCAGAACTAGAAGAGATAGAAATGAAGATAGTTTGGGCGCGCTTTGACGTGAAATGAATGGCCGATAGCAGTCACGCGACCGGTACTCCATGTGTTTTGATTCCTTGGCACTTCCTGTTGAACTATCACGCAATCATTTCATTCAACAGCTGCGGGATTGAGTGATTAATGTTTCAGTCTTATTTCCAAAGAGTACAATTTTACTATGTCACCCATTGAAAGAAGAAATCAGTCGATAAAGAGTGAATCCTTGTTACATTTTAAAGAGTTTTTGCAAATTAGAGTGGAAACTGAACTTATTGACTGAATAAATCTCATTCGAAACGTCCTTGCTAATATCATTTGGATTGAGTAACTTTTCACTCAGTTTTATATCTACTAGCATAAACATAACTACAATACTCGGCATTTCGTATAGGATTGTGTTGTTGGCTTTCAAGTGTTTCTATCGATCAGTATTTTTTTATTGATAAGCCTTGTTATTCTTTTCCTGTCAATTCTGTATTCGTTGGTGTATGTTCTCTGATCACATAAAAGATGGCATCGAAAACCCGAACATTTCGTCAAGTGCAAATGGATCATGCGTTGGGTTTTGGAATCTACACCCACTTCCATTTAGCTGTAAAGCATTGCTTCACATTTTTGCTTAACAATTTTGACAATAAATTGCTTAACAAAATCACAAGCAATATAAGGCTTGTGATATTTTGGCATGTTTTAAGTTTTTGCTAAGCGGATATTTTTTTGTGCTTAGAAACGGTCGCGCTTAGCAGCTTCATATTCGCCCCCTGATTATTAGGGCCTATAAAATTGTGTGCGTGAATTAAAAAAAAAAAAAAAGATGTAAAATTAGTCGTGATTAAAATATTCCTCCGCCATTGCTTGTCACTTCAAACCGTCGCACAGGGACGGCGTGCACAGCTGGGAGTTGTGTGTCAGTGAAGAATGAAATCGCTGCAAACCTTGGTGTTTGGAGGAAAAAAAACCTTAATAATATTTCCGTGGCCCAGAGCAACAGAGTCAAGGGGAATTATAGGACGGCTTGCCTCACTCATTGTTTGCCTCCGCTTCGAGTGATTGATTGATTTAAGTTGGGAGCGCTTTCTAATTAAAAGGTTGTCCGTGCGCGGTTCGCGGGTGTTCTCGTGTGTAAATCATAGAGCGATCGATGTGCGTATCACCTGCCGCTTGATTGGCTGATGGCGGTCACGAGTTGTTATAGACTAAGCTTTGTGATTGGTCAACTGCAAAATTAGAAAGATGTTTTCATGTAGCAGGTCACGTCACTGGTCTGGTCAGTTCCATATCGTGTTTCTGTAATTGGTTGGCGGCTTTGTTTGGATATTAATTTTTTTGTGTGATCTGATGGGAGGATTATGTATATTTTATTATCCTGTCTTGTGATTGGCTGATAGCGAAGCCACGTGGTCATTGGAGGAGGTCATGGAGTCATTAATTTTGTTTACATTGATCCGTGTGATTGGCTTGCAGCATCGGAGTTATTGCATTACACAACGTTTCGTTCTTTAAAAACAAACAGTGGCCTATCATTGCTCACTTAATTATACATAGAGTAGACTGCACTTGCTTTATTTGCGTGCCGAAATCATCAAAAGTTCAAAATTCAAGAATAGGCACAGCGCACGCCGTAAATAATTTCATTCATCAACATGAGCCACAGTTGAACTGAAATCCCGAAATTCATGTTCCCCTGTATGTTCCCAATCTCCTGTCTCTACTCTCACTGTCTCGGTCATTATTCCCCCTTCTCTACTTTTCATCCCTTTCCACCTGTATCAGTTCATTCTAAGACGCCCCAGTGAGAGCCCCATCTCAAGTCGCATCTTTCAGCTCCTCAGATCTCCCTCTACATCAATATAACCGTCTTCTTTATTCATCAACCCCCTCGTCCTTTCTCTTCAATCCATTTGGAAGCGCTAGAAATTAATAAACGGCCCTTGCAATACCGTCATCATCACGCGAACAGCCGTGCGCGCTAGTCGGCAGGACGGTCTGCCCGTTTATCTCGCGTTGGGATCTGACCGTTGGGCGCGATCGGGGAGATTTGCTTGCGGTTGACCGGGCGCAATGCGCGGTGGGCCGAGGCAGCACGGCACGGTACGCTGGGCCAAAGAGCCCCGGAGATAACGAAGGAAGCTGATTCGATCGCCCCTCTTGCAGATGTGCAAGCTTTTGTCTGGCCCTGCCGACCCATGGGCGGGCCTTGGGGATCCTGGAAATATCCTCATTGTTCATTTTGTGATGAGACTTTTTTTAATTTGGAGATGGGACTTGCAGTGTATGGGGAAATGGTTATGGCGCGGTTGTGCTTAAGGCAACCTACTGTACTATGTTGCTGACATGATGCAATAATGGGAACAATGTTGTAGCGTATGTTGTGTGGCACTGGCATTCACTAAAGTGTTTCCAAAGCTTCTTGCGGCTCCCAAGAGAAAATGTACCCGCGCCGAAGAGTCTTTAGTTTGTCTATTGCGCCCTCTGTTGATGGAGGCAACAACAGCAAATCTGCAATTTGTCGATGTTTCAATATTCATTTTTTAAAAATCTTTGTGGTTATGGTTGTGTAAATGTCATCCTTCGACAGGACTTCCGGGAATTGCATTTTTGAATAGCCTTCCTGCTTACAAGCCATCGATTTCTTCTTGGGTCAACAAGGGGCAATTCACACCACAAAATGATGCCACTTAAAAGTAAATTATCTTTGGTTTTTCTTTCTGTTTCCTTCCATTTCCTCTTCTCCGTCTTCTCTGTCATATCTTCCCAACTTCCTTTTCCTTTTTTCCTTTCCAATCCAGGTTCCCATGGAATAAAGGTCGTCTTTGCGTATGCGCAGCCAAGCGCCAATGTTCATCTACCACATCAGCTGCCATTTTCGAGGGTTCTTCACACAAGAGGGCGCAATTTCAACTTAACGGAATACGGCGCTCCATGTTGCCCATCGAAGTAAATGTCTTGTTTCTTGCATCAGCATGGCAGTGGTTTAAGCGTTGTTTAGTGGCTAATTCTCCGGTTAGTCATGAGCATCATAACATTTGCGGCATCCAGCAGCACATTAGACTCGGATAAAGCCGTAAAACTGCCCATCGATCCCAAAGTGACAGTGATCCGCTGTTGATCATGCTTGCTTATCATACCTGTCATGGTATTATACGCCTTGGGTAAAGACTATGGATATATTCCCCTAGTAAACTACTTTCTTAACACCGAATCATTAGGTAATGCAGGACAATTTAATGACATTGCATCACCAACTCCATCATAGACTATTATAATAATAAAAATACCTGGTGGGAAAGAATACTAGTTTGGATAAGCTTAGATAACCGAGTCTATAACCGACTTCAGGGTTTTCTAAAGTTTAAAATTGTCACCTGTCGAGAGAAGAACACTGTGACTGCAATGAAGTACAGTGAAACGCCGCTATAACGAACACGATGGGGTCCACAGAAAGTGTTCGCTGTAGTGGTTGTTCGTTATAGTGATTGTGCATTATAAAAGAATATCACTATTTCGGGAGCCCGTGGGGACGTTCGTTATAACCAAATGTTCATTATAGTGGTGTTCGTTATATCGGCGTTTCACTGTATTACCTACATGTGTCTTTGCCAATCCATGTATCCAAGTATTCAAGTGATGCCACAACAAAAATGGAATGTGACTTTCCGAAATACCAAGATTGATTGTAAAACTGTGGTACAACAGAAAGCACGTTTGAAGGCCACGTGAAAACGAAAATACTGTTCAACAGTATTTGTCGCTCGTTCCCATTGTCCTTTATCTAAGGACGTGTTTTACCTGAATTTTTGAGCTCTTATATTGTTTCACCGCTGACCCGACATCAGCACTTCCCGCGAAGACAGAAAATGTCACCACGCATTGTCATGGCAGTAAACTACCCACAATGCTTTGCGACGTTTGCGTTTCCTCCTCAATTTTTGTAAAAGTTATAAGCAGTCAGTGGCACCCTTGAAAACAATGCTTTGCAACATTTGCGTTTCCTCCTCAATTTTTGTAAAAGTTATAAACAGTCAGTGGCACCCTTGAAAAGGTGGGGGGGGGGGTCGAATCAAAAATACTGTGGAACATGCCTCAATTTTCACTTGCGTTCTGTGGAACCTCAGTTTTACAATCATTCTCCTTGATGTTACAAATGTATGATTGGTGTAATTGGTAATAAGTCAAACGAACTGAACGATAAAATTTGATCTTAAAATGTTATGGTTAATTAGAAATTGTTTTGTAAACAAAGTCATTGGGTCTACTACGCAAACTCAGAAAAGACTCACCCTGCTCCCTGCTTAATCGATTGAGGGCGCTAAACAATTCTTTTACAAAGGTTTTTTTATTGCTAAACCAACAACTTCTGCCGTTTTCCTTGTCAGTATAACTGTCGATAATGTGAACTAAAATGTGCAAATATTTATACTAAGAATGATACTTAAAGCATTATTCGTAACGATAGTTGAGTAATAAATATATATCTACATCATGTGCTTTCATAGACGTGTTTCCAGTATCCTGTCGATTTTGTTAACCATGTCAAGTTGTTGTCGCCCTTCCTTGAATTTATTATTGAGTTTATTTTTGGCTTGCAATTCAAGGTAATAAAAACAAAATTGGTTTGCAGTTTCATAGTATCTGTTTTTCAAGATACCCGTCACGTGACCTCCTTTTACGATCCAAAGAAAATACGGGTAGGAATGCCATGCGGGAATTCTAATACATGCATTAGATGACTACCCGTTTATTTTTCAGCCGAAGAGATTAAACAATAGTAAAAATGCAATATGCTGGTTTAGTGGCCATACGCTTTTCAGCTTACCTCTGTGGTCAGATGCTGGTTTGGACCTTACGAAATGATGTTGTGAATCTAATAAGTATTTGATGTTGTGATTTCAATCGAAAACATTCCATTAATTAAGAAAGTTACGGTGTTGTAATCCATTATAATCTACCAGACAACATTCAGACATATCATTCTGGACTTTTTGTGACTAAACAATGGCACTGCTATTGTCTGTTTGCCCGTTGTTCGTGATTTGTCTGCTGTCGCCCTTCGTATCATCTCTGGCCCCTCTCTATGGAAACGAAGATCCGCTGCTTCCTAACAAATACCTGGTTCATCTTAAGGTGAGTGAAATCAAATATTAGGCCCCTACCTGATTCAAGTATAAGTTTTATCCCGGCCAAATTCGTCAAACCAGCAGCCAATTTCAAAGCAGCGTCAATCGGTTTTGCGCGAAATTGATTGATGCAAGGCCTATATCTGCATTCAATTAATAAGAAAAACTGATCATTTCAAATCATTGAGGCGCATGTATACACTGTCTTCAATTTCAAAGTACATGTAATTGTGCTTCCCATTCTAAGAAAATACGAAGCAGCAGCAGTCGTATTTATTGGCACGAAAGGGGCACAGTTAATCAAGGAAATTTGAACATGCTTTGGGTGATACATTTTGGATGGAAAGCAGCATCTTCCTTCGGGTACGTAAACCACAGGATTTTGCCTATAAATGTTTCTCTTTAAAAAGGTTTTGAAATAAAACAAACTATTTGAGGTTAAAAAAAATGTAAATGTATTGGTTTCTAACGGGGATTTTTTTTTATTAAGGAACACAGTGATGTCCACCACACGATACAGGCAATGCAGTTTTTATCGAAGAGATCTCAGTTTCTATGGCGAGTGCACGATATCTTCCAGCACGTTGTGAAAGCCTTCACGGCCGAGTTGGACAACGACTCGCTTCAAGCGGTGAGTACATTGTCCGTCTTCTTGTCTGCCTTGCTGTTTGTTTTTTATACTAACCTCATTCTCAATGTCACACTTTGTGTTGAACTCCACTTTGATAAAGCCTTGTAAAACTTGGAATTTTTTGGTGTTCGTGCTTTTGGTATGCGCCAGATTTAACCGATTCATTATGACGGTGTCTTCCTGCATAAACCGTTAGCACTACAGGCTATCTTCACGGGTCAGTCAGTAGTCAGTCAGTTGGGGCGGGGAGAAAGGAATTCCTCCATGGTCGGGGAGTCGGGGGGGGGGGGGAGTCGGGGAGTCAGTCAGTCGGGGAGTCAGTCAGTCAGTCGGTCGGTCAAGTACAAAGAGAACACTATATAGGCTGGCACTCAGGGACCAAGTCTATATTTCATGCCAATAGCAATTTCTGGGTGTAATTTCGGTTCGTCAAGTAGGTAATATAATGTCGCTGAAGAGTTTGATGTCATAGTCATAAGTCTCTCGAGTCTCGACGTATGGGCTGGAGTAGCTTATTGTTTCTGCTAAGCGTAGTAACACTATCTGTGCCAAGTACTGTTCATTGCTCATCAGCTCCCGTTTAATGATACCTGGTTTGCTAACGTTGCACAAAGGTTCATTTCTTGTTCAACTTTTGTGATTCAGTAGCTTCGGTACTGTATTTAATTAAATTTTAATCTTTTTTTAAAGTTGAATAAAGCAGTTGACTGGAGCGGGGTTTGAACCTGCTACCTCCGGGTTACCGTTCCGGTGCTATACCAACTCAAGGGCGGATCCAGGGGGGGCCAAAGGGGGCCATGCCCCCCCCCCAAAACGAAACCAATTTTTTTTTTTTTTTAATGTGACATCGCAATAAAGGCAGGCAATGAGTACACCACCATCTTTTCCTCAAAAAAATTGGTTAAAGTGGTCAGAAATTGCCTCAGATCGCACCACAGAGCATCTAGAATCCAAAAAATTTTCGGGGCCCTAGCGGGCCCCGAACCCCACGCCGTAATTTTTTCGACCCACTTTTTGGGGGGACCAAAATTTTTTTGTTCTGGATCCGCCCTTGTATACCAACTGAGCTATCCAGCTCTTAGTGTTGGCTTCTCCCCATTTTGTCAATGTCCTTTTTCAAGGGGCGCTAATTTTGATTAATTTAATAACCTTTTGTAATTAATTTAATTTACTTTTGGTTATAAACTGACCTAGATTCTGGCGAACCCAGAGGTGGAGTTTGTGGAGAGAGACCAGACAGTTCATCTTTTGAGCCACCACGTAGATCCCATCCCGTGGGGTCTAGATCGCATCGACCAGCGGGAACTTCCCCTGGACGGAAAGTACAGGGTCGAAGGTAACAAAAAGACGCAAGATGGGTCATGTTTTTGAGCGAAGGGGAGGGGACTGTTACCGTACTTGGCGGTGAGGAAAGTACATAATTATATTCCGCTGATAGCTTTTTCCCGAGCTTTGTATATCTCCCGTCATTTGTAATGGTTCCTACAGTCATGCGGCGCGGTCTTTATGCAGAACGGGAATATCAAACTTGCAAAATGTTCCACCAGCATCTGGAGATAAAACCCCGGCACAGAAAAATAACATGAAAGACATTGGAGCAAGTAGTCCCTTTTATATAACAGATAACCACAAAAATGGCCGTGGAACAACAGTCGCAGACCAAGGTACATGGTCAGTGTGAAGATTTCGAATTATTGGTAATCAGCTATTGCATACGCACCTGAAGTCTGAACGTCCTTCGTTTACGTTCAAATTATTTTTTTGTTTATTCTTCATTTCTTCCTTATTTGAGTCTGTAATATGAACGCATTCGTCCTATACTAGGTACCGGAGCGGGTGCCCATGTTTACGTCTTAGATACGGGCATCCTGACATCTCATGAGGAGTTCGAAGGAAGAGCTGATGTTGTCTTCGATTACTTCGACAAAAGTGTAAGATACAATTCCTCTAAAAAATACAACGACACGTGGTGGACATGCACATATCACTAGCGTCTTCACAGAGTATAACATCGAGATCACACAGATGACATTGTTCTAAGGGTTGATTCATGAACTCTGAAGGCCTTTTTTAAATCCCCTTAAAAAATAGGTAACCATTTTTATTAAATCACTACGTTTTAGCCTCGTGCACTGTAAGAAGAGATGCAGGACGATTTTATTTTGCCTGAAAACTGACAATAAATTACTTCAACTGCTAAATTGGAGTTACGCAATCACTTTGCCAACCTCGGATATTGTGCCCATCAGGTAAGTAGTTAAGCAACAAATAAGCATTTAAAGATGTGACAGCCACGACAATGCATGGCAAAAATGACAGAGGACGACATTGGCGGAGAAAATAATATATCTGCGGTGAATTTAGGTCTCATTAGCAATAATCAATGACAAATGACAACAACATTACTCTTTCCGGTTGCCACTCAAAGTTCCCTCCACGTTTTGTTTTGGTCACCATCTTAGGGTGTTGATTGTCAGGGACACGGAACGCATACGGCTGGCATCGTTGGAGGCAAGACATACGGGGTGGCTAAAATGGCCGCCATACACGCCGTGCGAGTACTGGACTGCGAGGGGTTAGGATCTGTGTCAGGCGTCATGGCAGGTGCAATGCCCCCCCCCTCACATCAGGCTCTACTACAGACCTGCTGAATATTTATTCGTTTGTTTTGAAGCAGTTTGTTGATCGTTGTTATTGTGTGTGACTACTTTGGAGTGAGACTTAATTAGTATCTTTAATTGGTACACGAAAAAGTATGCATTTACGTTCCTGCAAAAAAATTCCTGCCCTATAAAAAAAATCCCTTTTCAACTTTTCTAGGAATTGTTATGCACTTTACGCAATTGATCGTTGGCATGGTTATATGGTAAAAGAAGCAGCACTGGTAACGTCCAATTATAGAACAGTTGCCGACGAAGTGAAATAAGAACGTTTTGTTTTGCAAAAGCAGGGTTTTGTTTCAGAAAGGCGATTTCGTGCAGCATTGTGCATTGCTGCTGCATTCTTGACGATCTAAACGTACACTTTTACACCTCAAAACCCACGCCAGGTCTGGACTGGATCAAACGTAACGCCGCCCGTCCAGCCATCGCCAGCATGTCCCTTGGCGGTAACTTTTCCCTCTCCCTTTCCGAGGCGATTTGGAGGACCGTCTCGTCCGGCATAGTCGTCACCGTTGCTGCTGGCAACGAACATACCGACGCCTGTACGACTTCCCCCGCCAACTCCAGAAAGGTTGGTATATGCCTATTGCTGTATACTGGAACTTTTGAATCGGAAATGCTATAGCAACGGAATCGATCCACTATATGAGACCCCCTAAATGTGCAATAACATTTTCTGTTTTCATAAAACAAAGGGTTGGTTGTGTTGCACCCTACTTGAGGGTTTAAGTAATTTTGTTGATTTAAACGAGAAAATAAACGCACCGTAAAAGCAAATGATTATTTGATATCCTGCCTCGAAGATAAGTGCTACGGCCAATGCAGCTGATTAGCAAATTTGCTAAGTTCAGAAAATGTCTTGGTAATGCAACTTTGATGATTTGTACCCTTTTCCGTATAGGCTATCACAGTTTCAGCCACCAATATCCAGGATAAAGTCGCAACATTTGCCAATGTTGGTTCGTGCGTGGATCTGTTCGCTCCGGGGGTGGAGATCCGTAGCGCATCCATCACTTCACCCACGGCCAGCCGAGTAGCATCCGGCACCTCCATGGCTTGTCCATTCGTTGCAGGTGCGTGATTGGTGCAACGTTTGGTCACGTGTTGTCATTGGGGGGAAATGATGTAATGACGAAACCAGAAAAAAAATATCGTTTATTGAAGCAGTTAGTAACTTAGGTAAAATCAAGTAAATTTAAGATTTAATCTACAGATGTGATTTTGGAGAGTTACAGCAATTATGTAAACTGATGTCAGTAAACCTTGGATTCGAGTCTCTTTCTCCCCAAAATGCTATCGTTAGAGTGCCCTCGTGCGGCCTATTTCGTTTAAATTACATGACACTACCAGAAATGTTCAATATTTATAACTGGTTGGAGCTAAGGCTACGGTATAGATTTGTAGGACGTGACATTACCTAACTCGACCCATAAAGGACCCCTTTTAGTCATCATCACATTAACAAAGAATTACATCAGACTCCTTCAATTTCAGTAGTACGTGCCCCCAGCAGATGTCCGTGCCCCCAGGTGCCCCCAGGTGCCCCCACCCTTTCCCCCTCCTGAAATCTTGAATTGAAAAAAAATATGTACTGCACTGTTGAAATGATACGTTTCATTTGGCTTTAGTGCTTCTTTGAAAAAAAACTGATACACTCCCTGAAACGAGCCTATAGCCTCCCCTATTATGTTCCACTTTGTGAAACTCATGTTGGCATCATCCTCTTTTTGTCCCTCTCTTTTTCCCCAAACATTTTAGGTGCAGCAGCAATCATCCTTGGGAATGACCCTAATTTGACCCCAGATGAAGTCAAAATGAGAATTCTTGGCAGTACGTCAGAAACGGTGCGGAAAACAGACGCCAAATCTCCAGACAAGTTGCTTTACATCCCATAAAATTAGCGTAACAATTCCAAGGATTGAATATTATACACAAAGTAGTGGAGTTTCTCAATTTGTCAACGCCTAATTTCACTCAGGGGAAATGTTTTGTAAAGTTAAATGCTGAACAAAATAACAGAAAATAATATTACAGAATTTTTAAACTGTATTGAATTTGAATTGGTAGTTGAAATTTAGCATTTCTTTAAGCCAGAAATATATCTGTGGATGGGAATGCAGCAACTGAAAAGACGAACACAATTTTATTATGTGAATGATTAATGAATTAATGAATAAAAAGATTGACACCATGTATCCACCTACTCAGAGAAGTTTCCATTTTCACATCTTGAAATTTTCTTTAAAAAATAGCGGGGCATAAAGGATAATGCCCGAGGTACGGTACGCAACATTCTTACCCACGAATGTCGCGTTGCTCAGCGGCATTTTTATCCGACTTAAACTCCACCCTTGACGTCCTCCTATTGTTTCTATAGCGCTCCATTACTTTGTACGAATGGAGCGACTTTGTTGCATTCAAAGGCAAGCTTTTTCTTATTGCGTAGGACTATAACTTTAATATGCATTAGTATAAACGGAATTGTACTGAGCAATTGTACTCCGAATAATTACACTAGCATAATTCTTACGTAAGCAATACAACGCCGAATTCTGGGCGTGCTTGGTATAAATGCTAAACCACACCCAGGAACCGCCATGCATTTGTTCTTTTGGATAGCGTGCTGTTGACACGCCGTGTTTAGTCGCAAGACGTTGAGGACTGTTATGATAATGCCGTACGCATACAGTGGAATTATACCGTGCCAGGAAACTGTCTCTTATACCGTGCTGATACTAGCTCCATGGATATATCGGGTGATAATTTACTGGCCACTTCAAACTTTGCCTGGAAGATATAAAATACCATATCGACACACCAGAGGAATATGAAGATTGCGTGTCTTAGTATAGAGGTAAGAAGCACCCTTTTTGTCCAGTAGAAATAACAGTTACAAAATTAAATTTGATTTATTTTTCGCAAACCAAAATATTCAGCACTCAAACTTAAAAAGTACGAATAAAATGAAACGTTAAGCTTTATAATGTGTTGTCTGATAAAGTTTATTCAGACATCCTTTTTGCACGAAAACTGTTCTAATTCGAAGCCTTCTGTGTCGTCACTTTGCAATTGTCAAAGCTGGCCTGTGGCCTCGATTTACAGCCTAATATGAACTTATGCTTCCGTCTAACTGTTTGACCCAAAAACTTATTTTCCAATGTTTAATTAATTATTAATTAATTTTATTGTCAAACTCTCGCGACCAAAAGGCCGAAATGCAGTGCAATGTACAATGAAATGATTTTTAAAAAGTTGAAAAAAAAAACAGTTTAAATCAAAGTAGTGATTAAAAAATACTGTCAATTGGGGCACTGTTCAAATCAGACGATCATTAACACTTTATTAGAGAATAGTGTACAAATAATATAACCTCTAATCAAGCTGGCTCTGTCCTGTCCACACAGGCGGAAATTATTACCAGTAAAATTTTGTTGGGTGTCAGAGCGGGGGGGGGGGGGAGCGCGTTCGGATAATTTTAAAGACATTTCTATGAAAAATGTTTTTGACAGAGCTGGGGGAAGGTTCTGACCCCCCCCCCCCCCCATCCGCGCCTGAAAATGTACTTCAAATAGTCAAATGCAGAATAAAAAACAGTACCTCAATCGTAAGGAACATCGTGAAAGCGTTTTCTCAAAATGTAGATAAAAGCAGGAAGGTTGACATGAACGTGTATTGTAAAGGATTTACAAAGGTAAATATTACAGAGAATAAAAAAAAAATTCATGGCAGCTCATATGAGAGCGCCCTCAAATGATGAGGGCCCATTGGCTTACTGTTAAGTCATCAAATAATATTCTGGCTAGTAGACAGGCTTGTGAATAGTATCACGAAGAGGGTCAAACTACCGGGCAGCACAGGAAACAAATGGTTCTTGACTTTCATGTAAACGTACGAATGATGCATAGCCCCCCCCCCCCCCTTCATTTGAGAAACGGTGCAGTAAAGTTGCAACTTCGCAAAAGTAATTGTGCCATTTTTGGTGTTTCTTTACTTCCCGCTCCCATCATTTTGTAGGAATGGAGTGATGGAGGCATTTATTACCTTCCCAAAGAATGGAGAGGTATCGCCTCCAACGCTCCATTCGTGCAAAATAATGGAGCGCTAGGACAATAGGGTGACGTCACGGGTGGAGTTTAATCAATCAGAACAAAACACTATCTACGAATAATTATACACAAAAACTGCAGCAATAATTTCATTTCATAAGCACATGACATTTATTGGACTTGCTCTGTCAGGAATTTTGTTTCAGCCAAGATGAACCACACACATGCACACTTGAATACCTTTCTGAACTTCTGACGTGGTAAACTGTGAGGCACACCTACTCATTTAGTTCCCTTCTATTGTTTTACATTAACATAGCACATCAGGGCATCAACAATTCTGAGCCAATATCAATAGTTGGTTGAAGGATTTGAATAAATGTTTTTTATGAAAAACGAACAACCCACCTTCTCCAGAGCAGGGCATCACAAATATGGACCATTTCCCCTAATCTCCCCCCACTGTTAACTTTCCTAGCTACATACATGTATAGGTAAGCTTCGCGATTTATTACATTAAATGTTAAAAGCCGGCAAAAACTTGACACATTCTGTACAGTAACTTTCCATATACATAACAATATTTTATATAAACTTTAATAACAATTTGTAAAACCTTGATGTAAAAAAAGAAAAATCATTTTTTTTTAACATGCACATGATGTAAAATGATGCCTAGAAAATTAATTGCTTTCATTTAATAACTACACTATACAATAATTTCGAGTTGTAAATAAAATATATCTGTCAAACCCAGAAAAAACATGAGACAAAGGCAGCACTTTAGAGTAACAGTTATTTCAGACACTTAATTAACACTGGCCTGTGATCATATGGGTGTAAAAGTAAGATATTGAAGACATTTTTAAGAATGCTGGAGTAAGGGTTTTACTCAGAAGTCTTTGATGTTTTTTCCTCATTTTTTGGACTCCCTTGTGAACCATCCACTGATATGAATATAGATATTTTTTCATCATAAGTAGTTTTAAGTTTCCTATAAAATAATTCCATTTTCTACAACTGTAACGCTACGGAAAATTAATTGGAATATTACTTGTGAGTTAAAGTGTGTTATGAAGTAACACTCTGGAGGGAAAATTCAGGCAGTGGATTTGGGGGCTAAAAGGTTGAATATTTTGATGAGAAAGTAGCCAAACTGTATTTTTAGCTGTTCTTATCTAACATAACTGTTTAGAAGTGTTCACAAAACAGAAACGTCAAAAACAAAAATTCATATTTTTTTTGCATGATTATATTCTATTGAGTTGTACCATTACATTTTTAGTCCATAGGACTTCCAAAGATTATTACAAGTTGGAAGGGTCCTCATGCATTCCTATTGAACTAACCTAACCTCATTTAAACACTAAACCAGCAAACTCTGATGGTTTGTCTAGGAACTATGTACTGAATCTCAATGTCTTTCACAATGTCAAAGTAAGGAGTGGGCCTCACTGAATTGGGGATGATTTTCTCTGCACCAGGCCTATTGTTGTGGAGAAATATGTCCACAACTGACCCCAGGTATTTCTTGACACGACGCCTCATGTTGTCACTGACCAATTTGTGTTAATGTCAACAAAAGAAAATATACACATTATGTAAAGCAATTTTTACAAAAATACTTGGCGTAACTACACTTGACAACGTAAATCCATTGTCAATAATAATACTTTAAAAAATTTCAACCCCCCCCCCTTCCCAAAAAATGGATTGAACACACACTCGTTATGGCAGTTACGTAACTGTTTCTTTGGGTAAGGCTCTGTTGTTAGAGCACAGAGCATGGCAAGCAGTAAAAACCAACAAAAGTTGAATTTTCTGATAGCTACAAAGTCAAGATTCAAAACAAAAGTCCAGGGGCAAGTTTCATACAATGGTTAAGCACAAAATAATAGCCAAAAAAAAGCAAACACTATGCAATTTTTGATGTTTGTGACTGCTTCAAACCTGGGCCCAATTTCCTGGCACTGCTTAACATTTAGCAGAAAAGTTGTAAAGCAGAGATCGTGCTAACCTTAAGCACTATTTCATACCTTCGATGTGCCAACTGTTGCAGGCGCATGGAGATTTCTATTGTATAAGCCACTTTTTCCTCTGGGGTGAAGCATGCCTTTGCTTCCATGAAATAGACGGAGCCTTTGTTAGCAGAAATTTGTGTGCTTAACATTGCCCTGATTTTTACTTGTATACACATTTTTTTAATGCAATATTTTCAGTTTCTGCTCTGCACAGCCATGGATTTTTGATGAGGAGAATGGGGCTCAAATTAAAACACACGTTCAGAAAACTACACACTCTTTAATTCAGCAAAGACTATGAGAATGATAAGACCTACTGTGCATGTATCATGCATGGTTCTGTGACCACATTTCCATCTAGACTTGACTGAATAAGCCAGTTGGGTAATTCAATGACCCGAGGTCATTCGGGATAACATCGCTGACGTGATGTTACGCGATGTTACGCGCACACCCATTCTGCTGGTAATTTACACGCAAGCGTCGTGCGCCCGCGTTCATGCGCCTTCCAAACGTTTGGTTATCCAGGATGACCCGTGACCCATATCATTGTGCACAGTTCAGATACGTAACTGGCTTATTGAATGGAATTTTGTGCGCTTTGGGACCAGCTTTTACTAGGCTTGTTTTGTTTCATGAAGATGGCATACCGCTTGAGGCTTTATGTCTTAGCTTCGCTGCCACGTCGAAACGTCTTGAGTCGCGTCAGCTGGGCAGCTACATCTTGCTGTAACGCAGTGATGATGCGCGCCACTGCAGCACCGATTGCAGCTGGTGATTCGTTCTTGTCTGCCAGTTGGTGCCAGTCTTCGCGTACTACACCAGGGGGGCACTATGGTGGGGGTGGGGGGGGGGGGGGGAGGGGGTAGGAAAGACAAATGTGATGCATTAGTCACGTTGCTTGGTATATAAGATCATTTGCTTTCAAGCATGTTGTTCGTTTTCCATAATAAGCAAGCTCAAAACCTAACCCGTTGAAGGTTCAGCTCACTAGATAACAATTTTTGAGAAAATAGTGAAAAACCATGCATAACCTTTTGCTCACGAAACACGATTTCGTCGATAGCACTTTTTTTTCCCCCAAAAAAATCAGTCAACTGACTGATCGTTGGAAATCACCTACATTTGTTGATTTCTTCTAAATGACAGCAACCCAGACGGAATAGTTTCACAGAGTGTTTAGTACCAGTACGATCTTGAAGAAAAGTAAGCTTTTTGATACTAATTTGGTAGGTTACTTTTAGGATAGATGTAAATGATCCTATCTGCGGTTAATTTAGTGACAGTAAAAGCACAAGAAGATACTAAATTCACTTGAGAACGCGAGGGCTCAATGTCACAAAAGTCTCTAAAAAAATAATAAATAATCGCTCAACACATTTTTTTGAGCTGACCAAAAACAGAGAGCCAGTCACTGTATATCATGACATTCTGGAAGCTAAGCTTATTTAACCCTTACTCTCTGAGGGTAGTTTACTGCATGTCAGTTGGTTATGCCAATGCCCTCCAGCTGCAGTTTATTGGAGGATACTTTGATGTAGCAGTGAAGGCTCCAATTGGCAGGAGTTGGAGGCCCTGGAGGGTGCCTGATACTGACCAGCTGGGGGCACTTGATTGTTATCAGAGGACTCTCATTGTTCTCTGTGGCATGTATTGGAGTGCCTGTCCAGTTACCCTTGAAATGACATGGCAGATATTGGAGGGCCATGCAAAAAACATAGGAGATTTTCTTGAGGCACATATTGGCATGCGTTGGAGGGTCTAGTAGGGTAAGGGTTAATAAGCAAAAATGTACTCAGCTTAGCACGTTTCAGTGTCTAGCAACTCAACAACAATTTGCTTCCATAGTAGCTGGTGCATGCTTTAAAAGTTTCAAAATCTATGCAGGGCGCATTCAACAACTTTTCCAAGGACAAAATTGGAATTTTAAAATGCTTTTTGGAAATTGAGGAATTAAAAACAAATTTTACCTGAAATATTTTGGATGGAACGTTGAATTTGCCGCCGGCTGAGCCTCCTGTGCATTTGATTGGGATGACTGTGTGATCGCTCCAAGTGAACTCCTCGGCTTCGTGGGCAGCACCAGGGCCCCCTAGCACATCCAAAAATAAACCAAACAAAACGCATCAAGAGTTTCTGATTACAGTAAGTACAAAAACTCCTCAGCTGAAAATCCAGTCAGCATATTTCACAGATAAGCTGGGAATTTAGCTTTCTAGCATGCTTCATCTCGTTACTAAGGATGCTGGGCTTACTGGGTAAGCACAGACTTTCTCTGCTTGAGTCGTAAGCATGAGAAAGCGTCCGTAAGCCCTAAGTTCCAAGGTTGGTAGAGCATAACATTCTAAAAGATCAGCCCTGTATTGAGCAAGAGTCTCACTGTCGGTGCAATTACCTTCTATCAAGACACAGATATCAAATATCCGGGAGACAATCGTCTCTCTCTGTCTAACGCTGTCGCCGACAAAGACCGTCTCGCCAAACGGCACACGCTGAAACGTCTTGTCTTTGTTCTGCCTTGCCTGTGGGCTTCGATCCTGAAATGTCAAAAAGGAGCTTTGCTCAAGTTGGTCTCCACAAGCTATTTTCCAGTTTCACCCCTCCACAACAACAAAAACCCTGAATTTTTTTTAATTGCTATCTTCCGTAATACAAAAGACATTCACATTTGAATGAGAAATCATGCAAAAAATCTACTCATATTGAGTTACAGAACACACAAATTCCAACTTTTAAAATTGCATGCGGCCTGACATATTTCAACCAAACAATCTGGCTTATTTAAAATATTTATGGTGATTTTTCACAATTTTCAAATTTTGATGCTGAAGCAGCTAAAACCCTGTTGCTTGTCTATAAAGATGACATCACTGTTTTACTCTTAATACTGGAAATTTCCATATAAATATTAAATATAGGCTTTTGACCTCAGCAGGTGTTTTTATGATGAATAATAACACAACCTGAAAAACCTTTAAAGAGGCATTATGAAAAATGTAAATGAATGTGACTGGGACAAAGGTGCTCTTCTTAGATGTATTTGTTTGTTTTTCCCCTGCTTATATTTTATTTCGGTTTCAGCCCAATGTCAATGGATAACTGTTTATCTCTGATCCCCTGCTTCCTTGTTTTTCTCATTTTCTCGTACTTGCTTAGCGTGGCTTTCGGCCTAGTAGTTGAGATCCTGTTAGGGAAGAAGAAAATTTTTCTACCTGTTCATCTCTGAGAGGCAGTATGTGGTAGACGTCCTCAACCCTCCCTAGTCTCTGTCTCTCATCGTAGAAGCTCTTAGCGACTGTCTCCCCGACACCAAAGAATCCTCCTGTAACTAGCGTCACTTTCTGTAACTTAGCCAGAGCTTTCCCAATCTCTCTGTTCAAGAAAGGAGATCGTAAAGGTCGCCATTGAACTACGGACATTTTAGCGGTCTGAAAACATTTTTTTAACTGAAGCTTATTTGTGATGGTTTAATATTGTCCAAGCATTAACAGAAGGACCTGGACTTGAATATGAGTCTGGGTTTGTATTAACAGACGTCCCACAACAACAACAAAAATTACTTTATTTCGTTGAGAGTCAGAACAATTGGTTTTTCTTCACCATTGGTATTATTGCGATGAACATTCCTGAATCTTCCAAACATGCACCACTGTCCAGGAGACCAATAGCACACTCATTGTACCCACCAAGTTTCAAGTTGCATCAAGCCCTATGTAAAATAACAGTGGCTGGGCTCTACCTTCCTCAATCCTACAAAATCCTCCAAAAACCTCCTGATGGAGTTTGAAGGATTCAGGATGGGGAAGGGGGTATGGTTGACCCCACTTACTTGCATATGGCTTCACTCTTGTCGTAGTAGAAACTGGTTCCACCTGAGATGTAGACACAATTGCTGCCGGGAAGTTTCTGACATATGCTGCTGACCTGTACGGAACGCAAAAAAAATATATATTTTGGATGAAACTCATTTCACATTTCAGTTTTAAAGTACGACAGATCAAAATCCCAAACTGAAGGTAGATTCGTAACTTTGCACCAAAGTGAAAGAGAAGTTTGTTTGACTTCACTAAACCGGAGTTAAAATACATTCAACTTTTGTAAATTTGCAGCAGGAATACTTGCAGTGACATCATATAATTAGCATTTGTATGAAGCAGCCTTTAACCTTTAAATATTCAAGGCCCGGAATTTACATGAGCTTCAAAAAAACATTCTTGTATCATTTTAATTTCCTGGCAGGCAAAAGCTGAAGGACTGTTTTTTATAGCAAAACTCACACGTGATTCAATTTGGGATTCCTGGGCTCCGTTCATCGCCGTGCAGTCTGGCTGGTTTGGGTTGAGGGCGCACTTCACTCTCGCCAGAAGCGACTGCTTGTAATCTGCTCTTCTGACATCCTGAAAATTTAACCCAAAAAAAATCATCATTCATTTAAGTTGATATAAATAAGACATGGATCAAATATAAATCAGCTCAATAATGTGTACATAAGTACATACTCTTCAAGTATTCAATACTGGACCATGAACAACAGAGGACAATAGGGTCCATTGTGCACTCATCAGATGATGAAAGCAGTTATTGAAGGTTTCTCAATTGTCTTTTTTGTAAACAATTTGCCCTCATATCTTACCTCAAATGTGCTTGTGCCGATCAGCATGCTCATCCATCCGGGCATCTCAAACTCTTCGTACTTCAACGGCACCACTCGTTTGCGTTGCTCACAGTAAAAGACCTAGGTGAAACAAAAGCATTGCACAGGTAAGGGTCACCCAAAGCATCAAGACAGTAAGAATCGTTCATTAGGAAAATTATGTTTACATGGTATTATCCACAAATCTTAATCCCATTAGTTGATGAACAGTCACGTGACTTAATTCCACTTTATATATAACATTTTCAGGTAAAAGCTAAAAAAGAATTGGCGTACTTTTCAGTACTGTTTTTGCCCGTCACCACTGTTTATTTTACATGCACTGTGTACTAAATGTTGTCCGATTGTGAGTTATAGAAATCACCAGATGGCTGAAGTAGGACTCGAAATCAAAAACCTTCTGCCTACTAGTGCAGACACCTTTACCTCTCAACCACAGAGCTTGCTGGTTCCAATCTGACAATAACAAGTGCAGCTCAATTACCTTGCAAGATATTAGTGTACTTACAAGTCATCACAGTATGTGTTGCGGACAAGTTTACTCACAATAGGCTGATTGTATCAGGCATTAGTAACAAGAATCGGGACAAATTTCCCAAAATCTTCCCACTATAAGGTTATCAGCATTCAGCAAGTTCAGGCGCAAACCATAATTAACCATAGTTTGACTAACGTAGCTCGAGCGTTGAAATTGTTGGACTACTCTGGTTGCCTATTTGGAATCGGAGCACAGGGCATGGTTGCATCACTGGTTACCAATAGCTGCACGAATCATAATGCACAATGGGAAGTCATGACCAAGATGTTTGTGATGGCGCTTTGACCACTGACATAAATGTCTATGGTTTTGACCAGAGTTTGGCTAGAGGTGTTAGCACGTTGCTATTAGTGCGCAGGCGAAAGTTACATCACAACTCAACCACTAGTCGATTAATGGTCCTTGTCCGAACTTGCCCATTGTTTACAAACTTTATGTTCGCAGTCTATCGCGGATTTTTAATGACGTGACTCCTTACTTGTTGTTTGCCTGTATCTGAGGAAGCGAAGTCCTTGGATAATACAAAGACGATGACGCCAGCTTCAGCCGCTTTCTGCTGCAGAATGCTGACAGCGTTGGCAGCATTGTCTTCCTCGTCGAAAAAGTCTTCACTGTCCAATATCAATGTGGAGTCTAAACATGAACACCAAAAAGAAAATCATGTTTGTCCTTGAGGACTGAATTGAAAATGAACACAACTGAAAATGGGATTTGCTGAAAAGAACTGTGATGATGGTGTCAACAAAAGAATGTTTGTTGTAGTGAAAAGTGGTTTTAGTGATTTCAGCCAGTAACATTGTTCATAAAATTTAGGAGCTCAGGGGAAAAATTGTAATAGGTCTACAATTAATTAAATCATGTCTACTACCAATGGAAACCACTTTACCAATTTTCACATCATCAGGAAGAACTCCATGGGATATTGTCGTAAACATTCAAGTCTTTAAGATTCAAATTATTGAACAATCGTAATCAAAACACAGGGCCATCCTGCCCGGCTGCTGCATGCAGAAATACCAAACTCAGGCTGGTTGGATTGTCTATTGTGTAGAATGGTGTTGAATAATATAAGACATTCATTGCAGATGAATGCAGAAAACAAACTGAAATATGTGAACTATTGGTTAATTACCGTCTTCAAGTGCCCGGGACTGGGAGCAGAAATTCATGGACCCATCGTCGACTTCTGAAGTACACCAGGCCTCGTAGCCCTGTGCTTCAAAGAGTTCTTTCAACTCTTCGCCCTGAGGAAAAATAACACAAGAAGTTAATATAATTATCTCAAGTTATGACCATAACAACTACTCTGAAAAAAAATAAAGACTTATATACAGACTTATGTACAGGCTTAAACTGAGTAATAACAAACAATTTGAAAATTTGAAAACAGATATTTTAAACAGACTTACAAATTCTCGTTGTTTGGGATGGACGCTGATAAAGACCATGGGGGCGCCCTCCCTGCTCTCAGTAACGACTGTCATGTTGGTAGGTAGACCCGGCGGTAAGGCCGAGGGGTAGCTCCGTAGTAACGGGGACTGAGGGAATGAAAGAGGTTTAGCGATGGCAATGAAATTGAGACAGTCGCTGTGCAGTGGTGTCAAAATATTTCATGTAGATGATCCTTAATTTGGGAATGGGCTAGTTTCTTTTCGTTTGGGCTGTTACATGTGACCTGTCACTACATAATGAGCTTTAAGTTGGAAATTACCACACACACTGTTGGACTTAGTTTCTGGAGGCATGCCAAACCCAATGTAAAAGACCATCAGTTTAGGGGTACTGTACCTATCCCAACAGATTTCAACAACACCTGCTGTTGAACTTTGATGGGTTGAGTTCGGTTAGGGTTAATGAACAAATGTGAAAAAAAAACTGTTAACTTGACTTATTATTTTATACCAAAAGCAAAAATTGGCTTACCTTCTTTTCCGATTCTTCTTGCGCTTTTTTCCTCGCATGTGCCAAACACCGCGTCCCAATGTCCTTACTGACGCAAATCACGTCGCCGTGGTCCCACGTATACGTCACTTGCTCCTCGCACGATTTGTCTGCCATAAGACGGAAAATTTTCTCTGGAAATAACAACGAGGGCGTGCACAAAAGAACGCACAACACTTTTACATCAAGGGAGGTAGAGAACGGTGGTTAGTACATGTATTAAGAGCCGATTGGTGGAGATGCAGTCAAGGCTGGCCAATCGGGTGTTAGTTGCGTGATGAGTGATCACTGCGATGTTCGGCACACTTTAAATGCAGGTATCTCTCCTGTTAACTGTGAGTGCGCTAGTGATGCTATTAGTACAGCTTGGACTACTTACATGTGCATGTGCACTCTACATGAAATGATCAACCAAAACTCAAAAATAAACAAAACGATTAAACAAAAACTCAGAAATCAAATTTTAGTTTAGACATGCTCAACTGAGCTCATTTTGAGCTGAAAGTGAAATCAAATGAGCTCAATTGAACTCAATTTGAACTCAAGTAAGCTTCATTGCACTCAAATTGAACACAAAGCGAGCTCAATTAGTGAGCTCAAATGTGCTAATTTGAGTTAACGTTTTGCTCATTTTTCGATCAGAAGTATTAAAAATCTACATGCATTGTCCATTTGAAACTTTGCAATGATAACTTCACACACATGAGTATGTTGCTTTTCACTGCAATGTCAAAATACGTTGCGTTTTTTTCCACACTGGCGAACAGGTTGCATCGCGCCTTTTCCATACCGGCGAACATGTATACAACTTTGTATACATGGAAAGGGCGCGATGCAACCTGTTCGCCAGTATGGAATAAACGTGATGAATAGTTCAACAGAAACTATTCTTAGCATGCCCTTCACTCCCATCATGCATCTGAAAATGCAGGTGAGCATTTCCACGGCAACAGTGCAATAGAAGGTTGAAAAGTCGTCCAAAAAAAAAAAAGCATGTGTTAATGTCACTCCAATGCTATAGCTGACACTATATCTACTGATGCACTAAGTTATCTGAAAGAAAGGAAATGAATTGAAATTAGTAATCTACCAATGAGAAATGGTGAATCAGTATGGGGACAATTTGTACGAAGTTGCCAAGTCTGCAATTTTCCTTAGCATAAAAAAAAAACATTTTGGTAAGTGTAAAAAGTTACCAGGCAAAATCCATACATGGGTCATTTTATAAAAATTTGGGGTCCACTTTTGTCCCGCTGTCCCTGTTACGATTTTGTAAATTTTGGAATAACTCCTTAAATGCCTTTGACCCCAACAGAATGATTATGTAAAGCAACTACAAGTACCCAACAAATGAGAATAGTTTGAACTCATTTTAATGACACTCAGTGACAAATTGACAAAATGGTGTCACTTAAATATTCAGGGTGACAGAGACATGACAAATGTCACATTTTGGATCCTAAATTTACAGAATGATCCACAGGTGAACATCAAGCCTTGAGCATTGTTATTTTAGGATTGACATAGCAGATAAATATACACAAGTCTATGGGTAAAGAAATCTGCAATTTTTTTCAGGCAACAAGTTGAACCATAACATGAAAAGTAAAAGGAGAAAACAGTGCAACACTTTCGTAACTTTTGTGCTCAAGAGCGAGACATTTATACTGATGTATGCTAATGCAGAATCATTTATCCTGATGTGAACTACTCAAAGCTAACCATAAACTATGCAGCTGAAATACCACCCTGGCTTATGAGCCTCATATTCTGAGACTTTTCACTGATTGCTTTTTGCAAAGAGCTATGAGAAACCCTTGAAATTATAAAAACTATCTAAAAGAATTTACTAACTGCCCTTTTAGTGAACTAACATACTGAACAAAATTATGAAATCAGATAATAACTGAAATCAAATCACATGAAAAGAAAATTTGCTGCAAGAAGATTTTAGTCAATATCACGGCAAAGGCAAATTCACATTCTGAAACATTTTTTCCCATTATACTTCATCACACAAAGGAAGAGCAATCTGATATAACTTATGAATATTCATTAGTGCCACCTTGTACCCTTACCATAGAAGAAACAAACAACACACCTCATGAATATTCAGTGACCTTACAAAGAGAGTACCTTTTGATTACACCTCATACATATTCAGGAGCATGATCTTACCCACCAGCACACTTTATTGAATATTCATGATGTGACCTTAACAAGAATGTGCCAATCAATACACCTCATGGAAATTTAGGAGTGTGACCTTTACATTACCAAGAGTCTGCCATTTGACACAACTCATGCATATTCATGAGTGTGACCTCTCACCTCTATCCTGTTTCCCCTGTCTCCAGTTGATGAACTGTGTGGTTGCAAACTGAATCGCCAGACAGCACGGCGGCCATGTCTCTACAAAGGACACCGGCACGATGTACTTGTTCAAAATGTCCGCCAGCTTCAACTGAAACAGAAATGTGACATTCGTTTATCCCATAAAACATGCATCCCTAGGATTTCTTGCTGAAGACCCGTGCACACTTTGGTTTATAAACAGGCTTACTTTATTCAGGAATTCATTTCAAATCACTAGACCCTAAAGGTCCAAATAATTGCAACAGTCAATCCTCCATTTAAAGTCACTTCACACAGTTCCAGACAATGAACTTTATTTAAATTTTTAGAATAGTTTAGTCCAGTGTTGAAGTCACATCCAACAAGTCCTCGAAAGTCCATCAAGTCATCCAGTCTTAAATCAAGTCACAAGCTATACAAACGAACCGTGTCAAAGGCATTCCTTTTACTTGTGACCAGACTTGTGATGGACTTGACTACATCATCACATCGAACCTCCCAATTCCTACCTCCCTGTTTGTCCATTGTGTTTCTCCGTATCTCCGTGTGACTAGTGGCACAAACACCTCACAGTTACTGACTGCATAGTTCAGACTGTCCTGCCAGTCGCTCCCAGAAAAGATTTCATGAACGTCCTAGAGAAAAAGAGGATTCCCATAGCGTTTAATAAATTAGAACCAAAACAATCCCAAATCAAACCACCAAAACAGCTGAATATAACGTTGCTGTGTTACCAACCATGTTAGTAGTGTTACTGTTGCAGTGTTACCAAAACAATATTTTGAAAAAAAAAACCCAAAAGGCTGGATAGCTCAGATGGTTCAGTAGATCTGAACTTGCAGTTCAAAGGTCTCAGGTTCAACTCCTACAAGCTTTTTCCAAACCTCGACTTTGTCAGATTCAGAAATCTTTGATCCCCTACTTGACCCACGTTTACCCCAGAGCACAGCCAGATCGAATGTGCTGATTTTTGCGGGAGAAGGAAAACCAGAGAATCCAAAGAAAAAAGAGCCTAGGTGGCACAGGAGAGAATCAACTCTACTCACATACATGTATGACCCAAGCCGGGAATCGAACCCAGGCCACAGTGGTGAGAGGTGGGCACTTTACGCACTGTGCCAACCATGTTACCTGGGTCTACTAGTTGAATCAAACCAATTGATATTCTGAAATTGTTTTCTTACCAGATACACGCTGAATTTTAAATCCTCCAGAGCCGTCTTCAGGTCCAGCGCATACTGGGAAGCCTCGGCCCGTACGTAGCTGATCAGAATCTGCTTGGCTGCCTGGCGTTTGGACTTGGACAGAAGGAAGGAGTCACCGTGGGGGATAGGGCTTAGGGGTCGGGGGATGCTACCGTGGGTCAAGGCAAGGCTGACATTTTCGAAGCTGAGAGGGGATGGAGAACGACTACAGATTGAGAAAAAAAAAATTCAACACAAAGGTTTAAGAGCAATTCCAAAAGGAAAGGTTTTCAACCTAAATTTTGTTTATAAATTCAGGTACCGGTATGCTATTAAATTTTACTGGAGAATTTGATATCAGTGTTAGAAAAATGCACAATATTTTAACCAATATCCTTAACTCCCCAAATGGCAAAATTGCAGAAATTTTGAAACTCAGAGTAAATGACAGATCTTTTAAACAATTTGAACAGCTTAATTTTTAAAAGCATAAATTCTTCCAGGCAAAGTGCACAAATATTTTACCTCTTTTTTATTCATCTTTAGAAGTGCCTAGGTGTGAAATGGGATCTACATCATGATCTTTCTACAAGAATATTTGTATTAAATCCTTACTATTTTTGTCTGGGTGTGTCAACAGTCAGGGTGTGTCCGTTATCTTTCTTGAGGTCATCGCAGTCAGGATCATCGCTACTCGCATCAAGGAAGTGAAGCCTGACACAGGAACCTGACAGGATATCAATGATGGTCATGGCTTCCTCCTGCTGGGAACAGATCGGCCAAAAGTTACGGTCCACAAACACCCATTCGCCTGCTGGAAGCTGGTGGCTACCGCCGAGCTGTTTCCAGAGGGAGAAAATGAATTGTGATTGAGACCAGTAGATATAGACATATATCTTGAAGACAAGTCTAGCTTACCGGTAGATACACCAAGTAACATAAGAAGGGGAAATAAAAAGCTATAATTCCAACTCTAAAAATTACCATGGTAACACATACTTGTGCTAATATTGCTTCTCGAAGTTGACTGATTGGTAGGCTAAGAGACGATACGAAGATGAAACCGAGCGGCCTGCCTTTCTCCGTTGAGACTCCAACACGAGGCTTTGCTGTGGAAGACAAAAGTTCAAGCTTTTTAAGTCCACTGAGTCTTTCTGAGGAGTTATGATTGATGATATCACTACATGTATCAACACTGTCGCTTACACTGCTTTACAGTCACACAACCGGCAAGGTTTGAACTAATTTGTTATGCTTGTTGACTTGTTGGCTTGTTTGTTTGTTGGGTTGTTGGGCTGTTTGTGTATTTGTTCATTTTTTCACTCGACGTTTATCTCGTAATACTTTCAACCCATCTCAGCCTACATCATGTACAACCTACCTACATCATGTACATGTAGTAAATAGGGCCTACAGCCCATCAAACACAGTCTAAATGACTAAACTTCACATTTGCTCCGTGTAATTAGTTCCCACTGAAACCTCTGGAGTAAATGAATAGACATATAGGCCCTAAACATTTTCTTTTAATGATGCCTATAAAATAAAGACTGTTTTCTAGCATTTATTTCCATTTTTTATGCATTTTTAACTTCTTTCTTATGGCAGGAACGCTCCTCATTATCATGATAACAGCCACAGGGTGGGAATAGCATTGCTGCTCGATACACGTACAGAGAAAGTATTGTTCTTGTTTTGTTCCATGCTATTTTCATGTGACTCATGTCAAACACACAAAGCAAAATGAGTCACAAGTGTCCAGCTCTTCTTTAGAGCAACGGATGTTTCCAAAAAATGTAACGTAACGGTAATCTATAGGAACGGCAACATAATATCTGTAATGATTAGATATCAAACTGAATAATGTTATAAAAATAGAGTAGTGTTCTTTCTACTGTACATGTATGTGAAAAATTAAAAATTGAAAAATTGATTTACAATTCCCTGGGTTTGGTCACAATTGAGAATGAAAAGAATTCCTTTCCATTTTGGAAAAATGTAAGAATCATCTGGAAAAAGATTTTCAAAAACCTATTTTGTCCTCCTTTTTTATTGCGAGTATAATTTTCTTTTTTGGGGGGGGGGGGGTTTGAGTATTTTATGTTTATGTTGACATCATCGACAACTGTCCCACATTTATGTTATCTACCACCTGCTGACAATGCAAATATTGATCCGAATTTTTTGTCAAGTATTTACACGGACGTCCTGATAAGATAAAGGGTACGCAAAAGAATGCTAAATGCAGCTCAAATATCTTGACACTGCGACAGCATGCCGCCACACAAGGACTGAGCTACTGAAATACCGGTACCATAATTCTGTTCTCAATCATCTCGGAAATGTCCCCATAAATAAGGCAACCACATGAAGTTGTAGTACAGTGCGTGAACTTTGTACTGTACATAATGAGCATTAATTCTAAATGTGCAACCTATTTCAAATATTTATTCCTTAAACGCTGCTAAAATATGTACTGCATGTACATACACAATCAAAAAAAGATGCAAAAAGAAGCTTGTAAAAATTCAATGGGATTGCTTATTACAGGAGATTAAATTTTTCTTCCGGTTCCTAAACAGAGAGAACCTGTCAAGTTTGAAGTTTCAATACATCCGGAATTCATTCATTCATTCACCAGTCTTAACAATGATATCACATAAAACGGAAATGAACAATTGGACTTGTTCAGACAAGTCCAAAACTTGACTTTTAAAGCAGACAAAAACAAGCACACGTACACAACCAACCGGGCCAAAAGGAACATGTACACACACTTCAAATAACTCATTCATGAAACCGAAAGTTCACGGTGATCTACACAATAGTACAGTTTATCCACATCTTTACACTATGAATGCACCTTTTACTGAGGTGAACTTGGAAAAATATACTGTACAGACAGTTCTGGCTACCATTATAATAAGATGCCATACATGCAATGACAGGTAACTGAGGGATATTATGTACACATACAATGCTTAATGTAATTGATGCGTGATTTGAAAGCTCATTAACCTCGGGCCTCGAAGAGCATCCACAACCACAAATTGCAGGGATGTGTACAAGTTGGGAAGCTTAGATGTTATCCAAATCTTGGCTTCATATCAAATTCAAGTTCATATTTGACAACAGAATCATTTAGAAGCCTTTAATGTCTCACCAATGGAATTATACGTAGTTTTAAATTTGGCATACATGTATTACAATATGTAGGCCCAGTTCCTTTGAAGTTCCATGGACTCAAATTTAGGCTGAGTCCCCCAAGTCATCAGGGATAAAATCTCCTGTGTGAGCCAAAGCTCGAAGCAAAGCCAAGGTTCAAAAACTCCCTAACTGTGGCTTATCTTACTGGAATGTGCCAAACAATGAAAACACTTCAGTGTTGGCATAATATTATAAGATTTGATGTTCATGAAGCAGACCAAGGACCACCTATTGAGCCAGAGTCTCATATGTTGGGAATTTAAACATGTCCTGAACCAAAGCTTGAGACAAAGCCTAAGTTTGGAATAAGGCTTTTAGTCGTCTTACCATAATCGGGCTGTATTCTGACCACCCCCTCGTCATTAATGAGATGCTTGACTTTAATCATGGATTCCTGGGCCGAGGTGACGGGCCACCTGTTCAAGAACAAGTGAGGAAAATAAGAAGCTGACGTGAGGATTTATGAGGATGGATTTTGGTGGAGTCAATGAGTCAGGTTAGTGCAGGGGTGTCTGAGCTTTGCACAACCTTCTCTGCTGTCCACTGCTATGACCCGCGTTGGAATCCCAACCAAACCTACAAAAGGACTGAATTTTCCGCCCCCTCTGAATTCTGTAGATTCTCTTCTGAATCGGGTTTGTCCTCCAAACTCTGAAAAAATGAGCATCTATTTCCTTCACTTATGTGCTCTGTACATAAATACCTGGGAGGGACATTCGAACGCATTGCCGACGCTACCAGTACGGCTTTATGCGCATTCAAATAAAATCAGTCAACTGCACTTATTTCGTAACCTTGTGACAATTTGTTTTCATTTGATGTCTCATTCACAATAGAATAATTTTGTAGTGCTGAACAAAAAATAACAATGTAACAAATTGATAAATTTTTGGGGTGAAAGCTCAAAAATAGCACGGGCAGTTAATTTTCAATGTGTTTTTTGGGGGGATAAAACAACTGACCCCTGTTTGGTGAGGAAGCGAAAGGAGGCAGGTAATGCCTCCACCTGCTTCTGCATCGCCTCTCTCATCTCAACAACGGTCATGTGACTTGCATCCATCAGGATGAAGCCCAGGGCCGAGTCATGCTCCGTGTTGCCATGACAACCCATCTCGCTGGTCAGGCTGATGCCCACCAGCGAGTTGCTCTCTTCGTCTGAAAGTCAAGAAGGGAAAGAAAACAGATGTCAAGGGTGGTTGTGATATAAGTTTGTTTCTCGCTGGCCTTGACAATATGAGTTGCTTTCATCACTGGGGCATCGATAGTCAACATTTCTTTGTCAGGGATTTACTGTACTTGAATTTCTTGTTATTAAAAAGTTTAAGTAAATTAAAAATGTACTGGTACACACAACTATAAACTAACACTTTCTTGGAATAAAGATTTTTAGATAAAGTTTTTTTGCATTTTTTGTTAAATATATATATCAGAAAATACTCTGTATTGATGACGTCATGACGCATTTCTCACAATTGTAAAATGTCATTCTTTGTACATTATGCATGCTCTCTGGAATGAAATGGAATGCAAAATCAAGATGTCTTGCAAGGCTTAGTGTACAGACAGATGTACATAAATTGACATGCATGTACCATTACCTGAATTTGTAGACATGAATTAAACATGTTAACCCATAGCACCTTTTACATTGTATTTATTCACTGAAAAAAAATTCCAATACGATCAGCGAGTGCTCGGGGCGGATTCGGCACTACTGAGCTGGGACATAATGGGTTAATATGCAAAAACTTATCTTCTCAAAGCACAACATGTATTGAGGGAAAGATTAGGAATATTGGATCTTTCGTCTGACTCGTGGTCCTCAACGCAGTAACAAGATTATGTAAATGGTATACTCATGGATCTATTTAATGCTGTAGTCATGCATCATGATTACATGCCCCTATTGTTCCCATACACGGATCATGGAGGCAGGAATGCACGGATGTACTACATGTATATGTGATGGGACCATTTCTTTTATTTAGAAAAGACAAAAAAAACAAAAAAAAAACAGGCCAAACACCATTCCCAAGTGCATACTGCATCCACCTATTTTTCACTGTACCTCTAAAAGCGTCCATCTCTCACTAAATAAAAATTTGGTGGGTGTGACTATCCCATTCAACAGCTATGACCCTGACCTACGGTAGGTCTCCACAGATATCCTGTACATGCATGTTTAATTCCAATGCATGATGAATAGTACCACCATAGAGCTAGCTCTATGGTACCACCAAACAGGAGGCTACTATCCTGCTACACATGCAGACAATATAAATACTGCACAGTAAACTTATACAATGTAAGCTCATACAAATCATTTCGGACCTGCATGTATACATGACACATTCATGTATTGTGGTTCTCAAATGAAAAGGTGCGGGCGCTGCCATCCGGTTTGGATATAATTTTAAAATAATAATGACAATAGTAAATGCCTCTGTTCATCATTTAGGAACAAACAACAATTAGCACATAATCAAGCTGGTCAAGAACGTCCTGCACACAGTAGTCAGTGCACAAGCAAGGGCTCCAGCATGCTTCATGTCCATCATTCCATGTACTTTATACCTCACAGAGCTCAAACAACTGTTCAACTTACTGTCATTTTCGTCACCACTTTCCCCGTTCGTCATTTTCCGCGTCTTCCTGGGAGAGCCTGAAACATCATCACCATTAGCCACACGATTATTGTCCAGTCTAAATTTGATTTTTCGACTCATCTTTATCACAAGAACTTGGATGAATAAGCACTCTTGAACAGTCTATAAATTCTTATAAGAGTTGAAGTTGAAGATACCAACTGTGAGTCATGTTTCAACTAGAACATCCACGCATTTACAGAGTCCAACTAAAACGTAGATACAATGTTATCTTGGTTTACGCACAATCTTAGCAAAACCACAGACAAAGTGAAATCAAAATGCGGGTACGGTGTACTACAAGTCCCAACTGGTGCAGCTACCGTACAAAAGCAAACTAGTATGGAACACCCTGCCAGTTCACCCAACCAGTGCGCAAGTGGTTCCCATAAACTCAATGCCCAGTAACATAAACAAATTTGGCAAGTTTGCATTGTGAGCATGTTCAAGGCCCACACGCGAACAACACACGTAAGAATGCGATAAAAAGGTCACTTGTTACCAAAAAAGGTCAGTGAATAAAGGGAAACGACAGACTTGGGGTACTTTGAACCAAGTGGTTTGGAGCCAACCCCACCTGCCATTCCTAATCAATTGGAATTGGCTAAGTTATCGACTACTTCCAGATAAAAATTGTTGGCTGCAAATATTTATTGATCGATTTATTTACTATAAACAAATATACAAATATATAAATGGGGAAAATTCCAGGCAGTTTGAACTCTGGAAAAATAATGTTCAATTAAACCAAACGGGGATTTATAAACTCTTGAGGCCTAAAACCTAAAACTGATGACCTTCCCCTTTCTAGTTAATATGAGAATATATTGAGCAAAGAAGTAATAACTGGAACAGGGTTTGAACCAATGGCCTCCAGAAAAGTGTACGTGTACACTACCAACTTGCATGTAGCTATCCAGCCTTGAAATATCTGATGAGAAAAGTTTCTAATTAATTTCTGAAAAAAATGCATTTTTTAGAGAGTACGTACAATGTACAGTTGATACATGTACAATAGTGAGTCAGTATTACATTTTAATTAATTACACTGTTTAACAATAACAACTTGATTCTAATGATAATTTGATGTACATTACATACATGTACCATATGAATACACCTGTGCTACATACAATGTATGTTCCAGAACGACTCCTCTCCCCCCCCCCCCCCCAAAAAAATAATTTTAAATAAAAAATGTATGAATTAATTGTAAATTTATGTTTACATTATTTACATTCAAAAATCTTCATTGTATACCTCAGATGGTAAAATTGCAGGATACCAATTTCAACTATCGGATTTTTAAACATTCAGGAACAAATTTCGTCAATTTAAAATTTATTGGCCAATTTGGTGCGTCGCTGCCTGCAAATCTCATTCATTCGGTGACTAGAGGCATTTAATTGCTGAAACTTAAGGAGCAATGCAAAACGAGCTCCTTCCCTGAAGCAATGTTTTATTATAACAGACTCATATTCAGCTGTCTGACGATTTCATCGCAAATTGCTGAAGGGGCTGTATTAGATAACGTGGGCTAGCAGGCGCCAGAATATATCGGTCTACTACATTGCATGCATACATGTCTGGATGGTTTATTTAAACAGAAACAGGCTGCCTTTGGGTTTTGTTATTTATTTTTTTGGGGGGGGGGGGGCAGTAATTTTAAAGGAAAAAGGACCTGTATAGCACAGATTCATTTCAGAATGATCAAATATTCAAATATTCGGATTATCTGACACAGCCCCAATTCACCTAGAAAATACTGAAGTTTTATGCAGGAAAAAAATCTAAAATTCTTGATAATTATTTCCATGTTTCCTGAGAGTATTTGAAAAAATTATACTGGAACTTGTACTTTTCACAACTGAAAATTGAACATAGTTGTTCAGATGTATCCTGAATTTAGAAAAAATTCGCATCATTGCACTACAAGATGTTATTAACATACATGTACTTGTACAATATGTACGGGTACATAGGTGCAATTACCATGACAACATCACGTACTCTGTAATTAACTGGCCACACTTGCGAAGAATTAATTAAATTCCATGGTAGATCAGACACTGGATATGATAAACATGTCTTTCAAACGAACAAACAAAGGCTGAATTAGATGAATTACTATTTGGAAAATTTCCCGGGGACATTTTTTGTTCTGTCAATGTCACACGTTCACTAATTTGATTGAGATATAAACATCAAAATTAATTTCACTGAACCTACATTATGTACACCACCAGGTGGTGTATAATGTATTGATTTCTGTTTTTGCTGCTTGCACTTGCAGTTGCAGTCAGGACAAAAAAATAATTGAACATTTTCGAAAGCACCAATGAAAAAAAATCATTCTCAAGGCAATAAACTGACGGTTATTCCAGCATTTAATACGAAAGGAAGTGTCATGTCCAGAACCACCATGATGTCTAATTAATGATTCAGAGAAATGATCCCGAACTCCTAGGCTATAATCTCCTTGACCATTACCAGAAGACGGATGGGATTGGGATACGATATGAATAAGACATTCCCAGGTTTACATGTATGTACTGAGCTCTTAATAGCTCTGTCAAGGACATTAGATAATGCAGGAATTGCCGGAATGTACTTCCTAAATTCTCTTTGCAACTTTAGAGTTTAATATATTCGGAGTGAGCGCTGTAAATTGCCACTTGTGTGTATAACGGTTTAAAGGTCAATTTTTGATTGATTCTTCAGTTAAGAAAGACAAAAGTGAAACTGTATTAGTCTTGATGAGTGGTTACAGAATGTCATACATCGATCTGTAGGAATAGCTGTCAATTTTCATGCAAGAAATCGGTAAGTGTACGTAGATCTGCTTATAAACCGAAACACAGTTGGGTAACAGTTTTATATTCACAGCTAAAAAAAAAGGCCCATATGGTGCTTAGGGAAATTTTTTGTGTGCTGATCCTAGAGGGCAAGCAAACATGTACATGTATTTAGTCCTCTTTGTACCTCACTGACACTCACTGTGACTTGTGGGTAGGGCAGTGCTGTCATATAGGATATCCGTAATGCCTATATATGGCTAAATCTGGTCCAGCTGGGTAATTGCTGATACATGAAAAAAATGTCCAGTGAATACAATGTAGCTATTCTGAATCAATTGAATAGAATTTTGTGGGCTCTGTGACCAGCTCTCACTACCGGTAGGCTTGCCTCCCCTCCCCCCCCCCTCGCCCCCCTCCCCATTTATGGGACTACACTGTATAATATTTTGTACATTGTACAATATACATGTCTGGAGCCTTTTACAGATTTATAATTGATCTAAAGTGTGCAGCGACGTTATGCTGTGTGTTGCATCATGGGAAAGTTGGCACTACGAGCAGGAACTGTGTGTAGCGCAAACTGTCCCACAATGCAGTGCAACATATACCTGTACTGCACATTTCTGGTCTGCAACTACATGTATTGATGGTGTATGTAACAAGTTTCCAATTAACAAACAGATCTGCGCTCCATCTTTCTAAATCCTCACACCAATCTTGTAAGTGGCAACCCCTCCCTGGATTACGTTTCATAATCCCTTTATACTCTCATGTTCAATCCCCTTTAATGTCACGTCCATGAATTCCAATACAGTTAATCTGTCCTGTTCACTGACGAGATCCAGGATTTCTGTTGACAGACCTAAGCCATCAAGAGGCTAGCTAGGTCATGTGATGTCTTCAAGACCAGGACATCAGGAGCCTGTAGGGCTGTTAACGAGTGCAGGCAAGCAGAAAATTCTATTCCATAGAGAAGCTCAATACAGTATCACTTTGTGCCCACAGCATTGCCAATGACTGCCACACACATAATTTACAGCGTGTACACATGTAAATGTACATATATTGTATGCATGACAGTTCCTATTCAATTATTATTATCTTACGATGCATTCAGTGCTTATATCTGCATCATGATAATTAAAACTGTGGGTCAAATGAAACTTAAAAAAATTCAATAAAACTGTAAAAAAAATTTAAAAAAAAATATTTTCATTAACAAAAAAACGGCTCCCAAGTTAAAATTACACAATTAGGTTTTTATAGGTTTGATATATGTACTCTGAGGCCTCTTCAAATATTTGAAGCTCCTGTGAAAATTTTTAATAGTCTTTGATACTGATTGACATTCTTTAGTAATTATGACAATAATAATGCATGTAATGTGCATTTTATAGGCTAGACAATGTTCTGTTGCAACAGGATTGCATGATTTCATTTCACTTTTTTTCACCTGTTTTTCAAATTTCCAAAAGGTTTTTAACAATACACATTTCGTATTTCATTCACATTTAAAATAAAATTTCTAGTTTCATTTTCTACATGTAGGTTGCTTTCCAAAGAATTTGCAAATGCCATAAAAATCAGGAAACATGTACTTCATGTAAAACTGGCAGTCCATGTACACATGTAAAGCAGTTCATTTATTTTTACCTGCACCTATAATAATACAAATAGTGCACTGACCCTGCCCGTACGTGCAGTTATCAGTATCCACTGTTAGGCCAAGTTTAATAATAAAAAAAACCGTTTCTCCTCCCCGGCTGCTTCCTTTTTTTCCCCAATTGCCTCTTCTTTTCTTCTTTATGCACAATGTACTAGAGTTATCAACTGTTAGGCAATGTAAATTCATACATTTGCATTATATTTTGTCTTTTTATGTATTTCCTAATGTCCAGCAATGTATGCAAGCTCAAAATCTGGTAGAAAAAGGGACAACTCCCTTGGACTCAAAAGTATCAGCAAAAAGGTCAAGAAACTGGAAGAATTCATCTTGGAAAATACATCTTGAAAAAAACATCTTGAAAAAAAACAAACAGGGCCACCTCCTCCCATTTTTCAAACAGCCGGGATGAGAAACCATTTTGTTTTAAAACTTGGCCAGGTTACCAAACATGTATGCAGTTGATTGCTACAAGCTATTAATCAACACAGGCCATGTAAAAAAAAATGGAATGTTTCAAAAGGTCAAAAATGCAATCTGGTCTATTTTTTTTCTTACCTCATTTGTTTATTTTTCTTTCCCTAGCTTTGTATACATGACTTGCTTGTCAAATGTTGCAGTGTTTGTTTTTGTATGCCAAAGGAAAGATTTATTGATGAGGTTCTCAATCTGAGAATTGTGGCTTATCTAGTTCCCAGACCTATAAAAGTTCTTGAAAGTCAATGGTTCTTGAGTTTTGAGTGCTGAATGGTATTGGTAGCACGTACATGTAGCAACCAATGAAAACTGTGTACAAATGTTTTCATCAGATAATCTCACTTCACTCCGATCTACATGTATACTCAGGAAATTATACTTATGAACAAAGGAAGTTTCAACTGGAGGGATGTGTTACAACTTAAAATACTAACAATGTTTTCCAAAAGTTTTTCAAGATTATTGTAAATATGCACATGTGTGAGTGGTCTCTGACTTTTCTTCAGGATTTTTTTGCTGTACACAACTAAACTATAAGTGTACATGCATGGAGGACTGAACATGTTCCCCATGGTACATGGTATATTAATTGCACTATAATTATAAATGTTATCTGCAGAAATCCTGCAACCTGATTTTTTTTTTTTTACAAATTATGCAATAACTTTCAGAAGATGAAGGAAAAAAAAATTATTCATATGAATCGCTAAAGCCAATAAATGTTATGTTTTCCAAAGCAATGATGAAATCACCCATGTATGATTAAAGGTGGTAAATGGGGGTTGATGATGATTTGATAAATATTATGGGATACAAAAAATGACAAAACAAAGAATTCCTCTAGTCTAAGGCTGAGTAAAAAAAACGTAATCTTGTCCAGGCTTTTCAAACAAATGAAGGAGGGCCCCCTTTGTTTCCCCCAAGAAGGCAGATGGATTCTTCCATTTTCTTGACTCTTTTGCTGTACAAAATTGTGTCAAAAAAGCAGCCGTAACCCATTCTATACATAGCTACAATTTTGTTGGAAACAAATAAAGAAAATATATATATTGGCACAGTATTTGCAAAATAGGCCTATATTGCAATGTATGTATGAATTAAAAAAATTATTAAGGAGGCGGGCCAGAAAAAGGAAGCGGATGGAGACGAGAAACTGGTTTAATTTTTTGAAAAAATGTTGCAACCTGACGCCACATCCGCGATCATGTACAAAGTCTATGGCTAGTCAAGAAAATTTAAAACAAAATTGGAAATATTTCTCAGTCCCACGTACCGGTACTCCATCCCAGATTCATGTCTTATCATCATTTTTGCAATGAATGACCTTCATTGAGATATGAAGGAAAAAGTGGCGTCAGGTTGCAACATTTTTTCCGACCAAATTCCATGATTTTGACCCATTTTTTTTTTTTTCTTTCGCTTCTCTATTTCAATGAGGAAGTAAAAAACAAAACGCCATAATCGTGACAATCGAGAAGAGTAAACATGGTAAAGCACAACAGGCAGGCATTCATTTGTACTTAATCAATAATTAATCAATTAACATGTAAGGCCCACGAAACTGTTGATGACCACGATGACTCAGTCATGTCAGTGCAAAAATGTATAACCTTTACTAAGCAGCTAAGCCTGGCTGCATAACAAAATGACAGGGGCACATATGCATGCATAGCGTGTGTTAAAAATTCTGACACATGAGTAAACATGACACATGGACTGTTTTAAAGAAAAATACGTGTGTGTTGCAATCTTGATGCCGCGCCAGCCCAACGAATGAAACTCAGACAAATGAATGATAGCTGATCAGATAAACGATTATTGGATTAAGCTCTAAAACCATAAAAAAATTATCACTCACCTTCATCAGTCATAATTTCCGCTCATTATTTCCATGCAGATGAACGCTAAAAAAACGTAAACATAGATGATCGACCCCAATTAATAAAAGGCAATAAAAATCTCCTCCCGGTAATTTTTGACGCAAAACTACAGCGCCCCCAACGTCACGTTACAGATGAAATTATATTAGTCCGGTGCTCTTTATAAACGCACAGGCCCATTCATTTTTCGCGAGACGACGTTGGATTCCATGCGAGCTTTTGGCAGGAGAAGTTTCTGCGCAGAGTCGACTTCGAAGTTCGGGTCTTCGTCTTTCTACTTCTAGTTCTAGTTCAAACTTTATTTATTTTCACTCAAACAGTCGTTTATTCATTGTAAAACTGGCGTACATTGTAGATAACAGATACCTCGATAGTATAGATAGCCATTTTCTGGATCTTGTCCATGCTGATATTGAGGAAATTTTGACATCAGTTGACGTTGAAAAGTGGTGAGGCATAGCCATAGGGACCCGGGCCTACATGCCATATAGCATTAGTAAAATTTAAAAAGACACATTTGAAACTGATTGTTGTCTGGTTGTCAATGGTTGTGTTGAGCTTTTGCAAATTATAATTATTTTTTGTGCGTGTTGTGGCTATCATTACTGCAGCCGTAACGCAATCTCGATGGTGTTGTTGCAATACCATAACGAGGCTAATGCGGAAGGTTCTGGTACCGACAAGTGTTTTTTTTCTTTCTTTTTTTACTTTTTTTATATACCATTATGCATTAGGCTTAATTATGTAAATGTATTTTGTTTCTGTAACAATTGATGACATCTCTTGTCTTTGCATTTTGCGCAGTGTCTTTGTCTTTCCGGCCGTTACCAGTCGGTACCGGTTTCTGATCCATCAAGCCGTTGAGGAGTATCCTGAGCTAGCCAGTTTCTCCATTGGACAGGAAGACGACAGAAGGACAGTTATCTGCCCAAACCATCTGAGGTACCACTTTATTTGATTTATTTAGGAAAACAATGCAATGGGGAAGTATGGTGTTGGCATAAAAAATGACGACATTACTTTTCGCACACCCGACATTTACCATCTATTTACCAGTTTGAACAAATGTCTGTTGTGTGTCAGCTAAATAGTGATTATGCTTCATGTAGGTGGTTATTGACAAGCAGTTTTTGTCTTATGTCCACATCTGTGAACACCCCCACTTTAAAGTTTTGTTTTCATGGATCTTACATTAGCATTATATGAAGTGAAATAAAATTGAAGTTGAATAATTTTGAACTTGATCTTTTGAATAATATTTTTCAGGGCCGGAGACCCATCTCAAACTGAGAACCCCAGAAAGCGAGGCCTTGAGGGCGAGCCCCAGGTAGGGCTGGACAGCACCACCTGGAGACAAAACGAGGAAGCCAAAAAGACCAGGGCGGATTCCTCTTGGGGACTCTTTGGAAGAGAGAGGAGTGAGACCAAGAAGGAAGAGGCAGACAGAGAAGAAAAGATGCAGTCGTCTCAAGACGCAGTCAGCTCGGAAGGCGGGACGCAATCCCAGTCTAAAGAGACAGGAAGGTAAGGAGGCCAATGACTCTTGCTGTCTTCTGATCTGGATGATGTGGATCATTAGGATGTTTTCATCCCTTGGCTGTCTTTGGTATGGTATGGGCTCTGTGCACAGATCGTTGGGGGAAACCACTGGAGAGACATTCCAACACATTGGTGTCGACGCCTGATGCTCCTCAAAGACGCAATGGCTTTGTGCAAATTCAGAATAGAATAAGTCCTGGTTGTTTTATATTTTCTTGTTTGTGGTCATTCTTTGCAAGACCGTCTTCTGTTGTTGGCAAATGCTCTGCTTCTTTGAAGCCAGGGATTAAGGAAGAATTAATTGGGTTATTTGATGTGATTGGAGGAGATAGTTTTTGCATTAAAGAGTGCCAAAACCACATAGAGTGACCACCCTTTCTTTTTCCTCTGTCATTTAGGAAATCCAAAAGGGCCCCACAAGAATTGTACGTGCCCCGAGGCCGCAGACAGCAGGCTGTTGACAGACCAGAGGGGGTATCGTCTGAAGCCAGTCAGCAGCCAAGAAAAAATGAGAAACGGAAGGGACGCGAAAGTGGAAAGGTAAAACCGCAGAGGGATCGGAAAATCTCAACGGATGGGGAAGAAGGCGAGGATAACTCGGCCAAAGAGAAGAAATCACAGAACAGAGGGAGGCATGGTAAGAGAGTGGAACAGCAGAGATATGTGCCAAAGCCACAGAGGGAGGATGCCAAAGCCAGGAAGAGTTCAGATGAGGCCATTACTTTGCCAGCAGGAGAGAGTCAGAATGTATCCAGGGTGGGTAATAGTAGTGCCAAAAAGCAGGTCTCACAGACCGTGGAGTCGTGCAAGAATGCGTCCCCTGTCCCTGAGGATTGGAATGAGATTGATTGCGATGACAAAGAGGTCACATGTCATCCGACAGGAACCAGACTCACTGCCCATGGCAGACTCGTTCCCGTAGGTCCTGGTGATGCCACATTGCAAGAAGCAGCACCGAACGAGATGGAGGTTAAAACACAAGAAATTAAAAGCCAATCAGAAGATGGTATGAGGCTTCAGGAACCTGAGGACAATCCCAAAGCTCAGATAGTATCCAACTTGACCAAAGTCAGTTGCACTGAAGAAGACAATTGGGACACAACAATGAGCAATAATTCTGAAGCAAAGGTTGCTAGTCATACAGTCGAAAGTGAAGAAACCACAAAATTCCAAGATGCAAGTGCGGGCCGGAAAAGCAATAGTAAGGAACTTAAGGAAGACGTTTTGGCCTCTGACACGTCTGAAGCCATGGAAACAATCTGCAAGACAAATGAGGACACTGCTTCGCTTGCTGAAAAATCATCGGTTACCATGACAACAGATGAAGTCTCACAAAGGCAGGACACTGATGCTGGAGTTAGTACAAACACGGATGCTGTGGGCTCATTAAGCTTAAATCACAAATTACCTGGTGGAGAAACATGTCTCGCGTCAAACGCTCCTTCAAGAAATGACGTAGACTTGACAGGGATGCAACAGACCTCAGAAGCATCATCAACGAACTTGTTGCCTGGAGATACTGACCTTAGTGAGACAGTGCAGGGAAACAAGCAGCTTGATCTTGTTACAGATGAGGAAGATGATGCTAGTACTAGATGCAACGAGGAGGCTGTTGCCGTGGAAACTCCTCCAGAAGTTGAGAAGAGCAACGATGCGGGAAATGAAGACGACGATGATGCAGAAGAAGGAGACGACTGGGATGCCATGTTTGATGAGAGTGGAGATTGTCTTAAACAAGAGGAGATGCAAGAGGTATTTAAGTAATATATTTCTTACTCTCCCGCTTCGCCCTTTGACAAAGGGATATTTACACATTGTGCCGTCTAAGAGCTCATGTCAATTTGACTTTACAAGTTTTATTGGGTGGTGGTTAAAATGAAATCTCCCATTTGTCCCTGTAAACAAAAAGAAGCAAGAAGAAAAATAGAGAATGCCTTAACAAATACAACCTTTGTAAAGGGAAAATGATTATTTCTTGAACTTTTTGCAGTTGTCGGAAGGTGTCGGGAACGTTGAGGTTTCTGTGAAGCAGTCCAAAAGAGATTACTACAACTATCAACCCAAGGACAACATGAACTATTCAGGTATAGCATAGCATATGAATAATGATGTTTGTGAGTGCAATGGTAAGAATAATTTTATGAGGTGACAAATGGGATGTTCCATTCCACGAGATTGATGCCGAGTTGAATGGAACACTCCACATGTCACCGAATGAAAAGTTTCTTTCCATTGCACGAATTTGAAAAATGTGAATAAATCCTCGTCATCTGATTGGTCAGAGCCACCAATGAGTGTGACCTTGCAACAGAACTTCTATTTTTGCAGTGGCCGGGCCATGGGTTGGGGCAATTATTCAATGACATGTGATCAACGATCCACCAATCAGATGACAGGGACTTATTCAGGTGTTGTATAATAGATAAATATACCATGCTTTGAGGGTGGAACTCACCAGAAAAACAACATTTGGTTAATGGTGGTTTTTGTAATTGTTCTGTTTCAGAGCTGGAGCATGTTATTGAGGTGTTTGATTTCCCTCCCGACTTCAAGACTCACGATCTGATTACTGGATTCTGTAATATGAAGTAAGAATGAAAACATCTATTATATTAATATTCCACTATGACATGCATACACAATCGGTTACACATCCGTGAACGGGTGCAAGCCTGCCAGTCTATAGTCTATATTTTTGTATATTTTATGCAGAACCAAAGAGATGGACATCAAGTGGATTGACGACACGCATGCTCTGGCTATATTCCCATCATCAATCATTGGTAAGTAAAGCCACACCCCAAAGGAGGGGGGGGGGCGGGACCATTAAATAATACTGCTTCTTACAGTTAAATACCTAAACCCTTTAGCACTTGAATTAAAGTGTATTACACTGTATTTACTCCTCCATACATCAATAACACAATCGAGTGCCGGGGAGATGGGGGGGGGCAGTATGAGGAGTAACAGGCAGGGCAGTTAGGGACAGTACCAGGGCTTACAATTTTAAAGGGTTAACTTTTGTGGCATTTTTGCAAGAAATCTGCCTGAATCAGACAAAACTTCACTACGCAACAGTACTTTTTTGGGGGACCTGTTTGGATATTGTTACACCTGGCAGAACTCTCACTTTGACAAGTATTGAAAGTTGGGCAGGGTTTGCAGACAAATACCCTAGATGGTTAGGGTTAAATTATGCCAGTGCCTCAAGTGACTATTTTTGTTGTTGGCGGTGGATTTGTTTTTATTACCAGCCCAAGACGCCCTGAGCATATCCAACCCCATGTTCCGCACCCGGCCCTTACTCCTCGCCTCCCGGGAGGCCAAAGTCAAAGCCAAGCAGTCTGTGGAGTTCCTGAATCCGCCCAGCAAACCCCGACCCGAGACCTCGGCCGCTACGGCCCGGCGGCTGGTCAGCGGGGCCCTGGGACTGAAGACCAACGAGTCCAAGGAACAGAGGGCAGCAGAGAGGCAGAAGCTGAAAGAAGCTAAAGGTAGTCCAACGTTTATCCTTTGGAAAATCAAACACCTTCGATCTCAGGCTATGCTCCGTGGTCTTAATGGGTCGATGTGGCCGGCAGCCATAGGCGCCTTTACGTGCCAGCGGCCCAACCACGTTGTAGCCGCGTCCTTCGCAATTCAGCATATCAGCTGCGAGTAAGGATGCTGAACCTCCCAAATTATTATTTTGATGTCCAGGGCAAGAGCTGCTAAGCTGAGAATATATTGCTTAGCAGATTTATGTGCTAAGCAGGAATCAGCTGGGAACCAGTCACAAGCAATGTACATTGTGTGACATTTTAGCTGGTAACCTGCTTTTTGCTAAGCAAATATTTTTCATGTTTAGCAAATAGTCTCCTGCTCTACCGTCCGGGTCCAATTTCTTAAAGCCCGGGTCAAACTTCATGCGAATGCGAAGCGAATTTGACGTCATGAAACATTCGCTGCGAAATTCGCCCGAGTTGAAATGTGTTCAACTTTTGCGAATTTGCAGCGCGAATACTTGCCATGATGTCACAGATTCGCATTCGCTTTCGCTTTCGCATGAAGTATGAACCGGGCTTTACTCCACTCACCACAGAATTCTGCATTTATGATAACCATTCTGTGCAATCAGCACAAGCACAAAAATTCTGTGCTAACCCTGTAAGCGCAGGATCCTTAGTTACAAGATGTACGCATGCGCATAAGCCAAAATTCCTTGCTAACCTGTGAAATTATGCTAACTGTCAGCACAGAATTTTCTGTTACCCTAAGCAGGGATTTTTGCTAATGGTAAGCAGAGCCGTGGAATTGTGCCTAGGTAATGGATCTTTTGCTTATAGACTTATCAAGCGACTAAGATAAGACGCCATGAATGAGGTGCTACCACACTCGCTCCCAGGTGCTACACAAGCATTTCACGTTCCTCTGAGCATAAGGTTCCAATTGTATGACGACAAAGTACCACGTGACCAACTGGTTTCCCCATAATCGGCCACCATTGCAGTAGGCAAGCGTTTAGTTAGCACGCACATCATGCATTGTAAGCAAGACAGTAGGGCTGAATTTAACCTAAAATAACTGTGATATTCTTTATCTAATGGCATAATGGTCACTACTTGTCATAATCATGGGAATGATTCAACATGAATGCTTCAAACATATTGTTGATAATTACTACTCTCTCCCCTACCTCCTCCCCATCAGATCGCCGACGGAATGACAAGAGACAACAGGAGGACATCTGGAGTGGTAACATCTGACCTTTGAACTCTGGGCCACCTTGAGGGCGCTCTTTAGATCCTTTGAACTCTGGGCCAGCTTGAGGGCGCTCTTTAGATCCTTTGAACTATGGGTCACCTTGAGGGCGCTCTTTAGATCCTTTGAACTCTGGGCCAGCTTGAGGGCATTCTTTAGATCATAACTCTTTATTTTTTAAAGTTGTTTTCCCATTGCTCTTAAAAAACGAATTTTCAATTTGTATGTTTTGTTTGACAAAAAAAACCTGCTTTATTCCGATTTTGAGTACAAATGAACCGCCCTACGAGAGATGAGTTGTTGCCTGACAGCCAGTGATTCAATAGCATGGGAACTATCTTTGAATGTCTGCTCTTTCAAATTATACCATTGAGGCAGATTATAAAAAAATGCAATAACTGTTAACCTTTGAACGCATACAGAAAGCCATATTTAGATTGAATGTTGAAATAATTGCAGTCATTTGTGTAGGTCGATAGTTTTTACTTTGAATTCAAGTGATTTGTTGTTAATATTGTTGAAATAATTGATCGTGGTTTCTGGGCACTTTTTGCATCCGCCAAAAAGCACATTCCTTTGTAGTATCAAATTTTATTTAAAGGGTTTGCTTTTTGTGCTTTTTTATTTGTTTGAAGCAACAAAATTGCTCAAAATCTTTAGTTAAATTGGAAGGTACATTCCCGGGTAATTGCAAATTGTGTAGTATTAGATCGATCAAAATAAATTGTTTTGTTTTTGCATAGAAAACTGTTAAAGATATTTTAGGACATGAATTGGAGATTCAGATGGAAAGTAAATAAGAAGGTTATAAAAGGTTATAAACCAAACAGAAATATTTCAGTGCACTTAACTGACCTGTTGGAAAAGAATGAAGATCAATCAGTTTTATTGTCAACTATAAAAAAAAAAAAAAAAAAATTTATTTACTTCATTTTTAATTAAACAAATTCAAGCAGTATTACTTATTTTTTAGATTAGACTATGGAATGAATTAGACTACTTTTTAGATGTTTTTCCGATTTTTCAAATTTTATTCAAAAGTTTTGTAAATTTGTTTGTGACACTGGGCACTTTGTGTATATATAAAAGAGTATAAGTTTTATTTGTGAATTGAAATTCATTAAATATCATTTGTACAATAAATAAGTTTTGCTTAACTGAATTCCCTGTTTGAATGAATAATTTTTGTCTGAATGTGAATCAGGGTTGGCGATTTTTTCCTGATGTGAATATGTGACCTGATCAACCTTGAAGTATTTTGCAAAGAAAATCCTAATACAGCACTACAATTAAGAAGTACATGTACATAAGATCTCTTTGTATTTGGGGGTAATTTAACATTTTTTTGGCCACAAATATCGACAAATGTAAAGAAAACACCTAAACTTTGAGCTGAGAATTAATGATTTTCATCCCTCAAAACAAGTCGCGTTACGCCCCCCCCCAAAAAAAATCCCCCCCCAAAAAAATCCCCCCCCCCAAAAAAATCCCCCCCCCCAAAAAATGATCCCTAACTTCCTCACAAGAGGGCGCTTTGCTAACCATCCATGAACCGTCTCAATTTTCTTTTACCTTGTTGGAAATATAACAGCGTAAAATAACGGTATATCCAATTTTAACGTGATCAGATATTCTTTGAGAACTAAAATTCTATATGAGGTTTAAAAATATTTATACAACTTTTAAATAGTCCTAAAGATGATATTTGGATCGAAACCTCTTCAGATGCAAGTTATTTAGGAAATGGCTGTTCTTTAAACACAGGGGAATGAAAATGGCAGATGCAGTATGGGATGGCATATTTACATTTCTTGCATTTGGTGAAACATGGCTGTTGTAGCAACGTGCATAGGCTGCTTGGCCGTTCAGCGTCCAACAATTTAACGGATAATGAAGGCGATGTGTGCGTAGAAAAATGTCTGCTATGTAGGTAAGGGATCGTCGTTTTGTGTACTTCATTAACACAGAGTATATTAATCTGAATGTGTGATTTTGATGCTTTTTTATTCGATTTTTTCCCTAGTTTGTTTGCCATGATCAACCACTCACAGTCACAGCACACGCTCGTATCGTGTCATGCGCCAGCAGTGCCACAAATCACATTATTGTACAGTGGCACAGGGTCATGGGTAATGGTGATTGATGTACATACACAATGTACAGATGTAGGCGTGTGTAAACTAGCTAAGGAAGGCACTGACAAAAAAGTGGGAAACATTTTGCAACCTGATGATGCCACTTTTTCCTTCATACACTCATCTCAGTCAATGAACTATGAAGGCAATTCATAATTTCATTGCAAAAATGACTAGATAGGCCCTAAATATTGACGCAGTGGCTATTGTTACGGCAGCCGTAACGCATTTCCCATTTTCTATCGTTACGGACTACTGCAACTTTTATAAAAACATGAGAAGAAAATATAAAATTAGAAGGAAAAAAGTGAATTTGAACGTTATGAAATTCGGACTTTATTTCCCTTTTATAAAAAATCCTCCAAAGCCTCAGGTGAGAAAAGGAAAAAAGTGCGAGTGCAAAACTGAGATCTATGCGAACCCGCAACCTCGCGGTGCAAAATCCTACCCTCTATCAACTGAGCTGTCGCACTGCTTGCTAAAACGTGGGGAAACAAATAATTATATACCTGCGTGCGTATCAAAAAAGTATCGTAGAGGGTGCTAAACAACGGCTGCCGTAACGATAGCCACTTCGAAATATTAAAGGGAAGATACATTTGCAAACATCAAAAACTAATTGAATTAGTTTTTGATGTTTGCAAATGTTGTATCTTCCCTTTAATATGATCAAATTGTCACGAAATACTTTACTGGATTGTTAGGGAATGATAGTCTAAAGGGCGATCGTGTAGTGTAGGGCCCCTGTTTTGTTTTGATCAAATTAGAGTCAAAAATGTTTTTTATTGCTCAAAAATCACCTTTACAATCAAAAGCAGACTTTTCTCAATTCTAATGACACCCGTTTTGCAATTTTGAACAGTTTCTTGGGCTAGAAATCACATTTTTCCTGCGCGGTTTGTGCCTTGCGATTCAGCGCGCCGTGCGTGCTCACGGTACATCGCGCGGTGATCACCATCTTTATTTTCAGGTTGCGTGTTGTCGCTGCGCTGTCATCGTAATTTCACCCCAAAATTTCCCTCAAAAAATCAAACCATACCCTCTTCTATGACATACCTGTTTATTGAGAATGTCGCCAACTAGTTTGGTTGGTCAGTGATAATTTTAAAGTGGATTTTTTTCCCTTTGGAACCGGGCCCTACACTACACGATCGCCGTCTAAAGCATCCTTTGAAATCGTGTCTCCTGGTGTGCTGACATTTTCAAGAAAATTTGTGTTTTTCCAACGCTGGTCGGCCGACCAGCGTTGGAGAAAACTGGCCTTTCTTTCAAAAACCGCTCCGAATTTTTCATAACAGTTGTTCCGCATTGTCTTTGCAATTGATACACATCTGTGTTACTTTCCTACCTTTTTTTGGCAGTTCGCCATCTTGCTTTTTTAGTCTATTTTCTGTTTGTCATTGTCGTCTTTTACCCTCATACATGTAAATCAAAGCCCCGCCCTCTTTCCAAAAAATTAAACCTGCTGATATTTAAGAAGGTGTCATTGCCAACAGTTCAAATGTGTCAAGAAATATCAGAATGTCACTTTTGAGTGTCATTTCGTCAGCTGTTTTGGTGAGTCTTTTAACCTTCTGTAGGAACAGGGTCCTAAAGGTAAGGATTACCGAGTTGTTCCAACTCACCCCAGTAGAAACATATTTTCTGTTACAGCTATTAAAGACTGGAATGCATTGCCGTCCAATATCAAAAGCATCTCCAGTCTTCCAGTATTTAAGAAACAAGTAAAGTCACATCTATCACAAAAAGCCAACCATAGGGAAATATAGTGTTTTGAATTAATGTGGCTGATTTTAATTGGAAGGGGATAAACACCAGTAATATTCTTTTAATGACTTTGATTGTTCCAATTTTTTTTAATTATATTCGTGGAATTTTGACTGTGATTGTAATTCTGAGTAATTTGGCAAAATAATTGTTAATTTATTGGTAATGTATTGGTCTTTTGTGTTTTGTGTATTTGAATTTTGTAAATTTGTCTATACTTGTGGGACCCCAATGGAAATAAGCCTGTGTAATTGGCTTTCTTGGGTTATCCCAGAAAGAATCAACTGTTCTTTGTCTTTTGTATGCATATTTGTTTGTGAGTTGATTGATTTCTGAATAAATTAATAATACATGTAAATAATAAAAAAAAAAATGCATGGAGAATTTTTTTGACTCTCCATAGACTTTGTACACAATTGCTGAAGTGGCGTCACGTTGCAACATTTTTTCCCTTTATTCTAATAAAAGACTCACCAAAACAGCTGACTAAATGACACTCAAAAGTGACATTCTGATATTTCTTGACTCATCTGAACGGCTTGTAATGACACCTTGAAAATTACTGCAGGTTTAATTTTGTGTGAATGGCAGGGCTTTGATTAATGAGGGAAATTATGGCACAAGACAACCAGAAAGCAGGCTAAAAAAAACAAGAAAGCTTGATGCAATGAAAGCTCGATGCTGATTGGCTAATTACAAAAAGAGAAAGAAATTCTCTAGTTTTTCTATCAGCCAATCAGCATCAGGCTCTCTCTCTCCTAATATGTGGATTGGATTTTCAGTCCCTACCTGATTCCGTGGGTTTTCCACGCAATATTCTTCTTAGGTTTTCCTCCCACATCTAAAACTGTAATTTCTTCACATTGTCTTCTCTTTACTCGGCCCCCTGGGACACCCGGTCAGTGGATTCCATTGTATGGGCTACCCAGTTAAAATAATGTATTATTATTAAGAAACTTATGAACGAGGCATCATTTGAAATGTAGAAGTGTACTTATTAATTTTTTTACAGAAAATTTGGTACATGAACCAAGAATTCTGAACTTTAAGTCATTGAAGTAATGTGTCTGCTTGCGTGCATATGTACATGTATGTGAGAATTTTGGGCGGAGACTGACTGAGACTTTATGCTTAAAAGTTACTGACCCAACATCCCATAGAAACGTTAATTACTCATCGTCAAATAACTAGGACACGACCCACTATCATGACTACTCAGATGCTCAGACTGAAATACTGAGCATGCCTGGCAGAAAAAAATATTCTAAGCATTTAGTCAGTCTAACTTGACCCACTCTTTAGGCCTATCCAACAAATAATATGAGACTACAATCCTAATGTATTTCAGCAGCCATGCTTGAGGCCTCAGTACAAATATTTAAATAGGCTCTGCAATCATTTGCACAGATTTGATTTGATTTTGAAATTTAAAGGTACGTACCGGTACATGTAGGGTCATTTGTGATTTTGTTATTTTTTGTTTAAAGCAAGCATGTAACCTACAGAGTTCTAGCTCAGTGGCTACATTTGAGAACACAGAAAATATAAACACAATTGTTGTAACTGGATTCTGCTAACTAGACCCTCACCCTAGACTAATCTTTTTTTTTTTTAATCGTTCTTGTTTTTTTAGAGGCAGCAAAAAATTCACAAAATAAGGTTCACACAAGCACTTTAAGTCCTGCAGTTGCCTGATGTCAGGCTAAATTCGAAATGATTTCAGGCAAATGTGTCTTTGAGTCAGATTACATCCCTTTGTTCAGTTACAATTGGTTTTCAAAATGTAGAAAACCGTTCCTGTGCATGTTTCAAAGAGTTTTCATCGTCAAATTGTGCCTGTACGATCATAAATGTACGTACTTCCACATTATACATGTGAATCACAATCACATTATAATGCTTGAAATTTCCCCAAATGCACACACGCTCTCTCAAATTGAATCAAATGGACTGCCGCAAACAGGAAGGGAAGGGGGGCGACAGCACTTGGAAGTTTTTGTTCATTCCGACCGATGGCAGTTAATTGAACAAACTGATGCGTTACCACGGCAACTTGTGTGTCACCGGGTCTGACGATGTGCATGAATTCCCCTGATAAATCTTAGTTTCAGCTCCTGAATTGCCTCTTTTCTACTCTCTTTGTGAATTTTTTTTTAGCTTCTCGGGGTGGAAACATGGATGGCTTGCATTTATTACGAAACCTCTTGAATTTTGTCCGGCAAATACTGGGGTATTCTCATCTGAAGGGAGACAAGTATTAGCAGTGTGCCTTGCTTGCACTTGACCTGTGCTTGGTTAGTGTTGACTGATCAGACGCATTCACTTTACAGAAAATACCAGTATGCTGCTAGAACTAGTACTGGTGATGTTCTGGGGAATAAGATACATGAACATTAACTCTCCCCATTTGAAATTTTTTTTTCTTTGAATAAATTTTGAAAAGTTAAATGTTAACAAAACTATGAATGTTTTTCTGGTTTTTTTTTATTGGGGGGGGGGCAGCTGCATGTAATAGACACACTACAAAATACACGTGAGCGTTTTCAAGCAGCTTTTTGAATTATGCAGTGCAGTGTAGGATTGATAATTACACCATAATTCACTAATTGATGATGGTGTAGGCCTACATGTACATTGTACATGGATTCAAAAAGTAGCAGCATGTTCAGTGGATGTACATGTAGGTATGCTTTCATGTTTGAATTGTGTATCTGTATACATGTATTATACTCTATGACAAACTAAAAATTAATAATAATAATAATAATAATAATAACTCTTTTCGCAGCAATAGGGTGACTTTCCCATAGACTTGTGCACAAACCTAAACTGTCCCCTAACCCAAGTTCACCTTATGTTTTTTCCACGAAATTTAGTATTTATACTAATTGGACCATGAGGAATCGATGTAGATGGTTAGCGACAGCAAAATTCCTTGTCCTAAGGGTCGTTTTCATAAAAGGGCGACAGTTATTTTGTCGCCTCAATAAGGTGTATCGCCCTATTGTGGACGGAGTTCGCAAAACCTGTCGCCCTATTACAGTAATAGTAGTAATAATAGTTAATTCTTATGTAGCGCATTACGTAATAAATATCTTAAAGTGCTTTACATGTATGTATTTTATAGACAAAGCCCAGTTTTCAGCCTCAGTATATTTTTGCCAGTATGTGGTCATTACTGTTTAGACATTTTCTTCATGAACCATCCATACTAGACTTAGAACACACAGCACAGCACTCGGGGAAATGCACGTCTGGGAAATGCACAGCACTCACTCCCTGCATTCTAATCCAGCGATAGCCGGTAATTTGGCAGGGCCTTTTCAAAAATTAATGAATTTCTGTCGAACACAATAGGCACTGCATTCCAATTTTGTTTGTTAATATTTTAAGACAACATGTACATAACATGTAGCACAGGAATTTACTGTCTTTTTCCCTTTATGCCATAATTGCGAATGAATAAACGAAATGAGATTTTTGGAAGGTTGTACATGTACATGTTTGTACACTGAACTTCAGTACAGTTTTATAAACCTGTACAGACTACATGTACAGTGTATTTACAATATGTTGTCCTTTGAGTGTGGTTTTCATAATCTAGTAAAATTAAGTCCCAGAATTTATACAGCTTGCTTACTTGCTTATCTAGAAAGTGAAAATTCACTCCCAGTGATAATAAGAAAAGGGGATTTAGACCGAAATGGATTCACTCCAGATTTCACTGGACTGATTCTTGTTCAATCTACATGTACATTTAGAGTGATTTTCAGTGTGAATCGTCTGATCTCGAGTTCCACTATTGGAAATGAGAGAGTGGTCTGGGTATTTTTGGCTTTTGATTGTGGGTGGAGATGTTAAAGCATTTTAAATATGACCCCCAAGAAGTGCTAAACATTTACGAAAATTTGCAAGAATTGATTCGGAACTTTCGTACTTAAATTGCGAATATGTCAGAATACTTCTTACAGATTTTTGTTAGCTGTGTGTCCAAACACTCCTACATGTGTACCGTAGGCCTATGTATTTCTACTCATCCTGAAGAGTTTAGTTAGTGCAGCCTCAGTACATAGGCTTGATTTCTGCAAGATAATCTTCTGTTTTAGTCAGAGTGTCAGTATTCAGAAAAGCAATGGACTCAAGCTGCCAACACAGTCTGAATATCATTCATTGTTTGCGGAGCCTGCAATAACATCTGATGTAAATGTGTCAGCATTGCAAATTTTATGCGACCCTGCGCACCAGCCAATTGGAGTCGACTTTAGAAATTGTTACGTCTTCTCGTGCAGAAATATGAACTAAGGGGTTGATTGGTCAGTTCGCTGTCATGTTTTTTGTAATAGGTTACCAAAGACCCAATAGAAGGCGCCCTCGGAATGGTCAGAATCTGCAGGTCAAGATGCAGTCTTGTTTTGCACTAATTGCCGAATCTTCGCGGGCATGTTGTTCTGCAAGCAGCTATTCCATAGACTAGCTTAAGTATTATGTGTATCTTTCAAAATCCACAAAATATGCCAATAAACCCCCCAAAAAACATAAGACAATAAGCAACTGTACTATTATTGTATTACCGGTACATCGAATCTACATGTACATGTATTCTCTGAAGAATCCAGAAAATTATTCAGTCCTCAGGCTGTTCAGATGTTAAAGAGAGTAACGGGCAGAGTGGTTTTGGGCGGTTATGGGGTAACGTTGTGTTCCAGTTGTTACTGTTTAAAATTACATGTGACAACTCCTAATATGTACTGTGCGCTGTGCTGTACATTACATGTTATTGGGAAAGGAACTGGCTGTCAGCAAGCTTTTAAGATAAAATCTAAGCAAGTGGTATTTTGGGAAAAAGAGATGGAGTTTGTTTTTCCCGTGTTATGCAGTTCAGATTGGAAAAGGGGCGACGTACAAATGTACATGCGATACTGAAGGAATTATACTGTGACACGTAGCAATAAATCATGTACAAACTCGTAATTGGTTGAATCTGAGGTCTGGATTTCTTGCCAGTCAAGGCTTGTCCAAACAAACTGGCCAAAATCAAATTACTCCACACCAGAAGGCAATTTAACATCTTTCGTCTCAAAATCAAGCATGGCATCAACATGTGTATATTCAAACCCCCTCCCCCCTATTTTTTCAACTCTCCAACATCCCATATCAATCTATGCAGTGCATCCCGTAGACGAATTGATCCGGGCACGGGCGTATTTCAATCGCGTTCGCCAGCGTGCTGTACGTCTCCAGCGCTCTGCGAGCAGAGACACCTGATCGTGCTCGCTAAATATCAGAGGTTGTCGTCCCGTTCCAGATTTTATGCGCGGATACTGCCTCTGCCTGTGGGGCAATGAACGATATCAGCCCAGCATGTTTGTATGGACACAGACGTACTGTAGACACACACACACACACACACATTGAAACTTGCACTCAACCTGAATATTTCTTTTTTGTTGGGTTTGTTTTAGAGGAATAGGCCTAATGCATACATGTACATGTATCTCAAATTAGTACCGGTACCGGTAGTTGCATACTAAAGAAAATCATGGCTGTTCTTTATAGCTGTTTTGATTTGTGACTGGACCAATCAAAGCGAGTCTTTCCTGACAATATTTTGTTCACATTTTTCATGGTATTTAAAGAGCACAAATAGTTTGAGTGTTTGACAACTTCTTAAAATACAATGTACTGGTATGGAGATCTGTGATGTACAGTAATATGTTGGGGGGGGGTTGAGTTTTGTCAGTATTTTTTCAGATTTCAGGGAGTTTTAAAGAATCTGGAATTTCTGAGGTGTTACCGTACAGGTGGCTTTGCCTGTAAAAGTTTATTTGCATGTAGAACAAAAGAAATGCAACGTTCAATCACATCCAGGTTCAAATAATCATATGATAATTTTTTTTTTAAATGTCATGTACAGCACTACCCATTTCCCCCCAAACCGTCTTGTGGGAGAACTCTGCACAAACATGACAAAGACAGATGGGCCGGTGGTCGTAATTACTCCGTTGTAATGGACCTAGACAAGTAAATCTGATTACAGATATCTCGCTTTACTCAGACACCCTATACACTCCATGGTCGTATGGCCAGAGGCAAAATACATGTACACATCATATTCAAGCTTTACAAAAGAAAGAATTTAAATGTATTACAAAAGGACAAAATTATGCATAGATCGGATATATTACATGTATGCAAAATTTGTCTTGGTAAGATTTATTTAAATTGGCAATGGTTATACAGTTGGAAACTTGTTTACCGTTGTCTACCCAGAATACGTTGCTTTTATTTGAAATTATGAAATATGAAACATACCGATACAGTAGACTTTTCATAGAAAGTGCATGCAAATTTTAAGAAAATTTTGCTTTAAACTGACATGGATCTCATTTAGCACCATATTTTAGGAAATTGCGAAAATTTCAAATTTCAAATTGGAGAAAATTTTAATGATTTATGAAAAAGTTTTTTTCTATAAATGTTGCGATGTTGGATGAAAATAAATTTATGAACATTAAAAAACAAACGCTGATGAAAACGAGCTGTTTTTTCCTTCCTGGAGCTGAACATATCTTTTTTTCTTGATTTTCTGAAAATGAAATAAAATTCATGCATAAGAAGTAACATTGTATGTTTCAGGTTTGTAAAACACCAAAGTTTATTACTAGACATGGAGTGCACAGCAACATTTGTACATTGCACATGTACATTGTATCACACTTATCTTCAGCTTTTCTGCATGCACACATTGTACGCCTAATTTGAATTCACTAGGGTTTAATGTGTACGTGCTCGATATGCTGCATATATTTTTAGAATGCTTGTGTGCAGAGAGAACTTGTCTGATTTCACGTACCTTGTGCGCTTGGATTTAATACCAGAGGTGAACTTCTGTGATATGGCCGGAGATTGCAAGTCCCACAGAATGTGGAATTGACTGGATATGCAGTGAATCTGTATTCAGTTGGATAACGTGCACATTACATACATGTACATTAGTTACTTCAGTGCGTGCTTTGTAACATGAGCAATTGAGGTGATTCAAACCATTAGTGTTAATTTGGTTCATTCTGCAAATTTGGGGTCCACTTGTTTTTCCCTACACTGTTACATCTACATGTAACATCCATGGTTCTATAATTCTGATACATTCCTTAATGCTGTCGTCCTCAAAGAGTGATTACGAATAGCAAACTACCTACCCAGTTTAGGAAACAAATCCTTTGAAGTCACTTTTAATGATACTTGAATGGCAAATTACCAAGTACCAAGGTAACAGGGACCGGAGAAATGTCACACTTTGGACCCTAAATGCTTAGAATGACCCATGTACACAAATGTAACCACAAAGTCAGTGTTGAAACCTCATTTGCAGGAAAATTAATCAAAGAGATTTAACTGGAAGTAGCTACATCTAGACATCAAGGATCTCCAAATCCATTTTGAAGGTCCTTGGAGGGTTAGGGTTAAGTAAAATAAATGACAATAAAAAATAAAAAAATTAAATTTACTTTTTTTTAAATTAAAAATTGATTTGTTTTTTGCACAACAGAGCATCCGGGCAGCAATGATGATGGAACCACCGGTGGGCCGTTTGCCGCCTCTACGTGTCCTCCACGAGCAGCCTGCTCTGGACCTTGACACCCCTCCACCCTCTCCGGGTACCTCTTCTGAATCCCTGGCTGTCCCTGTCATCGCCCGCAGCCCATCTCCCCTCTCCACATCCTCCTCAAGCACCCAGTACAGTGGGGAAGAAATAGAGCACAGCATCCGTAACCTAGCCCAGTGCTATCAGATACTCCAGCCGGGCCAACATCCGTGCCTCTGCACCCACGGGCGCGTTTCCTCGGCCTTCTCACACAACAAGTACAGTGTGACTTTAGCAGAGCACTACTCCACCCTCCAGAGGCTGATGGTCAGTCGGTCACGGTTGCACTTTGCTCGGGAGTGCGCCTCGCGGGTTTCACAGCTAGCTGAGTTTGTGCAGAGTTTGCAAGTTGTCGCCCACGAAGAGTACAACACGCTTCAGGCCCTGCAGACAGGAGGGGATGTTGAGCCGTACACCAAACTGGAATATCTAGCGGTGTTTTGCGAGGATCTCCGAATCCACATGAATAACTGGACGTCAATCCAGCACAGACTGTACAGTGATAAGTACTTGCAGTCTGTGATGCCAGAGCTCTGTAGGGACTTGTCAGACCTACAGCGCTCACTGGTATACTGGCGGGATTGTGCTCTCTGGTGGCTTCAGCAGATCATTGCCATTGGCTTGCGGATTTTTGCTCACTGCAGCCCCAACACAGCCACGCAGGACATGCTCTGGAGCATCGTTAGAGGAACTGAAAACTATAACGGGATGTTGGCGTTAATAAAAGGTCATCAAAGGCATCCTGTAACAACTTTACCCTCTCATCAAGTCCGCTATCGATGCTTGAGGTTTAAAATTGCAGAAGCCTCCTCAAGATTCACCAGGAGCTTTCAACTATTCTCGGTGAGCAGGATACTAAGTATACTCTCCAAAGAGCGTTCCAAGTTAGCCAGCCTGCAGATTCTTTTCTTCCTCATGCGAAACCAAAGCTTCATTCATATATCCAAGCAGCCTCCTCAGTTGTTTGATTGGCGCACGTATCCTTGCATGGCCAGTGTTAAGACTTCAAGATCCTCATCTGAGCCTGAAGCTGCCAATCCCAGCGCTGCCACCGGATCACTCCTCACGCTGCGAGACCTCAAAGCTCAGGGACTACTCCAAGAGACATCTCCTCAATGTGCAATCGAAACCCAAGAGGAAGGGTTCATTTCAAAACTCCTAACTGCCGTCTCAGCCTCCACGGGTCTACTACAGAAACATCGGCCCTCTGCGTCTACAGATGAGGGCAGCAATCAGACCGCTACGCAGAAACTAGCTAAACTCAAATCGCCGCGCCGGAACGGCGGCAAACACGACACCCGGAAGTCAGTACGTTGGGGTGATTCCTTCAATGCTCGCATCCAGCACGAATACTTCAACTTGTACATGGACATGATGTGGAGGTGTTGTGGGGATGAGTTGCGGGACCTTCTACACAGGCCTGGTCTTGGACTTGCAGAGATTGCCTTAGATGGAATCATGAGTCTGGGTCATGTGTACCAATGCAGCGACGCTCTTGTCGTTGCCCTCGGACACTTGATTGAGCAAACTTGTGGGAAAGGTAGGTATTGAGTACATTCACACAACCCTGTGTGTTTCTCATTTTTGTCTAATTTTGTAAAACTTGGAATTGTTTGATCATCTCATTGTTACATTTTTAGAAATATACATGTTGTAACTTTCATTCTCAGTAGACAAATTTAATAGAGCTGTAGTCAAGTTCACCATGAATCAAATCACAAGTTAAATCACTAATCAAATCACAAGTACATTAAGGCCAATCGTGAGTAAGGTCACAACAAACAGGGGCTGAACAATGGCAAAGCCTGTGCCAAATTTCATTTGAATTAGCTTCTACCTGAACTTGAGATTGTATGAATTTTGTATCGATTCACAACAATTTGGCTACAAAATTACAACAGACCAGCTTGTCTGAAGCTTAAAAATCTTGCAAAAAATAGGGACATGACATGAGTTAATTTTACCAATCTCTTAACAATGATTTCTAGAAAAGAAAATAAACACGGCACACACCCTGGTTAATTTCATGGTACACATATATTTATAAAGATGTGCAATGAATTTGCATAATATTTGCTGCGATACCCAATGCATTGCATTTCCTAAGTTGGCTAATTTTAGCTCCCCAGCGCCAGCAAAGACGAAAAATCTCATTTTCAGAGAAAAACAAGTTTCCATAATAAGCCATATGACTACTTGTGCATTGTGAGGCAGCATTCACTATGAGATAATGAATACATGGCTTCCGTCCATCGCCCTTAGTGCTTTGGAGCCTAAAGGGTTCGGTGGATGATCAGAAGCAAGAGGAATCTTTGATGGGTAATGTCGCACCGCCAACGCGAGGGCTTTCACACCCCAGCTGGCTTCCATGCCGATTTGATGTCAGTCACCTAACGATTAAATCATTACTCAGGTCAGGCTTTGATCCGCTGGGAATACTCCATCTCCCCTGACAAATATAAGGGTTGACGAAAATTTACCCCCCAAAAAACAGATAAAATGACAGGAGCTCAGAAAAGGAAACGAAAAGAAGAAAAAGCAAAAACAAATGATGTCATTTATGTCTTAGAAAAGAAGAGGAAAAGCAAAAAAAACAGAAAGAAAAATAAGACAAAGAGTGGAAGGAACTCTGAAAAGAAATTTTAAAAACCCACAAATTGATAAAAAATTGAACATGCTGTACAAAAAAGGAAAAACAATAAATATTAATTAAAGAGTTATTTGAAGGTGACCGAAAAAAGGAAAAAAGTGTGGGGGGGGGATAGAAAATTGATGAAAAAAAAGCTGAAGGAAAAAAAAATTAAGGAAAACAAATTGACTAAAAAAAACTGAAGGTGGTTAAAATACACAATTCTGTGTTTTTATGACCATATGTTGAGAATACCCTGCTTGCACTTAGTTAACTTAATTAAAGACATTGTGTATGGTTTATAGCCTTGAAAATGGACACAATGCACGCAAAGAACTGACGTCATGTACAAAGTGCGGAGAATTCACAAATTAAACGCCTGATATTGGTATTCACTTCAAGAAAAAATAATGGTTGCCGAAGATGTTGGCATGAGCTCCAACATGTACATGCCAGTGACTTATGCACATCTTTGCTGCAAAAGTACCCTAACATTTCTGAAATCAAAATACATGTAAATTAGATCCTTGCAGAATCTTTTTCAAAGGCTAAAATATATTTGACTACATTGTAAAAATCAAAATATTGTCAGGATTCAGATGTACAATGTGTAGTTTCCATTTCTATAAATGTGGCGTGTTTCCTTTCCAACTAAAACTACTGTACATTAAGAAAACTCCATATGGGCAATTCCACTCATGTTACGTTTAGAGCGGGTCTTCCGTTATTCTATAAAGTCATCCCTTGAAATTAAGTGACTAAAATACATCTACATGTACATGTAGTAAAAGGCCAACAAAATGAACTTCTATTGGTTCGGCAATAAGTATTTATTGGTAACTCACGTTACAAAAAAAGGACATGAAAAATATTTACATGTAAATACCTTGCATTTGAAAATTTTCTTCATGATGTGCAGCAGTGTGCGCTGATCGGAAGTTCTTTTAGCACCCTTACATGTACGTACATCAAATGTACATGTATATCATACTGTATACCAGTATGTCATTCTACCATTATAATTATTAAAAAATTGGTAATTATAAAATCTCCAGAGGTTTACATTTTGACAGCTCACAATAACACTTGCATTTTGCCTATGGATGTGTGCAAACAAGGTTCATTACCAAATGGACTAAATTTCATACTTTCAGGCAAAATGCCGGGGAGTTTTTTTTTTGGGGGGGGGGGGGAATTCATAATTGAACCACATAATCTCTCACTGGTACATGTACACTGCTGTCTTGTTGTCCCTTTTAATTTCAGCCATGTCTACATTCTCATGGCATTGCTCATATGGTAGATGTACATGTGGCTAGCCACACTGTCAAAATAGTGGTTGAATGGCTTTTAAGTTCATGTACCTGCCAAAGATGAAAAACAATTTTGTCATCTGACAATTTCCGACCACTCACCATATTTTTTCCCAACGAAATTGGATTAGCCCTGTCATATTGTGTCGTGTGCTGTCCGAGTTTAATAGAGTGGGAATTTGATGCTCAGGAGGTGACAGCTCAAGGGGGCTTTGTTCATATCGTCTGAGGAGATTTTGTGCTCTACATGTACATGGATGTTCGTGTATTTTACGAAGTACCGGTACTGTAAATGTACCTGTACAATGTACATCAGGCATGCAACTTTTCCTCGGATCAGCTGATTACCTCTTCTTTTTTTTTACTTCCCATGTGTGCCATAAAAAATAGAAAAAATTTGTACAAATGCTTGGAAAGATTTGAATTTCCTCTTTTTTTGTATGACTTCCCATTGCATGCCTGGGTACATGTATGTATACATACATGTACATGTACATGTACAATGTATTTATGTACATTATGTGCACATGATTGATGAATCTCCGAATATTTGATCACCTACCAAATGTCCAAAAAGCATTTTTCATAAATTAAAATTAGTTGAAAAATGTCTATGATTTTATTTTAATTGTATACGTTGTGTGCGCACACGTGTGGTACTACATGTCAAATACCACGTTGTACGGTACAATGTGCATTGTATTACTGCACCATTTCTCCGTACATTAATGTACTGCCCCTTTTTCTCCATACATTAATGTACTGCCCCTTTTTCTCCATACATTAATGTACCGGTACAGTGACATTCCCTTATGCTTAAACCAAATTTGCATAGTAATTTCGTTCACATTGCAAAACCTTTGCATACAATTGTACAGTATGTTGTACTCCTCTATTCTTACAATTCATTTGCAATTCCAATATTGCCAGATATTCCTTCAAAAAAATGCAGCCAACAAAACGGAGATACATGTATAACAAGTTCTCAGCGTTTTGCCCTAGGAATGCAAATCGATCTCCTTGTCCAAACATCTCGCTGGTTGACTCTTCTCGTCCAACATTGAGTCAGTGTTTGTATTGCTGAGGATTGCCAACGATCCTATTGGTTCATACGAGAGCTGAATTCATAACTCCCCGGCAACACGGGATGTGAATTTTTTTTTTTTTTACAAATCTGACCAATATTTATTCCAGGAGCAGAAATGAAAACAGAAATAGTGGTAAGATGAAATGATGCTTTTAAAATTTTTACATTGTGTTGTGCATGTTAGGATAGCACATGTACGAATATTTCAGCAGGATAAAATTGAACCAAAAAAAAAGAACCATTAATTAATATTGAGCTGTCACATTAACTTGCATGCACTTACACTTACAGTGTACATGTACATGTACATACTTTACAAATTTGACTAAGAACATCATTTTCTTCGTCCCTAACTCCCTTCCCATCTTTTGGCTGGAATCTCTTCCCCTCCAATCCCTCCCCCCCCCCCTCCCCCCCCTGATTTCTCCAAAATTCTTTTTCTTGAACTTTTGAGGGACGACAAGCCACTCGTTAGAAGGCTCCTCGATGCAGGAGTTAGGGCTACCGGTATAATATAAGCCTGGTTTCTGATTCAAAGGAGCATTTGTACTCACTTGAAAAACTCAAACCCAAGTTAAAAAAAAAGACAAATAATAATTTCCATGCCTACATGTAGATGTAAATGTGTACATTAAAATGTACCGGAATGGTGCGAGTACATGCACTGGTACATGTACATGTGAGAAAGGTCTTTCTTAGTTGTAGTCCATCATGAAACCATTCCGCATCCCACATTGAAACTCACATCAGCTCCAATCATGGCTTAAACTCCTTGACACTTGAAAGGCGAATAGGCCTGGACATTTCTTCCGTATGTCCGTAGCAAAATGATCGAGTTGAACTTTACAGTTGACAGTTGAGTAAAGAGAAACAGTTACACGTAGAGAGCAGTAACAGATAACAGACTTTTCCTTCCCTCAGGCTTCGCTTCTAGAATCTTCTTGCTCTGTTTTCCCTGCATCAGTACATCACAGTCTGTTCTAATGACTAACTAATCTAATATAAATGCTGATGGACCTGCAGCTCAAAACACTCCCAACCAGTTGATGGCTTTATTTCGTGCCTCTCCGTGTTGACACTGTACAGATGTTTTTGTTGGGGAATTGTGAACTAAAATGCAAGATATAGGATAAGGCTTGTGATGGTACCAACAAAAAACAAAGAAATAAAAACAAAATCAAATCAAAAATTCAAACCAAACCCAACCCCCCCCCAAATAATTTTTTTCCCCCATCCTCTGAAACATGTTCTACTTTTCTTTGTATTTTTCAAATTTGTACATAATTTCAGATTGACAGAGTCAACAGAACTAAATTATTCTAAAGATTTGACTTTAGTACGTGGAAATTTCGATATTTGGAGACTGAAACGAGAGTAGCACATTTCAGTCCAAGTCGTTATCTTGAAAACAACTTCAACCTTGTCTTCAACCTTGTCTTCAACCTTGTATTCAACCTTGTGTGTCCTCTTTCTCTCGTTTGCTGATCTGCATCCAGGTGTCTTCACAGCTGGAGCTAGTCAGAGTCTACAGAGCATCTCCCGTCAGCTGATCAGCGATGTTGCGTTCAGTCAGTGTCGCTCAGGTGAGTTGCAAATCAAATCTGGCCCAACAGCAGCTGGACATCTTGTTTTTCAATTTCCTACCCCCGAGCGTGTCTGTATTTTCTCATTATTTTATTAACCTTGTGAGTATTAATGTGAGGACAGTCCATAAGGGAGTTAGTTAGACTTAGGAAAGGGGACACGAACTAGATATTTGGTGGTTCTGATTTTTTTTGGGTACTTTTGTTTAATTTGGGGTTTTCTTTAGGTTATTTGTTCTTGTTTTCACTTTATTTTTTGAAGCAATATATTGGCAATAAGCTACAGTTATTGGGTACATGCATAATTTTGTGATTATCCCTGACTCCTACGGTGTGTGAAAATCATATTAAAATGAGAGAGGACTGTTACATTTCATTCTTTCTAGTGTTAAAACCAAGGGTTTTTAAGCGTGCAATGTGTCCTTTTTTAATATCAAATGACACATTGATTTATTCAGTGGCAATTAACGTTACGACTTGTAAGTGCTGAAGCCAATTTATTATTTTTTTAAAGGTGTAGTCAAACTACATATTAAAAAAAGGAAAAAAAATAGCAATAATTTTTGCCACAAAGTAAGATCTCAACATCCTCATCTGACTTCTTAAAAAAGAACATCTTTAAAGCAAGACACAGCATCACTCATCAGCTCCCAGCAGGTGACACTCATTTCTATCAATTACCTGCACCGCTGCATTTATTCATGGTGTATAGAGTGTTGCGATTGGTGTCATTACAATGCATTGATTTCCCTTATTAGCTGCAAAGCTGCCATTCATGCAGGCATTTCTGCCAAGTACACCCAGGTAGACAAACATTAAAGGTCACTTACAACATTTGCTTTTACTGTCATTTTTAAAAATTGATGGATTTTAGGGTTGTCGTGCCATTGACCTGTAAACGGAGCAATTTATAGATGTCAAGAAATTGTCAGGTCAGGGAACCAGACTAACTGGATTGCACCTGCTCACAGTTCAAGTAGCCGATTGCAAACAAAATGTTGCGGCAGCATTTGAGAAAAAAACCAGTCTTTCCTAACAATGGTTTGGATGAACCATTGTTGAAAAATGATACAGAATTCCACTTTTGTTTAATTACAGCATACTGGTACCAGGTGCAATGATTCACAAAGAGATGCTAATGAGACTATTATTCACTTGCAGTCAATTAAGGCTGTTCATTATGATTTTGTTGTTTCGTTTTTTAATGTTTGCAAAAGTTGTACATTATCTTTAAAACGAGGATCTAAGACACTACATATGCAGAGGTTTGTTTCTGTTCATTTAGTGGACTATTTGGAATGAGGATAATAGTAATATGGTACAGTTTTCTTACAAATACATACATGTATGTACTATGTAGTGCTTTTAACAAGATCTAAACACTTTGCAACAAAAAATTAACAAAGAGATAAAAACAAAACACCTGAATGTGTATAATTGCCATGGACATTCAGAAAACAAGTCAGCTTTTTTTTTTTAAGTCTGAAGAGCCAAGGTGGGGGGAGGGGGTGCTTTATATTTTCTTCCACATCACCGATACTGTATACATCTTACACATGTACCTAGATGTTATAATTTTTTGCTGATGTCTTTTACATGTTGCACTAAACTTAGTGAAAATCTGAAGAATACTATATTTGTTTGCCACGCACCACCAATAATAACTTGTTAAAAGAAATTAAGAGAAGCAAAACTGGTTAAAGCAGAAATAAGGACAGACTCAAAGTGACGTTTCCAAATGCTGCAATGCTGAAAATGTACTTCTGCTTAAAAATCACATGCTTAATGTACATCGTGTTATTCGTGTACACATAATGTGCGTGCGTGTCTGTATGTAAAGTACATTCATGTACTGTACATTGTCCCTGTACAGTACTTCCCAACATACGTGCGCAAGGTGGGCCCGATACGTCCATTTTAATTTCTTTCATAATCACATGGCAAGGGTCCAATTTCACCACCACGTCCTTGCCCCCGAGCATTCTTGTGCAACTCAACACATTAGCAATCGTGACTTAATACACGGACTGCAAGATTTATCAACGATTATGATAAATGATCGAACATGTAATCCATCTTGACTTGACATTTATAGCAGTAATTTCTGTGTCAGATGGAGAGTAATAATCATAAAAGCATTATATCTGTACATGTACGTCAAGACGATGATGTCTTTCAAATATTTTTTTTCCTTGTCTGCCTTCTACCAAAAGTACAGCGGACTATCACAATTACATGTAGTTGTTAAATCGTGAATTCTCTCTTCCAGATCTAGATGTATTTTCTTTTTTTATTCAGCATGTTCAGATTTGAAGACATTTTACATGATACATGTACCTGTTCTGTATTTTACATTGCTAGACAACTTGTAGGGCATATTTTCATATGTTCATGGGCATACTCTGTACGATACATGTATACGCATGAAATGGATATGAACAGAATATTACATGCTCATTGTAATAATGTACATGTTTACAGTGTACGTGTATAAATTGGCACAATACTAGATTTGTAATGTTTCATGGTACTAATATTTTGAAGTGATTTGAGGAAATTGTGTAAAAAATGTAGACGTTGAATAAGAGATTTTAATAATAAATTGTGAACAGGCAAAACTGCCCCCATTACATTTACTGCTGTGTTGGACATGTACCGGGTACGTTGGACATTTTGAGTTGTGCAAGTAGATTATAACTGATGAATAATTCATCATCCTGGAGATGTTGATCTCATGAAAATCTATGATCATGATGATAGTTAGTTCTGTTTTTCTACATAATTTTCATATTACCGTCGAGCTAAAGAAATAACTTCATTACTCCAGGGATAACTCATTAGTTTTTGCCGTTTTATTTGTTACCTTGCATTGTGCCTCTAACGAGATTGGGATTGTTTTTCGCACAAATTAATCCCCAGTTGCATTTGTACATCTAAATATAGAGATTCTAATAGTGGTTTAATTCTCTTCGGTATTTCCCCAATTAATGGGATTTCAATAGAAACCATGTTTACAATGAATTCGATAACTGAGGAAAACACAGGCATTGCAGAGCCAATTTTTCTATTTTTGGACTCCTTGCCATGTTATAATGAAGAAATGCTCAATATGTTTGTGCCATTAGGGGAAGTATTATTCAGATCAAGGTGTGACAGTTTCCGGTCCCTGTTACCTTGGTACTTTGTAATTTACCATTCAAACATCATTAAGAATGACTTCAAAGGATTTGTCGTTTGTTGGGTAGGTGGTTTGCTATACGTATAATCACTCTTGGAGGACGACTGCATTAAGGAGTGCATCAGAATTACAAAATCAAAGATGTCAGATGTAACAGGGACAAGAAAAAAAGTGGACCCCAAATTTGTAGAATGACCCACATACATACGGGTGGGTAAACCGATTTGTGCGCATATGGCGCGAAGTCCACAGGACTTATTTTATTTTGCACATATGTGCGCAAAACCATTGCATCTTTGCATGATGGTTGGCGCACAAGCCAATGCATACGAATGCCCCCCCCCCCCCAGGTTCTCCCAAGTGTTTGTTACTTAACTCGCATCTCTTTCTTCCCAGGTATATGTCACGCCTTGGCCTGCAGCTTCACAGACAAATGCTTCGCAGTGAGTGGTCCCTCTTCCATCAACCAAGGCAGCAAGACGTGTCAGCTGTTCCAGGTATCGCTGTTACCCCTACTGAGCCTGCTGTCTGCTGCTGAGCACCAGCATTCAGCAACCAAGGTCCTCCCGAGGGGTGCATGTAAGTACATGTCACAACACCTCAAACACGTCAAAATGCTTTCATAACTCCTCTTATGATTCTAGTCCCCCACCTTCCCCTAAATCCAAGTGTTGGCTTTGCCATACTTGGATGGAATCACAACTTTATGTCTCTATGTAGGCTTTACATGCTGAAATTCAAAACTTGAATATTTTGCATTTTGCCTATACAGTCTCAGTCATACCGATAAAACAGTTTTGAACATCGAGTTTGAGTGTTTGTTTTTTAACTCTAAATTTGTGTCCTTATAACATTAGCTCGCAATGGAGTCACTCCCGCCATACAGTCACCTAGTACCCAGACTCTCCATCAGGCCTTATCACTGTCTATCATGGTCCTGGAGGCATCCAGGCACTGGTGTCTGACTAAGGGCAACCAGTTCCTAGCATCCTGGTCTGTCAACAAATTCTTGCTTGTCTCACAGAGTGACCTCAAGGTATGTGCTGGATTCGAACCATAGACCCTTAAACTGATAGCCGCCAGACTGGCAATGTGCAGTGAAGGTATGGACCGGAGACCTTACCTCATGACATATGTGTATATGAGGACATACAACAGCCTTGTGTTTCTATTATCTTAATGGTTGCTATTTGTCTTGGCTCTACCGTCTCCCCTATACTTCGATTGCCCTACTTCTCCTGCACACTCATGCGTCACATTTAACACAGCACCCTATTAGTACGCACTTAGATATTTAAATTAGGTCGACCCCAACGTCATTGTTCAACTTAACAATGTACGTGCTGGCCGGTATCAGACTTAAAATGGCTTTCCCCCATTTGAGTCTGTGCTTAGACCAGTCTTTTACCCAGCATGCTGCATGCTAAATTTCTACTCTGTGGGAAACACTAAACTTTACAATTCTCATATAATATCCTGTACAATGAAATTAACACTTTGAATTTGAAATCAATTCTGTGTTACAGATAACGCTTGACTCCTCAGTGCACATACTGCAAGCTTGCCAATGGCTCTCTAGTAGTGCTTCAAAAGAGGTCCATCAGAGTACAACTCATCACAAGGAGAAAGACGCAGCGAGATTGGAAGAACTGAAACTCAAACTAGATGCCATCAACTCTAGGCTACATGTGAGTGTCACCCTGTTTTGTTTTAAAACTGGACCTAGACAGTTTGTGGTTTATTTGATGAGCTGTATCCTCTCTGAGCGATCCCTGATTGCTATTTTCCAGGTTTGTGGCATTGTGAATGTTGCTAGCATCGTGACTAAGGGTGTGATTCCTGACTACATGGCGTATACAGGATTAAAAGATCCCCAACATAGCTAGATAGCTCAGTTGTTAGAATGCCAGAAATGTACTCATCAGCTCGCAGGTTCAGAGCTTGCTCCAACTTATATTTTTTCCCCTGATTTGTTTTGGGGGCAGATTACGTCAAGCGAACTTCTTCAGGTGTTTGGCCAGCACTGCAGTCAGATGTGTGCTGATGTGTGGCAGCAAGGCATGCCCATGGGCAAAGTGTGGAGAAAGAAAACCACTGATGGTGAGTAACAGTGTTATAATTGAGTACTCCTCCATGAGGACGAGTACAAGTATAAACACTGCAGTGTTTTGAGAGCCTATTATGACAAGTTTGAGTACAGAAAACTGTAGTTGAGAGTGAGTATTGTGGTCTTTTTGACAATAGACAACGTGCACAGTAGATGCACTTTGTGACCATTTCTGAGAACTTTAAATTTCAAAATTGCAACCTTGCGTACCCCTTTCCATTGATCAATATCAATCTATTTGAATATTTTGTTTTAATAGATCTGCCTACCGAACATAACCCCTATGTCCCAGCAGCTGTCAACACAATATTGGTCCCGCTGGTAGAGGGAGTAAGTAATCTCAGGATATCAGCCCAGATTGCCATCATATCCGTCACCGTGACGAACATGCTGGAGATGTGGATGGCGCATGTACTACGAGAGAAGCCCAAATTTAGGTAAATTTACTTCTCTGCAATTCTGATGATTTCTCTGCAATTCTGATAATTGCGGACAAGTTGCGGGTAGAATCATTCACTGTTCAAAAGAAGCTCTGCATTTGTCCCAGACACGTTCCAGCAAAATTTTCATTAGCAACTGCTTGACTCACCGATACTGATAACTTCATTGTGGGAAGACATTGTGGGAAGATTGTGGGGAAGTTGTTCAGAACTCTGCAGCTTATACCTGATAAAATGTCCGCAACTTGAGATGGGCCCTAACTGACAACAATGAAATTGATGCACTTAATCCAGTTACCTACATTATTCTCAGTTGGGCAATATTCATGGATGAGTAACTTCACAAAGTGATACCATGCTATAACAATTCCCATTGCACCTAATCTATTTATCTACATCTGTTCTCAATTGGGCAGTGTTCACGGAGCCCACCAACTCAGTCAAGACGTGGCATATGTGCGCACATGGCTCATGTCAGACAGCAATGGCCTGGAACTACAGACCAGACAGAGCATGCTCACACTGGACGCCTTCAGGCACTTTGAGGGCGCTATTTCACTTCTGAAGCACCAGCCACGTCGTAGAGGCATCAACTCACCCACCAGAGATGACGCAAGTGAGTTTTTAGGAAATGTTTGTGAAAGAATTACTGAAAAAGAAATGGGAAATGTACATACAAATGGTTCTGAAACAATGATGAATATGTATCATAAAGATGTTGGAGTATTTTTGTTTCAATAATCTCTCTGTCCCTGTGCTCCCACCCACATTTCTTATAGACGTTAAAAATGAAGTACAATTTTTTATGAATCTTTTCTGATTGAAGTTTTTCCTTAATGCTGTGACTTTTGACTTATTCTAGATTCTGAGTACAGCAGCAGCACGGTGCCCAGCAGCGCAGGGTCCCACCAAGGCAGTGTGAGCAGTCTATCAGACACCCTACCCCCGGGGGGAACCAACACGGTGGGGGAGCCCCTAGCCCTGGGGAACGGCAGCGACATGGGGGAGAGCGGATTTGAAGAAGAAATATTCCGAGTCCCGCACCGTAAAGAGTGGCTGAGCTTGCGTGTCCACGGCAACCAAAAATGGCGGCTGTTGCCATTTGGCTGCCTAAATGTGGGCGTGGACTCTTGACAGGGGGGCGTATGTTGCTGGCAGTAGACGAGAGACTAATTTCATGGATCCACAAAGCAGAAAAAGACTGCTTAGCAAATTTGTATGCTCAGCCAAAAATTTCTTGGTAACCAGTCATGACAAAGCTCATCTCATGGAGTTTTGGCTGGTAAACCTGTTTTTGATAAGCAAGTATTTTAGTGCTTAGCACATTTCTGCACTAAGACAGCTCCTTGAAATTTACCCCAATTAATCCCAATATATTCATAGCAAAAAATCTATGAGCTGTTGAGTTTATCCTACTCTTGCGTTAAAGGCTCCATACACTTTGGTTCCAATTTGATAGGGCTCGGTGCTAAGCGCAGACATTTTACTTAGCACAAAAAATATTTGCTTGTGAAATAACAGATGACCATCCCATATCACATGAGTGTCACATTGTTTGTGACTGGTTTACAGATCATAACGTGTGCCAAGCAGGATTTTCTGTCCATGAAAGTTGGACAGATGGTCTTGCGTCTCAGTACCCGGGAATGCAATTTCCATGGTAATTAAGTGTCACACTTGGGTGGTTTTCTAAAATGTTAATTGGTTCATCTCCGGTTTCGACTTCATGTCTGGCTTTTCAGTCAATTGGAAGTCTGTAATATTCAAATCAAATGGAAATTCTTAAGAAACGTATTCCTATGTTAATTAGTTTTGATTATTTTGAAGTAGATGACGGTCTCATATTGAGCTTGATGAGTCTCCCAGGTTAGGAGCATTAAGTTTCCTGAAATCAATACCAGATCGAGTCAAAGCCAAAGTTTTGGAAACCCAGATTTTGTTTCAATTTTACCTCGTAGGTTTTCAAAACTTGTTCAAAGTACTGTCAAATAGAATTAAATCTTTGTCTTCGTATGTAAAATATTGTTCTTTCGCCTTGTCAGCAACATACACCGTAGCTTGTCACCAGACTACAGGCACGGTTCTTAGTGTGCAAGTCCAGGTCTGGTACCTGATAACAGATATTTTGCTGCCTGTAACATACAGTGACTTGTAACCGTCCTATCAATGTTCTTATTTCTTCAAATTGCAATTATTATTATTTAATGAAATATTTGGGTTGTATTTGCAATAGGCCCTGTTTAATGTTGACATCCTAGTGTTTCGTCTATAAATAAGTATTAAATGCTTAATTGCATATCCCGGCATGTACGTCCGCAGGCAAATGATAATATATTACATTTCTCACCTGTTACTAAGGTTCACCATAGATGTGGAGGCTTGGTCGTGCTATTTTTAGAAATAATATAAGATGGAGAACAAGGATATTTAAGTCCTAGTACAAAGAATTTGTGCAAAAACCAAATCCGCCCACAATTTTTAACTGATTCATAAGTGATGTTTGCTAGTTGACAGTATTGTTGCACTTGCAACTACTTAATATTCTGATGATAAACTTCTATGAATTTAATGCCAGATCGAGTTATATAAATAAGCATCTATTTTATGCACTGAGAGAGGCATAACTATTATTAATGCAATTGTAAAACTCCCACCTCATATACATGCAGTCAAACAAAAACAAAAAAGGAATTAATGTGGAAGAAAATTGTAAATACATTTAAGTCACTTAATTAAAGAATATTGATGTACTTGATTTTACCCTTCCTTTTGTGGACACAATGTTTTTTAACTTGTGGCTGGCCCCATTCCTTTTTTTATGAAGTAGTAAACATTCATGTACTTACTTGAGGTGTGAAATTCATTTTAAAAAAACGTGCTAGAATTCAAACCAAGGAATCTTGATGATTGTGCAAATTAATTTTTTATAGCCCATTCTCTGAAATATTATATACATATACTGATATTAATTGAAATTAATTGCTTAAGCATAAGCAGAAATATCTGCATAAGCAGAAATATCCCCCCCCCCCTTCAAAAGTTTTTTTTTTTTTTTTAAATAAGTCTTAACTTGATCCCAGTAGATGTGTTCAACCAAATGTGGGAATACGTTAACATCTTTTTTGCACAAATAATTCAGTTGTTGGATCCAGTTATTTGACTGAATTCAGGATCATTCTCCTGAAGACGGTCAGAGCATACTGACCGGAACGTCGAGTTTATACCTCTGGTTCTTTTCAGAACCATTCTCTTAGTTGAGAAATTATTCGCACATGGTGTTTCCGCAAACCTTTCATTATTTAGGATCAAAGTGATTGCATAAGATGTGCTGAAACTAGTGGTTGGCACAGCAGCTATATCGTGGCGATGCAAACATGGTCACACAAGTTCCCTGCTTTTGTTAGGACAGCAGGAGGGTTAACTATGTCAAAATCTTGAATGGTCAGTACACTTAAAGTGTGCATATGACAATACAGCTCAGAGTTTTGACTGTCATTGCCTGGGATTTAGATTGGGAATCGCAACACTGGTATACCTATTGAAGTGCAATATGTCCGAGTAAATTGGTAGATTTAATAGGACACAATGAACGGACAGTAAAACTGATCAAGAGAATTTGCTTACACACAACTGGAGAGAAATATGAGAATGTTTAATAAGATGATTTTAATCTGTAATTTCAGTTTTTATTGATCATAGGTGTAATTTGAGCATCGTGTGTTTTAAAACCAACAGACAGTATTACTAAAATCAAATCGATATGGCTGTACTTAATTTGAATGGAAATATACATGTATTTTGTTAATTTCTGAGTACAATGGTCAGCCGGTGCTGCAGATCTAAAATTTGAAAGTTTGAGGTCAATGCAATATTGTACTTAAGCAGTGGATGAATTGTAATCAATTTATTGAATGGCAATTTTAGTTTCATATCAATGTGTAAATACATTTCCTGATTGAGATATTATATCACAATGTGCCCTCCCAAAACTGTTACAACAAAAACAATTATTCCTACCCCCCCCCAAAAAAAAATATATAAATGGATTTACTGATTCAGAGGCGGCGTTGTATAAAGCTAGCATAAAGCGATGAGTTGTGCGTATTGTCTCAAATTTTAAAGTAAGATTTTGAAACTTATGACTAGTTTTCGAAATTTCTGAAACTTCTGAGTCTGGTTCCAGAATGGGATAAACAATTCTGAAATTTCGAGACGTTCTGTTTTTAGACAATCATTGCTATCAGAAACTGATAGACTTGTATCTAGACTCATCAAATGTTATTTTCTAACGTTGAAAGGCATCATAAGTCTCCATACTAAGGGTCAGTTAATTCTCGATGCCAACATAAAAGTATATATAAATTTGTGTCACTAAGTATTTGCATTGCAAATTCACAAAAAATGGAAAACATTTCTTATTCTGAATTTCGTCATGAAATTCTGGGATTACAAATTCACTTTGCATTCATGTCAAGTGCATAATATATGAACTGGCCTTTAATGAAACAAAATGCCAAATGTATATTTTCCCATATTTCAACTTTCATTTCAATATTTATACCATTTCTCATGTAAAATAGCAACCTACATGTATGTGTGATGTACATTTCTAAAATCATATATTTTTCACATTTCTTTCAGGTTAAGTTTGACTTAAATGTACTTGTACTTACGGAAACTCTTGTACTGTATTCCAAAACATTCATGTAAAAAGAAATGAGAAATAATTGCCGCTTTTCCTTGTATATATATACCAACATTGTCCTATTCTGGGAAATATCTTTCTGCACGTTATGGCACTATAGTCATTGGTTTTGTGGAGCAGTTTTCAAGTCATTCACAAGTCAATCACAAGTCCAGTCAGAAGCTATGTTCCAATGAATTGTGAAGGCATTCCATTGTCTTTGTTCATCCCCTGTTACTTGGGATTTCACATGTGATGGACATGTGATTCATAAGTTTGATGTGTGATTTGACATGTGGTTTGTCATGTGATTTGTCATGTGATTTGACATGTGATGAACTTGACTATTTCTCTGCTATTTTGTTTACTGTCATTTGTTGCTGTGCCTTTCCTGAAGTCTTTTACTTTTTCATTATCATTTTTTTCGTGGGGTTTGGTTGTGTGTTTGTTTTAAAAAATATATTTTTTTTGTATTCAGCATCCTATCTTTTGCCAAATTAGGGGAGATGGACTGATTTTTTTCTTACCAAAATGGTACATTGCTCTATAACAATTAAATTCAAGAACTATTTATCCAAATTGTTGAAAGTGTTAAGAACAAGCTTGGAAAACGATGTTGTGGACTTGGGTAAATGCCACCCCTGATCACACACATTTCACTATGAATTCCAAATTTGCATATGTGCATTTTGTATCTGGTTCATTTGCAGTTTTTTCCCCATTTACAAAGTCAGTCGCTGCAACTGTGTGCTCGTGTGCGATATACATACATATACATTGCACATCCAAATTGTTGCAAACCGTTTCTTGCCTGGGTAATATATTTTTTTTTTTGGCTTGGAGCACTTCACACCTCATTTGGTTACAAGGGTGCCCATAACGCCACAAAGAAAAGAGATGTTTTGCAAGAAAACAGATGTATGCATCAAATATGTTTTCAACCAAAAAGTAAGGGAAAATTAAGTTTAAGTAAATCATTCTAAGGATCTGTTTTTCTGAAACTGTTCAACTTTTCTCTTTTTCAAATGTGATAATGGGCTTTAGTAAACTTGGGTCAATCTCCAGACTTGTATCTAATTGCTTCAGATACAATATTACATTCTCTGTCTATCGTAGCTGCACCTCCAAGCTTTTTCCTCAATAGTCGGAAGTTTTGTTGGGTGAGCAATTCTTTTCGGAATTAAATGGTTCAAGGTATTTTGGATGCCAAAGAGTTTATTTAGTTGTTGTTCCTTTTTAACATTTTTATGAAATAATTGTTTTCTCTCTAGGATCTATTAAGAAATATACCAATATCAATGTAGATAATTTCAATTTTGGGGAAACGTAATTGTGTAACTGAATGAAATAGAAACTAAAATGTCAGTATGGTTTCTGATATGAGTTTTGAAGGCATTTCAGGCCTTTTATGATGTTGTGAATCTGTGATTTGCAAGTAATGATATGAATTGTAAATGCAAAAAGTGTTTAAGACCTGTAAATTGTGTCATGGAACAAGAAACAAAGTACTTACTTTTTCAAATAGAAAACGTACTGTGAAGTGTATTTTAGAATTTATGTAACAACTGCTTGGTTGTTTTTATTTATTTTAGATAAATTGTTTACTTTACAATATCTCACAAAGTGGAAACTTTGGTTTTATTTGTTTCTGTTGGAGAGCTTTGTGCTCAAAATAAATATGAAACACAAATGTCTGTAATGATGATTTAGAAAATTTATTTATTTGGGAGCAAATCCGGGCATTTTAAAATTGGATGCCGATGGAAAATAATTAAACGATAATATATTGTTGCTTTTTAGTTTCCAGAAATGCATTATTGAGTCTCTAAAATTTGAATGTCCCTTGAGTGGAAGGGGGGATGGACTGGGAGCCCCCTCCCCCCCCCCCCCCCCCCCCCCAGCACACGCCAACCTTGCCCCTCCCCTCCCGCCCCAAGGACTGGTAAGTAATAAACTTGCACCAGCCAGTACAGGGTTTAACACAAGCATAAAACAAAATTGTATATTAATTTACAATTATTAATTTTTTTTTCATTTCTACATTCATAATTTGCAAAATTACGGTAACTTAAAATAAAACAAGTGAAATTGGCCTTTTTTGCGGGACTGAGCTTTTAACAATGCAGTAAGGACTTAAACGCCAGTTTAATCTTAAAACGACGTGGCAGCAGACAACTTGACGATTTCGATGGTAATCTGCCACATTGTCGTATGTATCGTACATGGCGCCAGGTACCTGTGATCTTCATTCGGCCATTTTTTGTTGGGGAGCGCACGGTGGTTGCAGAAGTCCAACATGGCACGGTTATTTCAAACGGGAATTTTTCTTCTTTTAGGTATATCTTCAACGTTAGGCTTGTATTTCCACATTGGTGAAACAGAGAGGAAATGTTTCATCGAGGAAATTCCAGATGAAACTATGGTAATTGGTGAGTAACAAGGGCTAAGTTTTACAGTAAACATATGCAACGTTGTGAAGTCACCTGCCCCATTTCTTTATGCTCCGGGTCACTTCGCCCCATTTATTGCCATTTTGCACTTAGCCCTCCTTAGCCTTAGGCCTAGGCCTATGCTCTTTTTTTTCAAACAATTGAATAGCCTACAGCCCATAGGCCTATGTAAAGCGAAAATGAAAAGTGCAAAGTAAAGCTGTACTAGCATGACTAGGCAGGCTTGGTTCAAACGTAAGCTTACGTTCTCACGTGTTACAGTGGTGTTAGTTTGTTTATGTTTTGAATTTTGTGTAAAGTTTGTCATGTTTGTGTGTTTTTGTCTAACGTAACGTTCGTTAGGCATTTTGTAGGCTTTGTTTAACTTTATTTCCATGTAATTTTATAGTCCGAGTAACTTGGACCCAACTTATCGCCTTTTTAAAAATTTGGACATGGTCTGGCGATAGTAGGGTCCAAGCCCATTCCGAGACCTAGACAACACACAGTCACTGACAGTCCCAAAAACCAACATTTTCCAACAAAAAACATCAGATTTCACCTTCAAAACGGCCTCCAAATTACTAGATATGCCACCTGAGGTACAAGTAGACATCGATAATTAAGATGGTTGTACTGAAGTTTACTTACGATCCGGAAAAAAAGTGAAATTTTCCGTTCATTTCGGAGAGCTCCCCTCGCGATCTTGAACACGTTAAATTTGCGATCGTGTTTAAAGTTTGAACGACGCGATTTCTCTACATGCCCAGCGTACATTCGATGGTCCCCGTATCCCGAGTGCGATTCCGTTACCGAGCGCGCGCGATGCATCGATTATGATAATGAGTAGACTGGATCACGTTTGTAAACACATGTGCATTTCAAACGATAATAGGGAGTCGGGAACTAGCGCAGCTTTTATAGCGGGTACCAGTTCAAGCTGGTTCCCGATTCCCTTTTACAGTTCGAAATGCACATGTATGTGTTTACAAACGTGATCATTATCATAATCGATGCATCGCGCGCGCTCGGTAACGGAATCGCACTCGGGACACGGGGACCATCGAATGTACGCTGGGCATGTACAAGAAATCGCGTCGTTCAAACTTTAAACACGATCGCAAATTTAACGTGTTCAAGATCGCGAGGGGAGCTCTCCGAAATGAACGGAAAATTTCACTTTTTTTCCGGATCGTAAGTAAACTTCAGTACAACCATCTTAATTATCGATGTCTACTTGTACCTCAGGTGGCATATCTAGTAATTTGGAGGCCGTTTTGAAGGTGAAATCTGATGTTTTTTGTTGGAAAATGTTGGTTTTTGGGACTGTCAGTGACTGTGTTGTCTAGGTCTCGGAATGGGCTTGGACCCTACTATCGCCAGACCATGTCCAAATTTTTAAAAAGGCGATAAGTTGGGTCCAAGTTACTCGGACTAGTAATTTTAATGGTGAGAGCTCCTTGGGAAAGCAGTTTTTTAAACTGAAATAGACTACAATCTTTAACAAAGATTACCCCAAAAAATGAAAAATAAAATTTCTTTATGATGGATTGATTTTTCACAATGTGTTGTGTAACTTAAAAATGGACCATATTTTTCCATGAGTTGACAATTCCAAATATAACGTCAAGACCTTTGGCTCTTGGAACCAGACTATCAACTGTATTTTCTCAAACTTTATTTCCCTTAAAACAATAAAAGCATCCTTCAAACATTGTCAAAGCCATGGATAGCTAAGAGAAATTTGAAATCTACCTCCAATTTCAATTAAAAGTAGAATTTGATTTAAAAACATAACGTAAACGGTAAAGAAAAGAAAAAGAAAATGTTTCACAGTGCGGATTCAATCCTGGGACCTTGGGTATGGTAGTCCGACATTTATCTGATCGAGCTACCAAAGCGCTCTGGTTGGAAGGGAAGTTATAAATGTGATAATAGATTCGCAATAGTGTTTGTGCAATGCCGTATAAATGATAGCAGTTGAAAATTGCATTGCCTGCTGCCGGCTGGTGATGATTACTGGTATAGAATTAAGGCATGTTTGTCTAATGCTGATGGCATTATTTAATCATTTGCAGGTAACTACAAAACGCAGCTGTATGATAAGAACACCAACGACTTCATGCCCTCCAGCCCACATATTGGTATGCATGTAGAAGTCAAGGACCCAGACAACAAGGTCATCCTATCCAAGGTGTACAGCTCGGAGGGCCGATTCACATTTACGTCTCACACTCCGGGAGAACACTCCATCTGTCTCTATTCAAACTCCACCAAATGGGCCATGTTTGGTGCTAATAACAAAATGGTAGGTACTAAATCAGGATTTCCCATCCCCCCTCCCCTCTTCCCTCCCACTCTCCAGATTGTAGGATTAATGAAACCTTTATCTTTTGAACCTTTTTTTGTTGCAAGGAACCTCCAAAACCCAACTTGTAATTTGTAAATTTGGTAAATAGGTATCCGATCCCATAATCTGGATCTAGTTCTTGACATCAGTGGTCAGGTACTCAGGCACCTGTTCCGATGCATACCCCTAATCTAGAATCTCGATCAAGTTTCCTCTGAATACAACCAAATGCAACCAAAAGCAACCAAATGCAACCAAATGCAACCAAATGCAACCAAATGCAACAAACTACTATCAAATGCAACAGAAGGCAACAAGATGCTACGAAGCTGCAACAGTGGATTCATTCGCCTTGTGCAGCTTCTGTATAAACACCAGCTTTGGCACTATGCAGTAACACAGTAAACTTAAACCCTTGTTGCATTTTGTTGCATTATTTTTAGAGTTGATAAAAACCTACAGAAATTTTGTGGCGATATACAAAATGTTCAGCTATTTTTTCTTTCATTTGTCACTCTCGCAGAGAGTTCATCTAGACATTGAAGTCGGTGAACATGCCAACGATTACAAACAGATTGCTGAGAAGGACAAACTGACAGAACTCCAGCTACGAGTCCGACAGCTTCTTGATCAAGTTGAACAGGTGCAAAAAGAACAAAACTACCAAAGGGTGAGTATTCACAATTGTTGTTCATGTATGTTGCTGCTATTGTCCCTAAACCTGGAATGTATTTTGTCGGTAAAACCCAGTCAACTTCCGACACTTGCCAGAGTGAGAAGCCTGTCCAACGTCACAAAATCAGGTCAAAATTTCCAAGACCAAACTGCCTCAGACTCAGAGTCCATGGTTGGCAGCTGCATCAGGATGCAGATGTGGCATTGTTGAATGGGACTAGCTCTCATTGTCTCATTGTGTTGATAGCCCAATGCAGCAAGGTCCCGCAGACTTTTACATCTGTTGCAGTGTTTTGCATCTAAGCATGTTTAGAGTTACAATAATAATAATAGTCACTTGTATTTATAAGGCACCAATGCCAAACATGCCAAAGGATACAAAGTGCTAATTGTTTGGCTTTTTAACTGACTTTATAATGTGCTGCATAATTGCTGGTTAGGATTGGACATTTTATGGCAAGGGCCATGAGCGCCCATCTGTGGCGGATACCGGCGCATTACAAGTCTTTTTGTCTTTATACAAAGACTATGCCTTTGGTTTCCTCACAATGGATGGATCCCAGCAAAGTTAGTGTTTCAGCCACCTGAATACCAATTCAATGTTCATCTTGTCCCATCCAGTATCGTGAAGAGCGGTTCAGGCAAACCAGCGAGAACACCAACCAGCGTGTCCTGTGGTGGTCCCTTGGACAGACTGTCATCCTGCTGGTCACAGGCTTCTGGCAAATGAGGCATCTCAAGGGTTTCTTTGAAGCTAAGAAACTTGTATAGTACTTTTTGTCTTGGATTTCTTTAGTATTACAAGTTTAAGGTAATGAAGGCCGGTTCATAGTTGACAGGAATTTCAGTGCGAAGCGAATTCGTTAGGGTAACGGCGACCGTCACTTTAAAAAGTTCCAATTGTTGACGTCTTAAAAAATCGCTTCGCCTTTGCGTGAAGTATGAACCAGCCTTGATTCTATCAGAGAGATGTGAGTTTCAATACGGGGGTTTACCCTTCACCGATGTAATTTTATACTCTTAGAGGTCTGATGAGTTTAGAAAAGCAAGCTTGTGATTATTTTTTTCATCCCGGCCTCGATGGTCAAGTGGTTAAGACGTCTGCACCAGTCAGCAGCAGGTCGTGGGTTCGAGTCCCACCCAAGCAAGCTTGTGAGATTCTGTCTTTCAAGCTCTCAGACATCACTGAGTGTATAGTGCAGAATGGTAGAACCTTATATTGACGTTGTAGGGAAATAAAGGGTTTTTACAAAGCAGGAATATTACAACCAACAGGAAGTTGGCTTTTTGACACCATCGGTATATTATTGATATGGAAAGTACATGTTAGGAAGGGGGGTAGAAAGGGCTCCACGGTTATTTTTTGAGTGAAGTATAAAAATGGTGATAATTTCGGCGTAGAATATTTCTAGGATGAGCATCAGAAGCTGTAATCCAAATATAAGGTGAATGGTGTACTTCAAGAACTCTAAATCCTTGCATGAGGCCAAAGGATTTGAAGACTTTCCATTTGGTTTGGACAGTGAAGACTTCTGAGTGATTCTGAGCCAGAATGGAAGGCGAACCTTCAGTCGAATCCCAGGTTTCAAAAATGCCAAGGTGACTGGATGCGCTATCGTTACACCAAATTTCACACTTAAAGAAACTTGTAATTGATGACATGAATACAATACATAAAATGCATCAAAACAAAGAATGATTTGTTGGCCGAAACAAAACAATCAGGGGTCATTTTATAATGTATTGATCGTCAATACCATTCTTACATTTCCAGTTGTAATATATATTTGATAATTCCCAGGGTTCGTAGCGACTGATTTAAAAGCTTAGAAATTATGCAATAATTTGTGTTTAAGTTTACAAGTGCTTGAAACCCCTAGGTAGATATTTTAAATGTTTTATGTGAGTGTAAAGTGCACACTTAATTCTTGAATCTTTCCTGTGATAGTGGACTGTTGAAATTTGTTGGTTGTAAAGATTTATCTTGCAAATGACAATGGTGTAGATTTCCTGTGTCTGTGGAGTCCAGAGATGGTGTGTTCATAGTGTTTGAAACATTTCTTGGGTTTATAGAAATTCAACTCTTTTTTCCCCACTAAGTACAAAAATGCTTGTATTAAAGTGGGTACATACTTTTGGGCATGCCTCATTTCAAATGCTTTTTTTCCCTTCATTTTAGTAATAAAACTTAATTTATCAGCTTTTGTTTTGTTTTTTTGAGCAGTGGTTTGGTGGTCAGAATACTTTTCCCCAGAACTTCAATGTTTGCAATTACCTTTAGGTGTGTGTACTAACATTGAATTGTAAATACAAATTTGAAAAAAAAAAAATCTGTGTCGTGTCTTAAAGTTATTAAAACTTGATTAAAGTTGTCAAATTAACTTCAATTATTGTTACAAAGCAAATTCAGTTGATTGCACAACACAAAGTGTCTTTTTGATCAAAATTTTGGGTGATGGTGAACAGTGTGACTAGGAACACGTTGTTCGGATTGATTACAAAATGCGTATTTTTTTTTGCTATTTAATCAGTTTCCCTAGTTTTTGCCTCTGAAGAAGTCTTTGCTAAAGACGAAATATATCAGACCTCTCCAACTTTTGAACTGTTTATTGCAGGTCAGTCCAGTCAGTGAGCAGTTTGCAGCAGCTAAATTATTTGTCATTTTTGAGTTTTTCCCAGCTGATATTTCTTCCCTTGCCATTTCCTATTTAAAAGTCTTGTAATGTAATCTAGCAAGTATTGTGGATTGCACCATGAAATGCTGGGTACAATCACTTTGAAGCACCGAGTATAATTTGTACACACTCTTCATCAAGTACTGTTGTAGCAACAGTGAAATGCCACTGTCTAATGCAGCCAACAATATAACTTCCTTGTTACTTTTGTGTCCTTTTTTGGGTTGGGTCATGGTTTGTTTTTAAATTTCAAAATTCATTCACAAATTCTACCAGTTATTTCCCAACTGTAAGATATGTAATTTTTGTATAAGGTTTTGGTCATAACACATGTCAAATCGGTTGAAATCATTCAAAATTTCATATTTTCCACAAACTACTCTGTCACTTGAAAGAAAAAATTGCTTTCAAGCCAAATAGATTTTCTTTGGAAAAAAAAATTGGCACAGCCATACTTGATAAATATTCCATGTCACAAACTTGGCGTTTGTACATGCATTTCACAAGAGTAAATATGGAATTCACTTTTTTTCCATCCAAATGTGCTCCATTTCTTTTACAATGTACTTGTGTGTGCATTGTTAGGTGTACATGTATTAATCTCTAGTATGTTACGAAGCATACACTAGACAAACGTTTCTTCGGTTGCAGCGATTCGTTTTAATGAATATTGTGTTACAGTCAAATGTGTATGCAATAAAATTTGGTTAAATGTGTTAATAATTGTGTTGTGCTGTTGATTTTGTGAAGGAGACATGATACTTTATAAACAGCTGCCAAAATTAAAAAGTTGTAATTTCATGATTTGAAAAGGTTCGTTTATGGTTAACATGGTTGCCGGTAATTTTTTCCCCCAGCTTGTAGAAATTAACGTATGATTTCAAATTTGTGCTAATTAACTGTTGACTACATGTACTCTTGAATGATTTGGTATTGGTTGAAGGTCAATGACTAATAATATACAGGACAACATTGTCAATATTGCCAACAACCTTCACAAAGGACAATAACAATTCCTGTTCTTAGAAAAAAAAACTTTATGGGTCCTAAGTTGACACAGCACTGTAAAAAAAATTTACAAAACAAGCAAGTTGACCAAGTTGAAAGAATTTTTGTGCAGTATTTTATTTTGTTTCAAGTGGTGGGATTACTTTATCATGCTTAAACCTTGAAGTCTAATTCTTCATTCCTTTTTGTTCAATTTCAAATTTTCGTAGACATTTTTAATCACTTGACAATGAGATAACCTAGGTGTGAGGTGTATTAACAAAACATAAATATCATGTTTTATTTCAGGGAAGCAGTGTGCAGTTACGGGTCCCTCCGTGTTTACTGATTTTGTCCACCCCTCCACTTTATGACAACTCCGTTTTATTCCCACTTTTTTTACATGGATACCCTTCTAATAATTTATTTTTGAGTTTTTTCACATGGATACTAACACATTTGTATTTAGTTTAGTTCTTCAAAATGGATATTCTAAATAATATTAAGGCATTAGTGGCCAAGAGCTTTGGGTTTTTACAATGTAATGCTATGAACTGTTCTTGATTATCTAAAATTTACAAATGTCAGCACAGAACCTATGTCTTGCAAAATATACTTAGTTGACAGCATTAGAATAAGTTTAACAGCATTAAAATAACTTGTTCACACATTCACATAAGGAATAAATTTGCTCATTCAAACAACATGACTATGTCACACTTTACACTTGATCCCCAAGCAATGCTAAAAATGCTAGTTAAGTTGCCAATATATACAGATATTTAAAATCTTCAATATTAATTACACATTAAAATACATTTCGTAAATTGACCATATGAAAAACAATTGCTTTGAATGTTATTGCAAAAAAAATTTTGCAAATTCTTGACAAAAGTGGAATGTTTATTTAAAGGCGCTTAGGATCCTTACACCATGATTAAACATGTTGACGAGACTTTCCATTTTACAACAAATAGTTTGAGACATAAAAAGTTCAAAATTATGAAAGACATGATTGGGAAAATATTTGTTTATTGTGCTATCGAAAAGCTTGTAAAATATTTTATTAAGAAAGACCACTTTTGGTTATTGCCTGTAACAATAATGCAAAATGGAATGTACCTGTGAGTAGCATAGACATTCAATCGCTAATAAAATCAATGCAAATGTTAATGTCAACGATACTTCAGCCAAAATTTACCTGAAGGCACTGCTGTATATGTATACTATTTGCTGCTACATGTACATGTCCAAAAGCAACCTAATAGTTTAAACCTAAAAAAGTAAAAAGGTTTGAAACAATTCTGAGAGGTAAGGTGGTCAGCTTTCAAATAAGAATATTAGAAGTTGTACAAAACAAGCAGGGGCCGTTTCTCCTCTGGCTTCGAATATTTAACCTTTGACCTGTAATATGAATATTCAGATTTGCCAACTTTCCCACCCCATTTTTTGATTCAGGGCTGCCTCTCCTGTGCCTTTGAATATTTTAAGCACTGACCGATTATATGAAAAGACAGATTTGCCAAAGTTCCCACCTTCTCCACCCCTACTAATATGAATATTCAGAATATCCCGCCTCCTCAAACCCCACTAATATGAATATTCAGATCTGCCAAACTTCCCACCCCCTTTTTTCTTGAGGGGCCGCCTCTCATCTTCTTCCGAGTCTGTATCCATCTGCACTCTTCTATCGATGTATTCGTCATCACTGGGCGTGGCTGTCCGTCCCACTGGTTCTGGGCGGAGCATTCCAATCTGGGGCAGGGCGTCGCCTTGGAATGATGACCTTTGTGAGTGGTCATCGGGGTCTTCAAACTTTTGGGCACCAGTGGTGATGGGCGCCAGTTTCTTGTTCTGCTTGTTCTTCTTCAGTTTCTTGAGGAGTTTGTTGGGTTTTCTGTTTGTATTCAAAGACAGAATTATTGAGAAGGATTAATATTCCAAAAACATTCCATCTTCCTAATCTTGTCTGATACTCTTTAATTTGTTTATCTGTGTCATCATGCATTATAAATGTTGAAGCTTTGAGGCAAATTGGACAGAAAAAAGGAAATAAGAAAAAACTTTAATCAATTCGGTAATAATAGGTGATTGGGCAAAGTGTCCTGACATGTGATTGGTGGATCATTGGTCACATGACTTACCTCCTCTCTCTGCTCGGTGTGGACACGGCCGAGCTGCCAGTATTTCCCAGAATGCTCAGCTTAATCTTGTCTTCTAGACTGGAGCCGGACTTCGCAGCTTTGCCTTTCTTGTCAAATGACCTGTAGTATTCCAGAAGTATGAAATTCAGTGGTTGGAGTAGTCACAGGACAGACAGGATGAGAAACAGTGTAACGCACTGAGCCACAGACATGGTGTGACAGACAGGGTGATAGCACACGGTAATCTGAATCAAATCAAGGCACAACTGCTTGGATTGGCTAACAGTCAGCGAAGAATCCCAGGGTATATGGCCAAAAAAAAGAAGGCTCCTTTTGTTGATCCTTACCCTCTCACGTTGCCGTTAGCAACACTGTCTCCCTCCCCCTCATTCTCCCTAAGCTCCTCCCCTTCCTCCTTGTTGAACATCTTTCTCAGTAGCGGCTCCAGTTCTTTTTCTGTCTTACCCGGGAACAAGAGGTAGAGAATGTTGCGAAGCTCGGAAGGGCTGAACTTGCCATGTTTGACCAGACCAGAGATGAACTGTAATTCCTGAGAATATAAGTCAGTCAATAAATATGATAGAATAACTTAATGTGGAGTGCCACTACAGTCTCAAAGCTCTGCACAATTATTACCCCTGTTCATCAGGCCATGAGACCCCTTTTCTGCAGGCGAGATCAGCACAATCTGGTCTCTAGCCACACAGGTACCCATTTAAACTCCTGGGTGGAGAGAGGCAATTGTAGTAAAGTGTCTTGCCCAAGGACACAAGCACCATGTTCCTCATCAGTGTTTGAACCAGTTGCAAGTACCATCACACGTGGGTCAAACACCATTACCACTGGAGCATAACAGCTGGAAATATCAGCTAAAACCTCATACTTGACTACGCTTGATAGTAGCGAAAACAAATTTACTAGACCAGAAGTATTTTTACAATTAAATATCCCTCCCCCCCCCCCTCAGCAATTATAGAGGAAGAAAATTTCACCTGTTCTTGCATCTGTTTAAGTCTCTCCACTTCAAACTTTCTGCGGAGATCTTCAAGGGCTTGGTTGACTTCAATCTCAAGATTACGTCTGAAAAACAAAGAATTCATGGTTGAAAAGTACTGGCCGGCACAGAACGGGGATGACATTTTTAGAAGAAAAAAATCTCATTTTATTACAAGATAATAAATTTATTACATTATTTATCCTCTATTAACTTCCTCTATCTGCAAAACAACTAATTGCCACAGATAAATCCTGCTATATGCATAATTTTAGAAATATAACTAGGTTGATTTCCCCCCCCCCCAAAAAAAATAATCAAACCACATAGAAAATTCTTGAATCCACCCCTGCTCAGGTGAAATGTTTTTCCCAATGAAATTGTAAATTTGTCCATGTTAAACAATATTCCCCTGACCTGAATTCCTCCATTTCCATGAGATGTTTGTGTTTCAGAGCGACTCGTTTCAGTCTCGCCGAGGTTTTGTTCTTTACGTTCTCTGCAAGGTGTTGGATTTCCTCTTCTTGCTTGCTGACAAACAGTTGCTCTCGGTCAGCGAGTTTGTCTCGGAGTCGGCGCTTAAACTCTTTCTCTTGTTTCTCCCGTTGGGCCTTGAGTTTGTTCTCAAGATTCTTTGCCTCCTGTAAGATTAGAAGTAAAAAAGAAATGCCTCTGAGTATGCTGTTAAATGACTTGAGGTTGGAAACCTTATGATGAGCTGTTAGGACTCTGATGAATATATTAATAAACCCCATCGCGAAATGATTTTATATGTAGTGCCAAGATAGTTGTCTAAGAACATGGTTCAGTAGAAGTAAAAGGTAACTTTTTTACAACAAATTTTACCAATAAAAAAGTGCCATTTTGCAATTTAACATTCATTTCAATTCTTATAAAAAACTTTATTCAGATAATGCTGTTGTGAGCTTTTAGATGTTTAACCAGTTTATAGTAACCTTAGCCTACATACCTTCTGATGGTTCTCAATAACCTTCTTGCAGTCAGCATTGCGGATAATTCCCGTTTCTGTCATGTCATCCAACATGTTCATCTTGAGCTGCCAAAGCGCCTTCTGTTGTTCTTCAATCGTCGCGATCTGATTGGCCGACGAGAAACAAGAAGCTGTCACATGACTGGAATAACTTTGGTCATATGGATGTCAATTTCAACAAGCTAGTTGAGTAGCTTGTGACTTGACTTGAGGCTGGAAGACTTGTGGAAGACTTGTGATTAATTTTTGATTGATGAATGATTGACTTGTGATGGACTTGTGATTAACTAGTGATTGACTGCGATTGACTTGTGATTGACTTGCGATTGCCTTGTGATTGACTTGTGATGGACTTGTGATTGTCTAGCAATTGACTTTAATAATGTTCTAGTCTTTTCTTTTTATAAGCTTCATATCCTTTTTTGATACCACTTTCCAACCTTATGCGTAAACACTAATGCATATTCATGATGTTGACTGACCTCTCGTGACCTCTCCAGTTGTAGCTTAGCAACCAGAGCACCCAGTCGTTCCTCTTGCTCTTTCAGCGCTCCAACTTTCGCTTCCATCATTTCGACTCTTACCTTTATTACAAACACAAAAGACACAAATGAAATAATGGCACTTATATCTGAAAATGAAAATAGCAAAAATGTTGAAAATTAACAAATCAGCAAAAAACTAGTTGTGAATTAACCAATCACAAGCAATAAGAGGTGAGCTTTATTTTCTGCTTAGAATGAAATTGGGCTCCGGTTTATGAAATTGGTCCCAGAAATTTGAACAACTGATAGAAATGATACTGACTGCTTCAAGTTCATCTTCTATATCCTCATCATTGTTTCCAGACAGGAGAGTGAGTTTCTCCTCCGCTTGTTTCTTCATCAATTCTTGCTGCGTCTCTTCATCGCTGCCTTCATCACTGTCAGCGAGCTGTCGCTTACGAGCCTGGCGCTGAAGAAATAATATTAACACAAAAACAGTTGGAAAAACCAAGCATGTTTTGCTAAAATATACATATGGGTAGTTTGAGTAAACACCACAAAACCAATTAAGCATGTTTATTTATTTCATAACGTATTTTCATCTTTCTGTTTTAAGACTAAAAGATAAATTTATGTTGTGTTGAAATTGAAAGTTTGGGCTGAGATACTCCTGTCATTTTTAAATCGCCAATTTACTGACTCCCATACCTGTGTTTCTTGATTGTGTTTCTTCTCTAGCTTCTCCATCTGCCTCGCCCGTCGCTTGGCAACCCTCTCTTCCAATAATCGCCGCTGCTTGAGCTTCTGCAAGGCAAGACTGCTGTCCAGGGCCACTTGCTGCTTCTCATGTTCATCTAAGATGCGTTGGCGGTCCTCCTCTGAGATTGCCAGCTGGGAAGCAAGGATGCGACTACAAAGAGAAATTAATCCTTCAGCAGGGGGTCTGGGGTTAGAATCCAGCTTCTCTCCACATGTATAAGGATTCCACGAAAACGATTATGGAGGACACTTTTTCTTCATTTTCATTTTATAACACTGTTAAACATTCTGATGAATACGGCAGCTATGTTGTATAAGTGGGTCTCATTCATATAGTTGTGTCCTCAGGCAGTACTATACCCCAACTTGCCTTTCTGCATTAGCTGGGGAGTATTACACCTGGGATGCACTAGTATCCAAGGAAAGATAGAGGTACTCTCAGTCATTTCATGCCAGGGAAACCAGAGATAAACAGTGGCTAGAAGACTCGCATTGGCTCCAAACAGACTTTAAATTTTACTCGACATTAGAAATGCTGCAAGCAGGTTTTGCAGAATTCCATCACAAGTCATTGATTGCAGTGCCATTTGCTAAATCGGAATCGCACCAGCCAGCAAACCAAGAAATCTTGGTAAGACATCTGTACAAGAAAGCTGCAGGTCATGGGTCCAAGTCCCACCTTCTTAACAAGCCCTCATAGTATAAGGTTCTTATAAAGCCTACATCACTGTAGAGCAAAACCAAACAGTGACGCCACGCCCAAGAACCCAAAGTGAGTAAAGAAAAAAAGGATGGATGCGACCACACAGATTTTTAATGAAAGAAGAAAATGGCAAATGCTCCATGCAAGTCAACCTTTCTTCCTTACCCAACCACTTTCTCTTCATGGTCCCGTATCATCTCTTGTTCCTGTTTCTCTTCCTGTTTCCTCTTGATCCATTCCTGCCGATGCTTGGCCAGACGTTTCTGTGTATCAAAAACAGAAATAACTCTGATCAATTCATCCACGAAAAAAACCAATTGACTGAAACAGGATTCGAACCTGCGATGTCCAGAATACTTTACCGGTGCTCCAAGAACCAAACTATCCAGTCTTCAAGTCAAAGTTATTTTGGCTTCTGACTAGCTCTCCGAAAACTAAGACAATAGGTTGTATGCGCCAGCTAATAGTCGACAGAGCAATGGTACAGAGATCTGGTGGTTACAAGTTCGAATCCCAATTCAGTTACTGCTCTTTGGGAGCATTTTTGAACTGCAAGAAAGCCACATTTTCAAATCTTTTAAAGCAAAAAGAAGGGTTTCATTTATGGAAACAGGGCTGTATTCGACTTGCACAAATATTAATACCGTAACATTTGCAATCTTTTTGTGCATATCCAGTGGGAAATTGTTAACTAACGTTGGCAAACGTTAGCATTATTCACTATTAAAGAGGACACACCCCTGGTCCTTGGTGAAAAATCAAATTATAAAACCTCAATTTTATCAGATTGAGGATTGTTGCTTTGGGACGTATTTTGAGGGACTGGATAGTACCTTTAACAGCCTTTCTTGTTTCAGTCTCTGTTCTTCGTGCTCTTCAGCCAAACTCTCCATGTCTCGTTGGTGCTGGTCTAATATCTCATTCTTCATACGTTCTGTCATTCCTATAGTTATGAAAATAAAAGTAAGTCACAATAAATAGTAAATCGCAATTAAAATATTCCCCATGACATTTTGGCCAAAGAGTGTTGTTAAGTAAATCTATTCTGTGTTTAGCAGATTTCTTTTCTGCGCATCTGACATCGGCTTCTCTCAGGAAATAAATCTGCTTAGTAGGATTCTCCGCTTCGCACTTGATAGACACGATGATAGTGTTTCAGGAGCATTTACCTATCAACAATGACTCACCATGACTCATCAAATCCTTGAAGAATCCCTCTTTGCTCCTTGTCAGTTTCTCCTTGGTTTCCTCGGCCATGTTCTTGTTGAGTTCCTCCAACTGTTTTCCTGCGTCGTCGTCCAGAGATATCTCCAGCTCATGCATCTCGGTACGCTGTGAGGCGAGGAGGTCCATCTTGGCTTCCGTGTGCTGAGAGGGATCTGGGATGATAAAAAAATGTTGAGATGAAGTCAAAACAAGTGTCACAAGTCGTCACAAGTCAATCGCAAATTTTACATAAGTCACTCCTTTGTCCTTGTTCATCCCCTGTTACTATCTTGACAGCTTGATACTCACCCAGATTATTATTCTCAAGTTTTGTTCGCTGATCCTTTTCAAACTGATCCAGTTGTTGCTTATGCTCCCTAGCCTGGTGATAAAGAATACATAGTACTAATGTGAGATATTTATGTTCATTGCGTCTTGACGTACAGACTCAACAGAGTTTTATAAAAGCTAAATAAGGGAGACGTGTTGCTGACAAGACAATGTTGGCAAGCATCCAAGGTGTGTTGCATTTCTTCTGATGGAAACGGTGAAAGTTTTTTCCAGACATTTTGAACCATTGCTGCTGCATTTTTCTTTCAAAAATCCATTGCCATAAATACTGTCAACTATTCATCCTACAATAGAACATACATTGTTGAGAACGTCCATGAATATTTAAGAACATAATTAGTCTGTCACTTTCATTGCCAAAATGAATGCCGAACACTAGTTGTACCATGCTATAATTCACGTTTTTTTATGCAACAATGCGTGGTCTTAAACACAGCGCATTGTCATGATTATCAGGATCAATAACCAGAAGCTCCTGGAAATAGTCTTTGTTGAGGAAGTGCGATTTGCGAAAATTCCTTTCCATTTCAACTGTAGTTGAGATGCAATTTATTTGCCTTACCCTCTCTTCCAGTTTTCTCCTCTTGAGTTCACTCAGCCTCTTATGCAATCCCTCTTCCTGTTTAGTCTTCTCCTTGTCATACGCGCCCTTGGCAGCTAGAAACTCCTGCCTCAGTCTCTGGGTGTAACGCTCTACTTCTTGCTCTGTCAGTTTGTCATCTTTCTCTAGCTCGTCAATGACGCTTAGGGTCTGCGTTACCATGGTATTCAGCATCTGCTTGTTGTGGTCGCCTAGCGACTCCTGCATCAGTGAAAAACAGAGAAAATGTTCAATGAGTGACTTCAACAAAAGAAGAAAATTAGGGTATCCCTTTATGCTTTCACATTCATTGTTAAAAGTAAAAATTTGAGATTTTAGGACAAATAAAATATTACGTTGTACTGAGCCAGGGCCCGTCGTTTGGCTAGCTTCTCTTCAAGCAGCATCCGTTGCCGCGACAACTCATCATCCATGGCCGTTTCGAGGTCCTGCTGGTTGCTACGGTGTTCTCTGAGCAGCTTCATGGCTGCGTCTTCATCTAGCTTGGACTGTAGGATGATCTCATCTAGGTGCTCCTGCTGTAATGACTTGATGGCCAGACGCTTACGGATGGCAATTTCCTGTGACAGAGGAAAGAGTCATTGTCCCAATAACATAAGCCGTGGAAAAAATCTGAACTAGCCCTTGGCTACCAAGTCTGTCTTCATTCTTGATGTTTTCTTTTCCATTACCTTTCTTGCTTTCTCCTGTCTCTCGTCTTGATGCATCTTCAGCAGCTGCATCACTTCATTCTTCTCCGCATCATGCTGTTGCCGTAGTAACAGTAAAATCTCTTTTCTCTCCTACACAACAACAGCAAAAAGGAGATTATCTCACGGCAACAAAATGTTTTTCTGAGAAACATCCAAGACATGTTGACAATACAAACAAATCACAACTCTCTACTTAAAAAGTTCACATTTTAAGCATGTGTCATTTCATTTTAAATATTTTGGATAAATTTTGATAAATATGAGAAAACTCTAAAACCCAGATTTGAGCATATTGGGTCGAGTGTGTTGTACCTCTTCAGTCATTCTCTTTGTCTGAGTCACGGTGTCGTTATACTCCACTTTGTGCTTTCTTTGAAGCTCAGCTAGTTTCAGCTACAGACAAGAAAATGCAACAAATGAATAATTATTAAATATTAATGAACAAATCATTCTCCTTTCTTCAAACAATCAGTCGTAAGTTTAGGTTTGAGTTAAAAATCTTCCATTGATGGTCAATGTAATTGTTGAAATGATTGCATTGAGTGATTTTTTTTTTTTAAATCTAAAAATATGCTCGCAATGTCTTTAGCAATACAAGAAACTTTTATTTCAATTTATTCATATAATTATTTTGATAACAATATAAAATCAGTAACTAATTCCTGTTATATAGGAGAACCTTTTACCGGAAAAATAACAGACACTTTGGTAGGTCACCCAGAACCATCCACTTTCTATTGATATGCAAATTAGACAGAAAAGCACTGAAACACTTACTTTGTTCTGAACGCTCAATTCCTTGATCAGCTCTCGACATTCCTCCTTATATTCATCTTCGAGCGTTTTGTTCAAGTCCTTCACTTTGCGCTGGAATTTCTTGTTGGACTTGTCGCTGATTCTCCGGGGTATGGCGCCCTCTGTTGCCCACTTGTTGATCAGGTTGACGTTTGAGTCCACCATGGCGTCCAGACGTTGCTGTTCTAGTTGGATATCGATGGTGATCGTCCACCAAATATCCAAACTTGAAACGAAAATTGTAATATTTTAAAATTGATTCAAACATTAACAACACTTAAATATGAATTCCAATGATTAAAAGATAATAAGTAAGAAATCTAGAGGTAATACAATTTTAAGAAACAAAACATTTTACTGATGAAACGACATTGTACTCCTTCCAGCAAATCTCACAAATTGTCTACAAAATTACGTCACCATTTTAAAGAAAATGAATATTCATGGTATGTAAATGAACCAAAAATGAGTCTTCCAGCATTTTAATTGCATAAAAGAATTGACAGACCACTATAAGTGTTATTCATGGTAAACAATGATTGTCTTCTCTTGTTGGAATTAAATTCTTTAAATTTCCAGAGTTACATTTTATCGTGACAGCAATATGTCTCTTTTTATTTTAATTTGAATAATGGATTTCTAAACTTACTTGTCAAACTCCAACAACTTTCTTGTTTTGTCTCTCAGGGCCAGAACCATGACAATGCTGTCGTCTATTGCAATCATGCTAGGAAAACAAAAAAATACTCAGTGAATTAAAATAAAAGATTATATTGAACACTAATTTGAAATGTTCATCAAGTGTTAGAACCACTGTGACAGATAATGAATCAATCATCTCACCAGAATTCCTTCAAGTTGCTCAGGCCAGACCGTGCCCCACCCCTAGTGTTCATAACCAACCCCTGTCCCCGAGAGCCCCCGCCATATTTGCCGGCTGGCTGGACAGTAGCGTAAGGACCCTTCCTGCAGAACTTGATGCAGATGAGGCAAATCAGAGCTACGATGATACAGCCAACAAGCAGAGCGACAAAGAACATGATGGCCGCTAGGCCGTGGTCGTAGACCAGACTTTGCTCTTGGATTTCGATGGGAGTGACGCAGGTTTCAGGTTGAACAGCTGGGCTGTAAGACCGACCAGGATACTGCAGGAAGATAAAACAGATCTCTATGAAGGCTTGACTAGGAACATCTTTTTAAAAGAATCAGGGCAGGTAAAAGAAATTTTAGAAAATATCAGAGAATGAAGAGTTGTTGTAGAAAATATGCCATAAAAACAACTGAAGGGAGCTGTGGCTTTTCATCTTTTGTTTCTATGGGGTACGTCCCGGACATAAGAGGCTTCAAAATGGTTCTGAAGTCAGATGAAACCGAGACTGCAGAAACAAAGGACGCTGTAGTGACAATACTGTGTCTTACCTCGGGAGTTATTTCTTGCGTTGGCATGGACTGCCAGGTTGCCGTGGCAACATGCATCAATGGCATATCAATCTTATTGGTCACCGTGTCGTCATCAAAATACGCTTTGTATGAGATGGTGAGTGTGTCGCCCACTAAAAGACGAATCAGGGGAAAAAAGAAAGAATTTTCATGCTGAAAGTAAGAGTTTTAAACATTGAAAATGTTATGTAATTAACTGAAGTTGCAACATTGACAAAGAATACAGCTGTCACAGCTCATTTGCATATCTTGTCAGAGTTGAGACTGAAATAACTTGTGGACTTGTGAGGACTTGATTTCTGCAAAATGGCCTGTTACATGTGACTCACGTTACCAACTAAACAATGACGCATTACACGTGACTCAACGAATGAACAGTTCAAAACTATATGTACATTTAAGTATCTTTTCAAAGATTTATGATCATACACTTACACATCAACTCATCCACTCGATACACCAGGTCCTGCGCCGTCACATCAAAACCTGCAGTTCCAACCACTGGCACCAGACCATTGAAGTATTCTAATACAAACCCTTGCACCTGATCTGTGAGAACAACTCCATAAGCCGGGGCACTAGACTGGGATGAGTGGGACAGTGTCGTAGTGAAGCTGAGGTAGTTCAGTGAGTAGTCAAGATCTTCATTAACTGCCTCATTAAGCTGTGAGAAAGCATATGAGAAACTTAACTGATAAGAACAGGACAACATTTCATTTATGTAGTTACTTATTTAGTTATCTACCCACAGGTATCTCGACTTATTCCAGTAGGGTCCCTTGGTAAAACCTGTGGAAGGAAATGACAGTTAGTTATAGGAGGAAACCCCAAAATGATATTCTAGGGAAACCTACGGGCTCAGGCAGGGACTGAAAACCCAATCCACATATTGGCCATGGTGGGAATCGAACCCGGGTCACAGCGGTATAAGGTGAGAAAAATATCGCTTCACCAACCTGATCCCCTAATCAATACAGTAACAATAGGTATTCAGACAAAGAGTTTTACAATGTGGTCTTCAATTAATCAGACTAAAAAAGTAGATAATGGAAACAACAATTGAACAACAGAATAATCGTTGTAGGCCTATATACTTAGCGTCTTGACATTTGTTTGACCTACCACAGTCATCGTCTTGTCTAGAACCAGATCTGGTTCTGACACGACCAGAATATCGTTGTTTAGAGGAACATTCTCCTGGTTTATGTTCATCGTGAATGAATAGGTCATCCCGACACCATCGACCATCTCTGCTGTTTGTCCAATTACACTACGCACCTGCAAAGACAAAGGATATATCAAATATTATAAACAATATTAGTGTGAATGAAAAATCTTGGAGGAAAAACGAACAAGACAAAAATTTGACTGTATGATTTCTTATTTAAATCTGTCCAGAAGTATGCAAATTTGGCCCACCTTTACGACATAATTTGGAAAATGATTGTTGATTAAAAACCAATAATTTTCCAATTTAATCATTTTCAAAAAAATATCTGATCATTTTTCTTTTTAAATTACAAATCCAAATATATATTGTGCATATCTATGCGCTGAATTCAACAAAGATAATATGGAAGAATTGAAGTGGGTTTTGTTGTTATTTTGGTTTTGTGTGGGTGGTTTTTGTTAGTACATGTACATGCATATTGACCAAAGACATGAATTATAGTAAATTTAGGGGCAGGTGATTTTCCTTTGAAACATTATCAATTATTCACAATTCTGCAGAGTAATATGAAACATTACCACAGGAAAATAAAATATTAAAATAAATCCAAAATAATAACACAGAATAAACACAATAAAGCCTTCAAATGACTTGAACAGAAACATGCTTCACAGTGCCAATTCATCAATATAGGTTTTTTAATATGTTTTGAAAATCAAAATTTAGGGTTTCGTATGTTTTCCGAGTGCTAAAATATTGGCATTAAAAGGTTTTTAGGATGCAAACGGGCAATTTTTTAGCAAAAGATAGCAGAAGTGTAGCGAATTACTTCCCTCCAGTTCTCTACACTAGATAAAGTTTCCAATTTCATGCAAACTGGCAAATTCTGAACACTTGTAAAAAAATATTAGCGAGATAGGCCTATACTGACAATATAATTTCTTCTGGAATCATGATAACCAAACTGTGACACTGTGGACCAAATTGAGTCATGAAATTTTCTTTTAAAAATTTGGAAATGTATGCCAGAATAAAAAAATATAGGTTTTTACAAGTTACATGTTTGTAGGGTACTTTAATAATATAATAGGCTCCCAAGTTGAAATATAGGGTTTTTACAGGTGATGTAGGCTACTTTGAAAAATAAAATAGGCTAGCAAGTTGCAATATATAGGTTTCACTGTGAGGCCTGTGTATGTGATGTATTACTTTCCCCGATACACGCTACACAAACGCATATGATGCACGTCCATTGATCAAATTATAATCCTAATTATACAGCAAGCCTGTTACCATGGTAGCATCATAATATTTGCAGCTGAAATGACTATAGACGCTGAGTGGTACTATCAACATCAATATTGACCCATTACTATGAGGGCACTCAAGCGATATCTTGGTCAAGAGAAACATGGCTGCATATGGAATGTAGCAGTCGAGTAAAATTTCGGTTTATTCAAATCAACTGGTATGATCATCAGTTCAGGGTCATTTTTAAATCTACAATGAAATGAACACTTTTTAATTCGCTTTCGACAAAGATGCTGCTTAGAATTTACATCACCCCTAAGCAAATTCCATCTTATGAACCTTCAAATAGTGTTTGACTTTTTAATTGAGATGAAAATGCAAAAAATTCTGTACTGGCACTATATGTACTCATTTTTATAAATCACTTAGTTTGACATCTTACAATGTTTGCATGCCAGTGAACGTTTCATTGTGCAAGATCAGACAAACTTTTGTTGATATTTAAAACTGGCAATTTCTCATTTATTTTGTGAAGTTAGGTCACAAATATTTTTCAAAACTTACTGTCAATTCATTCTTCACACAAATGCAAATGGGAAACCAAATAGGCTTCATTAAACATACACTGTGAAAACTTCCCAGAGTTGCAATGTGTTAAAGTCATGCAAATTCAAAAGGCAAAACTAGACGTGATGTGTCACTAACTTGTGTTTGCATTCATGCCAAGTATTAAACCAGCCCTTACTGTTAATTTTTACCAACTTACTGTAAAATACACAGTCTCCACGCTGTCTCCAATATTTGCGACATCAAAAAGATTCCACACTAGGCTGGCACTGGCCTGGTTCCCTGCAGTAACACTACGTTTCCGCCTCGCGTTCCCCTGGTTAACGGTAGCATTCTGGATCGTAACGACGGCTATCGGTGATGAAGCGTTAGTGAAGGTGGTGACATTTTGACTGGCCGGGTCGGAGAAAGTGATGTTGGGGCTATCCGAAGCGGCCAGGCAGGAAAAGACATCCAGATTGATGAAGGAAACATCGTCAGATAGAAAATCTAAAAGATAAGTGGGGGAAAAATGATGTAAAAATGGTAAAATGACGAAAAGGTAAAAACAGTTTTCCTAATTACAAAAACTCATCCAAATAAGTGAACTTTCTCATCTAGGGATTTATCACAATTCTACATGTATAATCACTTCCCAAATTTAATCCCCCTGCCCCCCCCCCCCCCCGAAAAAATAATTAAAAAGAAAACAAATTGGCTTCCTAAGGAATTTCTTGTTCCACAAGATGCTTTTAGATTAATGCAGTTTTTACTAAATGAAACAAAATTTTAAAACTGTGACAACTTGTAACAGCCCACATAATACATGTAGAGGATAAATGGGGAACAGTGAAAAAACTTGATTTTAAGATTTAAAAATATCCCGGTAAGATGATTTAATTGACAAACATCCAAAGAAAAGGGCATTTTTGTTTGCCTATAGCTGTTTGTGACAAATAAAAAAAAATTCAAATGTTCAATTTGTGCCAATCAAACAAATGGCAGACATTTTTTTAATTTACTATTTTTTTTTTTTTTTTAATGTTATAAACATTCCAATTGAAAGCATAGTTCGTCTAAAAAAATATATAAGACTAGAGCATCCGGAGCATACCTAAGATCACTTGTGTGTCTGACATATTCCATAAGCCTGGAGGAAGTCTTATGGAGGCAGACACTTGCATCTCACGATCAAAGATGAAAGGTTGTCCATCAGAATTTTGCAACCTTTCAATATCAACCTCCGGACCAGCGTAACTGAAAATTCTTGAGGCACTAAACGAGTCTTCATAGTTCATACCATAGTCCACACTTAACGTCATATTAAACAGATCGCCAACATTTTTGAAGTCTTGAATGTAAAGCACATAGCGCAGGTCAATGACGTTCTCAAGACTGTTGTTTCCGAGTGTTGCATTGATCACTTGGACCTCCCCGAAGGTAACATTGAGGTGCATTCTTGAAATCTGCACGGTTTCTTGGGCATCTTGCAAATTGCTACCGTAGGAAATGGTGAGATTGTCAGAAGTGACTTGAGCAAACTCTTCTGGGACTTGGAGTGAGAGCTTTGCTTGCTCCCCAGAACTGCCAAATTGGAGGCCAATGTTAATGGTTAATCGGTCGCTCAGGTGTAATGACGGAAAACCTCCGATCATTGGGTTGGAGGTGGGGGAGTCCACTTGAAGAGCGACATCCACAAGTTGGGCGTGACATCCCTTGAGACAAGCCAGGCAACAGATGATGAAGATGAAATGAAGGTCTTGAAGTGCCATCTTTATCAACAAAAATGGCATTTACTAAGACGATCTCTTTGTAGAAATATGTTAACTCTTCATCTTGCTTGTTCCTGCAAAAAAAAAAAATTGTGCCAGTGTGTCAATTAATAACACAATCATGATCAAAATTTGAAGACACAAAAATTGTTGTGTGAAAACAAATTCAACTGTACATTTTAAATTTCATTTATGCTACAAAACCATTTACTATTATAATACTGTCTAAAATAAAAATGTAATTACACAATGATTTCTTATAGGGGCCTAGCCTAGATTAAAATTAAAATGGCTTCTGCTGGATTTTTAGACTATCGATGCTCCAAAGCCAATTAAGGCAAAGTATCGCTTGAGTAACTCCAGCTTAACATGCTCATCAGGAATTTACATGTGAATTCCTGATGAGCATGTTAAGCTGGAGTTACTCTAGTCCGAGTAACTTGGACCCAACTTATCGCCTAACATTCGGACATGGTCTGGCGATCGCCAGACCATGTCCAAATGTTAAAAGGCGATAAGGTTGGTCCAAGTTACTCGGACTAGAGTTACTCAAGCTAGGTAAAGTACAAACATCTTTCCATTACAGTTCTTACATTACAAATAAATTTCAAGAAATGCAATGATAAACACGACCTTTGAAATGCAAGATAAATATTTGGGGAGAGATAACATTATTACGAGTTTCCATTTAACCAAATGATATGAATCAGAACCACTTCTCATTTATTGATTTATCATTCATGATAAACTTTGATATGAATGAAAACTCAAATAGGCCTACAACATACACAGACGTGTGCACCAAACCATCGAGGTAGTAGTAGGAAAACAAACCCTCATCAAAAATATACCTTGTCGGTTCATCAGCTCGCAATAATTGGACAAAACAGCTTCACATCAATTGCCAACCTTTAACAATCACATAATCAGTCCTTTGAACAAAATACTCATATTTATTGAGCTAAAAATACACATTTACAAAAGAGAACGTGTACGCTCTAAACAATTCATTGTCATTTTTACTGTAGTATGCAGTCTGGTACCTCTCTCAATAATCGTTTCCATTCACGATGAAGTATTCAGGGGCCAGACTACATGTGCAATCCTCGGGAAGTGTTTCCAAGTGACAAGTGTAAACATTTAGACGTTTCTTTTCCCCACAAAAGAAGAATTTATCACCCCAAAAATGTTCAAAATCTAAATGAACTAAAACATAAATGTTTTGAATTTGAAAAATCGATTAATTGAGTACTTTCTTTAAAAACAATGCAAGTTCTTGAGTCACAAGGATTGTTTTGCGGTGGAAATACACTGTTCTTTGGGGCAGAGAAACCGTGTGAGAAATAATTGATGATGTGACGTCATACCGTGGTTGCTTAGATTTTGTACACATTCTCGAGCGGAGAAGAAAGTCCTTTCGGAACAATTTGTGAGTTTTTGTTATTTTTAAATTCGTGATTTAAGAAATTTTTAGTGCAGATAGATTTATTGTGTACTGGGGAATATGCCGATCATAGTCAGACTTATCATTTAAGGTGGAGCTTCTTGAGTAATGTGCGTAGCTAGGCCTACTAATGCTGCACCGGCGCCGGCCCGTGTGCATACGAATGCATTCTCTAATGGACTCCGTGCACGGACAGTAGAGGGCGCTTTCTGTGCAACCGAAATAAGAGGAAACTTTCACTAATAAGGAGAAATCAAGAAGTCGTAAATTTGTGTTGCTTGGGTAAGTGAACTCGTATGCACAGTGACTCTGCATGCCAAAAAATTCTGATTTTTTAGCAACTTTTTGCATCGTCAGAAACGACGTGGTCCTACTTCGATCGAGCCACTTGCATTCAATTTGCGTTGGACAATGCGGGCGCGTTGCAAGCGTTACCTGCGCTGATTATGGTGACTCAAGGATACGCACCTTTTGCCGGCCAATGCATATGAAGTTTAGCCCATAGACTGGCCTTTAATTACTTACAAGCTGTAGGCCTACTTTAACATTTGCATTTATGCCAAGTTTGCTACGCACACCTACAGATACAGATACTCTCACATTTAATACACCGTATCATTGTGACTTTTGTTGTTGTTGTTTTTGTTTTTTTCCTCTCCATTTTCGTTATTGCAACATATTTATTTCTGTATGTACATTATCAATTTGTGAATGCTGTGGAGAATAAAGCTAAGCTGAACGGAAAAAAATATATATATTTTGTAACCCCCAGAATTTGGAGGATGTCTTGTGTGGACGTTGAAGTTGTGTTCCCAAACAGTTTCTGGACTGTGGATCCCTTGGAGATAACGTTGGTTATCATATTTGGCCTTCTGGTTGGAATCGTGATTGCGGTTCTGGTGGCACGATGCTTCTTCCAAGAGCTAGCCAAGGACAGAGTAAGGCACACACACAAAAAGCAAAACACATTTTAAAAATGTATTTAAAAAACCCAAAACCCTCATTTTGAGTGTACCATTTGCCTCATCCCATAACTATATACTCTTTAGAATAATCAGGCCGTCCCCAATTGACCTATTGCCACTTGCTTAGCCACGCCTCTTAGACAACTCTATGGGGAATTTTGTAAGCTCATTTTTTTTTATTGTCTCAGATGTTGCGCGTTCTGCGTCCATTTGTATAATTGGACAATATTTCACAAGATGCGTTGACGCAATTCTACCGCGATAAGTTAATTGTGGTAACGTTGCTGTAAACGTTCTTGCACTTATGATCTGCCAATGTGGGGTAGATGACACAAATCCTCCTAGATCAATAAAAAAAGAGGAAACAATTGATGTTCTAAATATTATTTTACCATTTGAAACAGATTTCATTATAAAAAAAATTATTTCAGATGTAAAACTGACTAAGGAAAATGTTTAAAAATATTGTACTGAATAATTCCGTTCACGTTTGATTTTAGATCCAACAGTCCGAGCAGAAAGATTGGACCAACAGTGGAATGTATGAAAAGCGAATTTCATATACTGAGGAGGTATGTGGGGTTTTAAAACACAAATTCAATTATTAAACATTTCAGATACTTGGCCCCTGCTCAATTTGTTTCACCTTCTTGCTATATTTTCACGTTTTAGCTGATCATTATGATAACTCAATTTAAACAGTTTTAAAAAAAAATGCATGTGCAAACGTTCCAATCGAGCACTCGCTGTGGTCAGTGTACCCTTCGGCACCTGTCATCACAGCTTTCGCCTGCTTTATCCCGCTACTAACATTTTACTCCATGGAGCCCACTGATACTGTCTACTTCTTTCTGTTTTTAAGGTTCCTCTGACGGAGGTATACAATGAAGATGAATCGCCATCGTCCAATGGGAACAACCGGAGGTCAAGCAGCGTGAGTGCCAAAGACTTACGCAGCCAAGCGACGATCGACAGCTATGATGTTGAGAGAACGGAGGAAGAAGATGTCTACTGCTGCTTGATTACAGCGCTTACTAAGACCTCAATGTATGTAGGGGAACATTGAGGAAACATATAGGATTATATACTTTTGATTCATTGATATTGACATGTATTTCCAAAGTACATGTAGATCATATGATAATTATAACAACATGTTGCTCATATTGAACAAACTGTTGACTACAGTGCTTTGGGGCATGACATTTTTATTCCTACAATCTGTAAGGCAATATTTTTAAATGCCGTAAAAGTGATTTTAATAACCTTGACATATGACGCTCAGGACTTTTCAAAATATACCATTACCAGTAACAAAGACAAGATTAAACATTGTGTACTACATTTTCCCAAAGTTGCTCGCAATACCCTCGATCATCCAGCCATCCAGCAGTTTGAGATCAGTGTAACCATGATAAGAATCATTGTGCTTGTGTTCCTGGGCAGGATACTTTACTGTAATGAGTCTGACACTGTAACAATTGGAGCATATGCAACTCTATGACAAGATTAATTAGCTCAATGCAAATTCGAACTCAGCCCATGGTATTAAGAGTACCAATTTTTTAATGATATATTGACTGAATGAGTTCTAAATAACCAAATAATAATGCTGAATGTTTTGAACTAATTCATTTAATATGAACAACAATTGCAGGATGAAGACACAGACAGAGCTGAGCTTACAAGACTACAGAGAGACACAGAAACTTGAGGAACAACTTCAGCAAGAGAAAACATCGGTGAGAACAAATGATCGAGCCTTTACGACCACGCAAACTATACTTATAGAAATTAACTCTAACGACTTTAGTCATTTTGTATTTAAGTCATTTCATCCAAAAATTGAAAACAAAATCTGGTTTAGAATCCAGATGGATTTAAAAGCTGAGCAAGTTTCACTCCAGTATTGTTTTACTTTTGCACAGAAAATTTACTTTCTCTTAAATGAGAACGGTCTTAAAATGTTTGGTTTAGGTACAACGTTCCGATAAATAAAATTCCAAATATGCAGTGCGCTTCATTCAAATATCACATTGGTTTTATACAAGACGGAATATACTGAGCAAAATTGTTTGTGTTTGCTTGTAGGGTATTTTTATCTGTTGATAATTTTGGAAATATTGTGACTCTTGTTTGAGAAAAAAAGTACTGAAAAGTGCATTATTGGTTTTCTATTTTACCTTGTGTTTTGTAACCTGAAATTGTCTATGCTTACTTTGTGTTGTAATTTAGCCATTGCTGTCGTAGAGTATGTTTCATGACTTTTTTTTGTTTTTTGTTTTTTGGGTGGTTTTTCTTTATAAAGGTGTTCCTGCAACTTCTGAGGATTATTCTTAGCAAGTTTGTCGCTAAGGAGAGACTCGATGAGCAATATGCTGAGCAGTTTCTGGAGAAATACACAGAGGTGCGGTAAATTCTGCCTTACACGTGTGACTGTTTACTGATGCAAATGAACCAACACTTTTTGTTCGCATTTGGACAGGGGAACATAGTAAACTGACAAGTCAATTCATTTGTCACTAGTCGAATGTGAAACTGACAAAGTATCCCTTTGTCATTGTTCATTTCCTATTACTTCTGACCTGGCTTAAGATTTGACTTGTGATTGGCTTGTGATTAGCTTGTGATTGACTTGGGATTGATTTGTAATTGACTCGTGATTGACTTGTGATTGACTTGAGATTGACTTGGGATTGACTTGTGATTGACTTGGGATTGACTTGGGATTGACTTGTGATTGACTTGGGATTGACTTGTGATTGACTTGTGATGACTTGGGATTGACTTGGGATTGACTTGTGATTGACTTGTGATTGACTTGTGATGACTTGGGATTGACTTGTGATTGACTTGTGATTGACTTGTGATTGACTTGTGATTGACTTTGGATTGACTTGGGATTGACTTGTGATTGACTTGGGATTGACTTGTGATTGACTTGTGATGACTTGGGATTGACTTGGGATTGACTTGTGATTGACTTGTGATTGACTTGGGATTGACTTGGGATTGACTTGGGATTGACTTGTGATTGACTTGGGATTGACTTGTGATTGACTTGTGATTGACTTGGGATTGACTTGTGATTGACTTGTGATTGACTTGGGATTGACTTGTAATTGACTTCTGATTGACTTGGGATTGACTTGGGATTGACTTTTGATGGACTTGTGATGGACTTGTGATTGACTTGTGATTGACTTGTGATTGACTTGTGATTGACTTGGGATTGACTTGGGATTGACTTGTGATTGACTTGTGATTGACTTGGGATTGACTTGTGATTGACTTGTGATTGACTTGGGATTGACTTGGGATGGACTTGGGATTGACTTGGGATTGACTTGGGATTTAGTTGGGATTGATGTTTGATTGACTTAATACAACTCAGTCTTTCCAATGCTTTGGTTTACTTCAGAGCGTGGAGTCTGCTGTGCAAACTGTAATGTCAGAACGGACTGTGGCAGAAGACGAGGTGAGACAGAAACCAGACGTGTCCCAAGACCCACTGGCACTAGAGGAAGCACTGGAGAAGACGAGACCAGAAAGCACTCGCAAAATGGTGAGAGGAATTATGGGATAGGATAGGGGTTTGGGGTTGAGAGTAACGTTATAAAGT